ACTTCCCGGTATAATAGGGAGTATAGTTTCCTGGCTATTGAATTTATTAGCTAAGACCACCACTTGGCTTAGTCAAAACTTGTGGGGGTTGATCGTAGCAATTGCAGGGCTGTTGTACGTGTTCGCTAAGAACTATTTAACCACCAAATCAGTTCGCTAACCAAATCATGAGTAAACCAACCGAGACTCCACCCACTACAAGCGCTGTTTTTTCATCGATATGTTGTTGATTTTTAGCCTCAATATGCGGTGGTACTTGAGCATTAGTAGATGGTTGATCGATAGTTGGTGTTTGTGGCTTGACTATTCCCTTTTCGCCCGTGATCGTTTGCGTTATTAATTCGACGTTAATATCTGAATTTATACCTGGTTTTTGTTTATCGGTAGCGATAACAATTTTATTATTATAACCTATCACTTGACCGATCTTAAGTTCCATATTACTCGGGGACATGTATAGTCCCGGCGCATAAACGAAGTCCACTTTGGATTGAGCGTACTGTAATGCATCTTGAAAACGCTTTATAGACGATGGTATGTCAACTGGTGAATTAATGGCGTCCTCCACGTTTGCGACAAACTGTTTTTGTGCATCGAGCGCCGTCCCAGTACCGATAATGGATGTTCGTGTTTGCGATTGTGCACCGAGAATTGCCCATACATAAGTTCTTATCGATTCATTAAATCTTACAAATCCTGGGTTAGTAAAATTATTTTCCGTTTTATCATTAAGAAATTCATTCCAAGCGTTTGCGGTATCGTTCATTTGTATAAATTTTGTAACAATATAAGCCAAACCACCCTTAAAACTCATAAGGGAACCTCTCCAATCGTTACTCGAAAGTTCCCAGCCATGATTAAGATTATGCAATCTTACAAAAAGATTGTCTTTCTGTAAGAATTTAAATGGATCGAATGGTTGATGAGTTTTTTTAACTAAATCATCGCTGACTTCTTTAACAGTTCTTTGTCCGCTGTACGGAACACCTAGACCATGGTTTGCTCCTTTAATACGCCAATCTTTACTCGTAGAAACATTAAATTCCTGACAAATACGCTCATACGCGGACCTATCATAATTATTATTTGTGGAATTCCACGCTCGATCCTGCGGTAATGGAGCACTAATTTCTTTAAGTATACGTCTAATCTGATAATACACGTGAAATAATAAAACAGACTTATTTAGCATAAATCCTGGGGCATTAACAGATACGCTACATCCCGTTGTGGCACACCATATGGCAAAGTTTAACTGATTCTGCCAAAATTGCATCGGATTGTGAAACCAATCGTGCACCATTTTATCGCTAGTTGCCGTGACCCTGTACTTTTCAAAGATATCGGGGAATTTAACGAAAAATTCAGCACCAGAGGCAGTTACTATAATCGATTGATTAGTAATGTATCTCGATTTCATATTTAAGTTATGATATAGTATCATTGTATATTTAATATGTATGTTACACTACCTGGAATAACAAATGGTCAGTCTATTGAACTGCTTCATACTATCGATAACTCGGATGGACAGCTTGAAGTCGCTATCTGTGACGTAACGTAATACCTGCTGTGGACCAATATAAGTGCTGCAAAAAGGAATAATAAGATGATTATACCAGGTGAAAACAGGGGTAGTGAAAAACTCATTATTATACCTGATGGGTATTACAGCGTATGCTCACTCAATGATGAAAATTTTAAGTCTAATGGAATGAGTATCACACAAAATGAGTCGAATGGGACAGTGAAAATATACACTGGAAAAACAGGTATAATTATTGACGAGAACTTAGCAATTACACTTGGATTTGGACAGTCAGTAGTATTACCACCTAAAAAAACAGTGACTGTATATGCATTACCCGATTTAGTTCCCTATAAAGAGTTGTGCATCCATCTTGATCAGATCAGTACAACGGATAATATTCAACAAGAAAGTCCTTCAACTCTACTCAGATGTGTTCCAGTTAAAGATGAAAAATATAATAGTGGTAGAACGGAATCTTTCTCAACATTACAATATAAAAAATTAAAGCGTGGTATTATTTCAGACCTCAAAATTTCTGTATTAGATGTAAAACATCAACCTGTACATATAGGATACTTAAGTGTAACGCTCCATATTATAAATAATGGTTGATTCCATATTTAAGTTATGATATAGTATCATTGTATATTTGATATGTATGTTACACTCCTGGGAATAACAAATGGTCAGTCTATTCAACTGCTTCGTACTATCGATAACTCGGATGGACAACTCGAAGTCGCACTATGCGATGTAACGTATTACCCACTGTGGACCAATATAAGTGCTGCGAAAATTAATAATAGGATACATATATTAGATGAAGATGCTCCTGACAAATACATTACTATACCTGATGGGTATTACAGCGTATGCTCACTCAATAATGAAATTTTTAAGCCTAATGGAATTAGTCTCTCACAAAATGAATCGAATGGGATGCTGAAAATCGACACTGGAGAAAATGGTGTAATTCTTATCCCATACTTAGGAATTACACTTGGATTTGAGCTTAAAATTATAAGTTCTAACGAAACACAACATGGAAATACATTGCCCGATTTAGTTCCCTATAAAGAGTTGTTCATTCATCTTGATCAAATAAGCACAACGGATAATATTCAACTAGAAAGTCCTTCATCTCTTCTCAGAAGTGTTCCAGTGAAAAATGAAAAATATAATAGCGGTAGAACGGAATCATTCTCGACATTACAATATAAAAAATTGAAGCGGGGTATTATTTCAGACCTTAAAATTTCTGTATTAGATGTAAAACACCAACCAGTACATATAGGATACTTAAGTGTAACACTCCATATTAAAAATAATGGTTGATGCATCAGGCCCTGGAACAGTAAGACAATGTAATACAATTGCGCTTTCCGATCTCGGAGACACAGAAGGATTCGGTAAACCCGGTACCAATGGTAAGTTATACGCTTTACACTTACACGATAATGTATACAATCGGAAAGAAGTCACATTCACGGGTAATCTAGGAGATTTAAGCGATGTTGATGTTAGTAGACTCCTTAAAAACACTTCGTACAATATTACTCGCAACGACGATAATAAATGGACTATGGTTGAAGCAAACATCGAGTGGCTACTGAATATCGTCATTACCCCACCTTATGTGATGATGGGTAAGGGACATAATTTAACTAAGATAATAAATAGTGGCATCGTACTCGCGGCTTATATCCCATCAAAACGAAAAAGTGTGTTGGTCACTCCCCTGCCAGATGACCCAGGTCATATGTTATATAGTCGTCCGTCCTTAAAAAACATTAGTTTAAATTTGGTTACTGAATTCGAAGATATTAAAGTTAACCTGAGTGCAATACCTAATATTTCTACGCTTATTATTGAAGTCTTGTTCGGAGATGCACCGGAAGATGCCTTCGATATATTACCAGGTCTATCGATTAAATGGCTCAAGAAACACGAGCGTCAACGTTGCAGTATTATTCATATCGGAGCATCGCCCGTTGCAACCCTCGAGGGGGTCCAAATTATTAAAAGTGACAGTATTTCTCTTTCTAAGATATTCTTGCCGTATAATATACATTTGATAAGGTTGATGTATAGTCTCAAAACATTTAAGCAAGACCAATTGAAGACTATTATATGATCGTTATATACACTATGAGTTTATATCCGGCGCTCAATGAAGCATTTGAAAAGATGGATACCGTTGATGGATTTCGATTACATCAAATAAGCGACATAAAACATCGAATAGTGAAGGAGAGGGAGTTGAGACTTGGATTGTATAAAAAGTATCGCAGAGCTGTGAATGCTCTGGACGGAGTTGACATCGCTCTTGTAGTATCTGGCATGGGACTCGGTGTAGCGGGTATCGGTTTACTATCAACTATAATCGCCGCTCCTATCGTGCTCGGCATGGAAATAACCGCTGGAGTCTCGGGACTGGCAGGAATAGCGATAAAATTCATTTCTCGTAGGTTACAAAAGAAAGCATTAAAACACGATAGTATTCGGATACTCGCCGAAGCAAAGTTGAACAGCATTGAGGATCATATTTCGACAGCAATGGCTGATTGTAAGATATCCGAGGATGAGTTTCGTTTAGTGCTGTCGGAGCTCAACAAATACAATAAAATGAAGCAGGAGATTCGATCAAAATCTCGTAAGACCAGTGTTATTAGCGAAGACGAGAAAAAAAAGTTCATAGAAGAGGGGAGGCAACAAGCGCGTCAATTATTCCGTGCCAAAACCAAAGAACTGGTTGGAGATTAAAAATAGATTGTTTACTATCGTGTGATTACATTTAGACAAATGCTAACATAAATATATAATAATGGAGAAAGCTATTCAATGGAAAGAATTACCACAAGGTTTTTATTATATCAGTGATGTCAAACCAACCAAATACGGTTATCAATTGTTTCTTATCAATTTACAAAAAGAGTGTAGTTATATAGTCTGGTCTCCTAGTAAAATGAACGAAGAACTTAATAAAAATGTTGAATATCGCTTTATCGATAAAAATAATGAAGAATATTTTTATTACCATTTAGGCTCATCTAAAGCAATGATTGGCCCCAGGTATTGGTGAGCTAGAGCCAATTTAACTTAATCTTATGACTATCATTAAATCGCATCATCATTTTGGCATAAAAAATTCCATCTGTAGTAGCAGTATAGGTATATAAATCCAGCTCCAGTGGAGTTGCGGCAGAACCATCATTACCTATACTACTCTATAAATCATAAATATTTTCTGAAACACAACCATGTGATAACAGGAAGTGTTTTTGCAGTTTTTGATACACTGTTCATGTACTTTAAAAACTGTTTGCAAACAGAATCAGGTGTAATGTGTGATTTTAATGAGTAGTAAGGTTTGAAATTTCTTTATCATGTTTATGTTGTATCCTAAAATGCAAGCTGTCTTGTGATATTTACATCGTGAAGGCATCAATTTCATCCCTCTGTTTTTCAGAAAAAGAAGAAGTATGTGCAATCAACATTAGCTGATAAAAGAGCTTCGTTTAAAGGGGAAGGTGATCCCCCTCAGACGCTGTCAGCTGATGAGATGTCAGTCTTCTACAAACGCTTCCTTAATGAGAACTATAAGAGTCACATTTGGTACAACAAGTAAGCAGTCCTTTAAGTCAAATATACTGGAGACCTCTTAAGGCTTGTTGAAATATAATGTCCTGTTTCTAATGACCTGCCCACAGGGCGTGGCGTAGCCTAGTTGTTAAAGCATTTGCTCGTCACAACGAAAAGCTGGGTTCAATTCCTGAAATGGATACAATGTTTGAAGCCCATTTCTAGTGTCCCCAGCCATGATATGGCTGGAATATTGCTAAAAGCCCCAAATGGTCATGTGGTACATAAGTCATGACTGACATTAAATTGTTACGTACCACAGATATAAAATAGTTCATGAAATCCTCCATCCCCAGTAAGTTTTGAAAAGGTTCGAAGAAGCAAGAACACAATTTTAACTGCCATTGTCTAAAGACCCCTAGGACCACTGAAGTTATAGAAGTATCAAGCTATCAGTAGATCGAGACAAGCAGAGTGGTATTAGTAGTGCAAGTAAGGATTGTGCTTAGAACGTTTAAGTTTCATCATCTGAAACAATCTGTCAAGTTGAGGTACAAGGTTTAATTATCTATGAATGAAACTAAAATTAAAAAATTCTGCAAATGAAATGAAATGGATTTCACATTCTTAATTGTTTCAGTGCAGAAGCAGGGTTCTTTTAGCGCTGATATATGCAAAATATTAGCTGTCTACATGCACCAATTGCATGGAAACATGAATTCATTTTTTTTGTCTGACTTACCCTTACTTGTCCAATCAACATCAATCTGTGAAAACATTGAGTAAGCTTTATTACAATACTGTGTCACTGATCCCTGTGAAGGGCGGTCGGGTAGCCCAGTGGTTAAAGCGTTCGCTCTTCACGCAGAAGACCTGGGTTCGATTCCCGACATTGGTACAATGTGTGAAGCCCATTTCTGGTGTCCCCCGCTGTGATATTGCTGGAATATTGCTTAAAGCAGCGTAAAACCCCACTCACTCACTCACTGATCCCTGTGTTGTGTATGACACATGACACAGGCATCAGAGGTCTGAGGTTGTACTTACTTAGACTAGTAAATACATCTATGATTCAACTTTGATAAATGTATGGGACCTGCGTGCAACCTGGTTTTGTCTGGTGCAACTAGCTTTCCATGTTAACCTGCACCTGTGTAAGATAAATCAAGTTTCTTAAATCGAGCCAATCATGCTCGTACCTTTATCAAGCATGTCAACTATCTGACTGAAATGTTGCTTTCCAACAGTTAAGAAACCATCCAACAAGGCTTGTCTTCACTGATACTACATCATCAACATTGCCACTTACAGATAACATTTGGACTGTTGCAACATTGCAATAATGTTTTCCAAATTTGAATCCTCATTCATGTTGCCATACCTGCACATAAGCTTCCAGTCACTTGTTACTTATGAAGAGTCAGAATCAACTATGCCTTTTCAAAGTGTTTCAGCATAGTTTTTCAAATAGTCAAAATATAACAATCTTGTTAGTTGTCTGTCTTTTGTATAGCTATGTGCATGTATCTATTCTGTGATCAGTTATATTTTTACAGACAAAATGTTTTTGCAGGGAATGGTACAAGAAAAACATTTCACTTTTGTGGCCGGCTTTGCAAGTCAACATATCAAGATTCATGAAAAAGTTGAAAAGATCATGATGCAGATCCATGTTAATTGAGGAAGAAAGAAAACTTTGACATTTTACATAATCACCAGTTTATTGTTTCCTGGTGACTGAAGTCATAATGCTGCATGAATAGATAGTTTCCTGTATGAAGCAAGGATGTATCTGCCTGTGTTGATTTTGTCCTATGAATGTTTTCATATCGTGTACCTTTCTATTTTACTCTCGTCCCATTTGAAATGACTGAAGAGATGCAGTTGTTTTTGGACATTGAGACTTACTAGGTACTGTTGAGAGTACTGTGAAATGTGTATGGATTATTAGTTTTGTAAATAAACTAATATTTTGTATTACAAAATAGTTTTTGATGAAATATTTAGTTTCATATTTTACTTTAATTTTGCCTTCCATGGTTTGTTACTTTAGAGTTATCCCCCTTCAACTTGACTTTGTATCATGCTTGTGGCAGCAAAGACTACGGAGATAATTGAGTTTTTTGCAAGGGAAAAGAATGTGCAATACAAGTAAGACTTCTACACAACTGCACGTTCATTAAATTATATAGATAAATTATACTCACTGCCAAAGAAATACAAACCATAGAAACTCAAACAGAGGTATGTACATGAAGAAGAGATGTTTCCAATGTGTACTTATTAATGACAAAACTAACAATCAGTCAAGTGTTACCAAAGAGTGTCCCTATTCTTATCACTATTTGCTGCACATGATTTCCAAACTTATGTTTGTTTGTGCATCAAACCAATCTAATATCTGTTGAATATGATTTTTGTTTGTTTGTTGTTTAACGCCTCACCCAGTAATATTCCAGCTATATGATGGCGGTCTGTAAATAATCGAGTCTGGACCAGACAATCCAGTGATCGACATCATGAGCATCGATCCACACAATTAGGATACAATGACATGCATCAACCAAGTCAGCGAGCCTGACCACCCGATCCCATTAGTCGCTTCTCAGAACAAACAGATGCCTTTAACAGCAAGCTTGGGTTGCGGAAGACCTATTCTAACCCCGGATCTTCATGTTGAATATGCGCAATTCTTCATATTTTAACCAACATATATGCATCTTCCCGAGGCAAGTGAGTAAACTGACTATAAAAGTCCAGTTTCCACCCTTGCTGAACTAGGCTGGTATTATGGAGTTACATTTCCGCTGGACTAACGAGTCTATGCATAGTCCAATCAAAATCGCGCACCGAAATCGAAATCCGGTTTTGTAAACTGTTGTGCATATTTCGGTCGATTGCAGGATTTGCAAAGCATGTGCACCGCCAACTTGTTGTCAACAGATATTTTCCAAATCTTTTCATGTTTTTAATCAAGGTGCTCACGTGATTTGATGTATATCGCGATGTAAGACCCGTTTTATCACAATATAGATCTTGATTATCGATCAGATAGTCCTGACTGGGCGCCACCATTTTTGATGAAGCAAACGCAAGTGATACGAGAGGTGGAATCTCATTGGTCCATAGGAGAGGCTTAGAGGGGACATAACTGTTAATAGCCACTGGTGGCGCTATGATCGAGCCCAGTAATTCTAGCCTAGTTTGGCAAGGGTGGAAACTGGACTTTTAAAGTCAGTTTACTCTCTTGCTTCGGGAAGATGACATATTATATGGTATTCATGTTTCTTTTGTCAGTGAGTATATAAATAAATGGCTGTGATATGAATGTGTAATGGGGGAAAATATATTTTCAATATGGCATGGTGTATTGAACTGTGAATACTGTGTCGTGTCTTGAGAGACATTGATGGTCAATGAAGATGTAATAATTTCAGGAATTCATTACAAAGTACAGTGAGTCAAAAGCCATCTGCAGATTTGCGTCCCCAAGGCTTGCCAGGATCTGCTGATCCTAGATTTGCCAAGATTATGTATGATCCTTGGTCTGTTAAAATAAGTAAAAGACCGTCCTCACTTTGCCAAAGAAATATTGGTGAGGACATATAAAACATAAGTGAGTGAGTGAGTGAGTTGTGTTTAACGCCGCTTTTTAACAGTATTCCAGTTATATCACGGCGTGTCAGCTTAATGTGGGAGGAAAGCCCGAAGTGATGCAGGTCTCAAACGTTAACCACTTTGGTGAAACCCACGAGCACGGGTATGGTGCTGACAAACCTAGAAACATAATTGGGTCGAACTCGGATTCGAACCCACAATCATAGGTTTCTGGCGTGCCCAAGGGACGCAACTCTGCACAGGGAATTGCGGCGCCTTGGACGACTGGGCCACCGTGCCTCCCTATAAAACATGAACCACATGAATACTGATTCATTTTTATTGAATGGTATGAATACATGAAACATACTGGTACTCCTTCATACCAAGGCTTGTAACTGTATCTAAAGAAAACACCATTTTATCTCATATCAGGTGATTTCACCTTACAAACGTGTACAATATGTCAAGGGAATGCTTGTATATGTTGAAAGAAAAGCTTTGTTTATTTCGAAATCAAAATTTCACACAGTGTAACACTTTTTGACGGATCTACGTTTTGTATGCCTCAACACATGGTGTTCAAAAGTAGGTCAACAAATAAGTACAGCCTTGTTAACTGAGCTGTGACGACCGACGAGTCGTGCCGAGATCGTCTTGTAAATTTGTGCTGAAAGTACACGTTTGGGACTTGAAATTGACAACCGTAACTTCGACACATCAGAGGTTAAAAATGATGAACAAAGAAGGAATATGCAGGGACCAAGCTTTTACTTCGAGACAAACGTAAATTCGACATATCAATGTTTGACACAACAGTGTTTGACTACATAATAAAGACATAATTTTTCTTATCTTGTGAACTGATAAAGATGACTTGTCCACTTGTACCTGCAACTTCATCAGACAGGTGAGACCAGACAAGCCAAGTACCCTCATTGTATATTCATTATTGTATCCACTTGTAGTGGATCGTGATTCTTTACTTTTCGATGCAAGTATTGATCACAATTGCACACAAAGTAAAAATGATTGATTCTTACCTTAAATGTATTCTTTAATATATGTTACACCAAACACTAATTACTAGTGAAAATGAGTAGTGAAAATGAGCAGTGAAAACGTATATATTTTTGTCCATTGCACCTACTCACTCACTAATGATTCGACCCGTGAAGATCCTGGTCTTCAGCAACCCATGCTTGCTGGTCAGGGTCGGCGACTTGGTTGATGCATGTCATCATATCCCAACTGCTCTTGATGTCAATCACTGGATTGTCTGGTCCAGACTCAATTACTTACAGACCACCGTCATATAGCTGTAATATTGCTGAGTGCGCGATATAGCTGTAATATTGCTGAGTGCGGCGTTAAACAACAACCAAACAAACAAACAAACACTTGGTAACGATTTGTACATCTTCATGTATCAATCAAAGACAACATAATTATCACATCACTTCTTGGTAAAACCCAGTAGTTTCAAGCCAAGTCTCTTCTTCTGGAGGTCGACATTGATGACTTCCACGTTCACGTTATCTCCAAGCTGCACACCCTGTCTCCCCTCCAGGCCCTGTCTCATCTGACTTGTGTGGATCAGTCCATTATGACCCACCCCTACATCCACAAATGCCCCGAAATGAGTCACATTTGTCACTCTGCCTGTCAGTGTTTGTTTAGCTTTGAGGTCCTCCATTGCAATCACACCCTTCTTGAATAGCGGTTTATCATACTCTGGAACAGAATGAAGACACATGTCTACCTGGGTCAATTATTCTTCCCACTTCTACATGTAATTATAGGTAAACTGTTGAATAAAAATCAGGAAAGCCAACCTGGCCTACTCCATATTCTAGAACCAAATTCAGGACACCAGGTCAAACATGAACTAAAAACATCATCAGGAAATGACATATTCCCCGGTCTTGTGCAATTTGGAAATTGAGATGGGCTTTTGGATCACTGCCATTGGATACCTTAAGTTCAGTGAAGAAAAAATTAATGCTGTTCAGTATTTATGTAAATCCCAAATCCCAATGACATCAAATGATTTGGAAATTATTTACAGGAATATGGACCAGGTGAGCTAACATCAGGCAGCAAATCTCGAAAGGATGATTAGCAAATTCAAACAGCTGGGCCACATCTGAGAAATAATCCTCAAGCCATTAATACAGGTACCATGCATACTCATCTGGACTAACAATCTCTTCATATAGCGGGGCGGTCAGGTAGCCTACTGGTTAAAGCGTTCGCTTGTCATGTCGAAGACCCAGGTTTGATTCCAACATGGGTACAATGTGTGAAGCCCATTTCTGGTGTCCCCCGCTGTGATATTGCTGGAATATTGCTAAAAGCGGCGTAAAACCATACTCACTCACTCACACTTCATATAGCATCAAATTGTCTCTTCGAATAACAAGGGAGATTCAGAACATCACAAGCATGGAACACCCATAAGAATGACTGTGGACAAGACCAGTACATTATGGTTGATATCATGTAAATGCTATAAATAAGGAAAACACTTTTCAGTAATTGCCTAAATAATGATGAGAAATTTCTACATTTCTGAAGTTTATCTTTGAATTGGGGTTGTTTGCTAGTGTCAAGTTGGGAGTGTTTCACACTTACCGTCGCGGATGTCGTAGGTCAGTGACTGACTGAGAGCATCAGTGATGAGGGTGATGGTGGGAGCTCCTGTGTTGTACGTCCTGGCTAGCTCCTCAACACCTGGCAATACAAACATTAAACACCAACCTTGGACCACAGACACAGGAGAAGCAATAACTCTTTGTCATGGAAACAAGCAAATCCAAACCCTGGACCTCATGAATCTCTGTAGACAATAGTTAGAGAATAGACAGAGCCTTGCAATACTTATTCACTCGGGACAGGTTATACTTAATGCAAAGTTTCAAGCAGGTAAAGCTAGACATTTCTCCTCATCATTTAAAGAAAGTAAATGAAGTGAGTTGGGTTTAACGCTGTTGTGAACAGTATTCCAGTTATGTCAGGTCAATGTGGGAGGCAAGCATGAAGTGATGCAGGTCTCAGACATTTACCACTTTGGTGAGACCCACGAGCAAAGGTATGGTGCTGACAAATCTAGAAACATAATCAGGGCAAACCAGGATTTGGACCCTCAATCATAGATTTCTGGTGTGCCCAAGGGACAAAACTCCCGGACCACTTTTGTCTACAATTGATGAAAATCCATCGAAATGTCCCAAAAACAACCCCAAATCACTGGAGCCAGTCTGTTGTTCTGATGACAACAGAATCAGTTTGTGACATCATAAACAATAAATGACATATCACACTGTAATTAATGATGCAGTAAGACACGATATTACTTCAGTTGGCCAATCAAAACCGACCAATCATTTTGAGAGTCACATGATCTATGAACACATGATTATTGGAAATATATCTAAAGAGCTACCCTCACCTTTGTGTTTGCTGAATCGTCTTATTTCCTCACAAAACTCTTCCTGCCCAACATTCTTGGGATCAACTCCAGTGTCTGTCATTAGTCTGAAACAGTCCCGACATTACATAACCATCCTTGATCATCCAGGATATTATATAACACCACACTCAGCAATATTCCACTTGAATGACGTCAGCCCATAAAAAATTGTGTCTGGACCAGAAAATCCAGTGGACGATATTGTGAGCAATGATCAACTCTGTTTGGGTACAATGACTCGCAACGAACCAAGTCTCCAAGTCTGACCACCCGATCCATTTGGTCGCCTCTTACAACCAGCATAGGTTCCTGGGACCTATTCTAACCATTAAACACCACAGGTTAAGTATATAAGTAAAGCTAATGTGACCTCATGTATAATGTGTTGTGGATATATCACTGACTCACCTTGTTGCTATGTGATAGGACTCAGGATGGATGGATGTCATATCTAGTGGATTGGGGGTACAGTCTATTTCTGATTTCTTCTTTTTGGCAGACACTTTGGTTGAGCCAGCTTTCCTCTTTCTCCCTTTGCCTGATGGGCCTGGTGCTTCGACTGCAGCATCCTCGTCTGGCCTGGATATAATACGTCGTATCAAGTAAATGGTGTATAAATCCTATATCATGCATACCTGTTGTACTCCCACTTCTTTCCTTAAGGTGTGTAAACAGAATTGTTAGTTACTTGTTTTCCATTGAAATTGGAAAAAATCTCCCAAATAATGATATTTAATGTTCTTAATGTTCTCAGTTAAATCACCCACCCTACAGCCCAGACTTAGCCCCCAGTGACTATATCATGTTCCGGCAAATGAAATCTGCCCTACATGGAAGACGCTTCCAGGATGACGAGGACATAAGGGCTGCCACAGAGGCGTGGTTAGAGGGCCAATCTGCGGATTTCTAAAAAAGTGGTATTAAAAGCTTAAAGGACAAATGGAATAGGTCTATTGAGGTGAATGGAGATTATATTGGAGATTATATTGAAAATTAAAAGTGCAAAAGATATTCTGCATCTTGGTCTTATATTGAAGTTGCAAAACTTATTAAACACCCCTCGTACCTCTCCCCCTGCATACTGAAGTCGTGCAGCACTCGGATGAAGCCAGCGCACTGCTCGTACCCCTTCTGACCCAGCCCCTTGATGCCCAGCAGCTGTTCCCGACTGGCAAACGCCCCATTCTTTTCCCGCCACTCCAGGATCTTCTTTGCCTTGGTTGCATTCAGCCCTGCAATCCTCCTGAAACACACACACATACACCTGTGTAACATGGCGTGTGTCACTGTCTGGTGCTTGTGCTGAAGTCCTGACAACTCCCATTCAAGTGACATCATGGGAAAATAGTATCCAGTCTTGAGAAGTGACAACTGAGTGAGTGAGTGAGTGCAAAGGCGGATCTAAAGGGCAGATCCAGGGGGTCCCGACCCCACCCTTTTGAGAGAGGATTTTGATATTTTGGATCCCTCCATTTCTAAAATGCTGGATCTGCTCTTGGAGTGAATGTTGTTTTCCACCTGATTTACACCTGTAAATATAAGTCTGGGCCAGGCAGACCGGTGATAGACATCATACACTCCAAAGGGAAAAATTACCCACAACAAGACAAAAAGTGAGCAGGGCTCACTAATGACCTGACTTCGACTCCAACATATTTCTAAGTTCAAAACATCAGAAAAGCAATATTTTCTTAGAAAATCCACTTAACAAAATCAAACTTTGCACTGCACCTCTCTCCTATTACCAGGTAGTATAGAAACTGTACCCCCAATTTGAAAAGAACCAATGAAATAGTTTCTAAGTTATAGGTCGCACAAATGTTGAAGTAAAAAAAATATCACAACATGAAAAACATATTTTTTTCAGAAAATACACATATCAAAATTAAACTTTGCACTTCTTCTATTAGAAAATGGTTCCCTTTGAAAAGAATCCATGCAGTAGTTTTCCAGTTACAGGTCACACAAAAAATGTCCTAGGAAGGAATGAGTGAGTGAGTGAGTTGTGTTTAACACCGCTTTTAACAGTATTCCAGTCATATCACGGTGTGTCAGCCTAATGTGGGAGGAAAGCCCGAAGTCATGCAGGTCTCAGACATTTACCACTTTGGTGAAACCCACGAGCACAGGTATGGTGCTGACAAACCTAGAAACATAATCGGGGTGAACCGGGACTCGAACCCACAATCATAGGTTTCTGGCGTGCCCAAGGGACGCAACTGTGCACAGCGAATTGCGGCGCCTTAGACGACTGGGCCACCTGGGCCACCTGGGCCCCACTCCTCGGAAAGACGGACGGACAGAATTCCTTGGTATACCAACATACCCCCGTCCTTTGAGGTCAGAGGTATAATAACCAGGGGATAATAATCAACTGAAAACACTGCATGAAGATGAATTGTCCATCTGACTGTCAAGCAGAACAAGAACTGATGAGGGAAACGGATTTCGAAGATACAGAAGTTAGTGTCCAAGCAGATAATGATGTGTATCATCATCCATCAATCATCAATATCCATGGACAAGTCTGTTGTGAGGTTGATACCTGGTGTAATGGCAATGAAGGTACACACTGACCTGAGCAGACACTCGCTGCCAGTGTTGATGTCCACGCCGACGAAGCTGACACACTCCTCCACCACCGAATCTAGAGCTGTCTTCAACTTGCTCTCTGCGATGTCATGCTGCGGACCACATCATGCAAAGTATGTTGTTTTATAGCCAGAATCTCCCACATTACAATATACAAAGTAGGAAGATGGTGCTCTAACACAAGGAGATGGTTTCAGTTGCAGAATTCAATGAACATTAAATTGCAGCAAAGTCCCTCTGATTTTTTTGTCACAGGCCTAAGGATCAGATGTTAAGTGTACCCATGGGTAGTGTCTACATAGCCTACAGATGAGAACATTCATATGAGCAGGTACATGTACATAGCTCACCTGATACATCCCAGAGCCTGCAGATGAGGTGGACATAGCTCACCTGATACATCCCAGAGCCTACATATGAGGTGCACATTTACCACACAGACAAGTGTACATAGCTCACCTGATACATCCCAGAGCCTGCAGATGAGGTGGACATAGCTCACCTGATACATCCCAGAGCCTACAGATAAGGTGCCTATTTACCACACAGACAAGTGTACATAGCTCACCTGATACATCCCAGAGCCTGCAGATAGGGTGGACATTTACCACACAGAGAAATGTACATAGCTCACCTGATACATCCCAGAGCCTGCAGATGAGGTGGACATAGCTCACCTGATACATCCCAGAGCCTACAGATGAGGTGGACATTTACCACACAGAGAAGTGTACATAGCTCACCTGATACATCACAGAGCCTGCAGATAAGGTGGACATAGCTCACCTGATACATCCCAGAGCCTGCAGATGAGGTGGACCTAGCTCACCTGATACATCCCAGAGCCTACAGATAAGGTGCCCATTTACCACACAGACAAGTGTACATAGCTCACCTGATACATCCAAGAGCCTACAGATGAGGTGGACATAGCTCACCTGATACATCCCAGAGCCTACAGATGAGGTGGACATTTACCACACAGAGAAGTGTACATAGCTCACCTGATACATCTCAGAGCCTACAGATGAGGTGGACATAGCTCACCTGATACATCCCAGAGCCTACAGATGAGGTGGACATTTACCACATAGAGAAGTGTACATAGCTCACCTGATACATCCCAGAGCCTACAGATGAGGTGGACATAGCTCACCTGATACAACCCAGAGACTATAGATGAGGTGCACATTTACCACACAGACAAGTGTACATAGCTCACCTGATACATCCCAGAGCCTGCAGATGAGGTGGACATAGCTCACAGATACATCCCAGAGATTATAGATGAGGAATACATTTACCAGGTAAGTGTAAAAAGCTCACCTGATACATGCCCACACCAATATGTTTGGGTTCAATTTTGACCAACTCTGCCAGGGGATCTTGCAGTCGTCTTGCTATGGAAACTGGAAACAGGAAACCCAAAGTGTCACTTATTCAGTATACAACCACATGTAAAGCACAGCCACGAGTAAGTGAGTATGGTTTTACACTGCTTTTAGCAATTTTCCAGCAATATCACTGCGAGGGACACCAGAAATGGGCTTCACACATTGTACCCATGTTGGAATCGAACCTGGGTCTTCGGCGTGATGAGCAAACGCTTTAACCACTAGGCTACCTGACCGTATCCTATGTATTTGTAAGATCAGTGGTACAGCCTACACCTGTCAGGGGGATGCTTTCAACTGGGGCATGTTTCCCAGCTATGGCAGATCTTACTTTGACCTTGAGACAAATCATAATGGACAATAGAGAATATACATTTGTATAAATATCAGCTAATTCTATTAAAGGAACTGATGCTTCGTACTGTAATGGGCAAACAAAGGATGAAGCCCATGATAAAAAGGTCAGCATCCCTCACTGACAACGCGTCAACATGACTTGAGAGCAAGAATGAATATGACATCATCTCACCCAAGACGTCACATGACAAAAGAATTTCTCTCTCAAATTTGACTAATTTGCCACCCCCTAGAGATCTGCCATAGATTCCTACATATACAGACACAAGAGGAGTCATCGCGGAAGATGATCCATGACACTGACAAATGGGGTTCCATATAATACCCAAGTGACATGGCTGAGAGCCAGTTAACATCTACAGTCCGTTTTGCTCAAAATGCAAACGATGAATTGCAAAATAGCTCAAAATCGGGAATAGTCTATTAAATGTCCAAATGGTACATGGCAATGAATACCCTGCACCCAACAAAATCTGTTGTGTGTTCCTTTTCAGTCTCATTAAAATCAGATCTTTGTTCTCGCTATCGCTAAACAAAGATCTGAGGACATCCCATTAAGGGTCACGTCAGAATGACCTTTCATCCAATCAATCAGAGCATCACTTATCAGATTATGAAAGTGACAGTCGGAATGTGTTTTCTAATCATGCAACCACGAAATATTTAACACGGGGTATTCCGAACGACAGTTACGGGTTTTATGATTATATCCATGCAATCTACGCCATCTATAAGCCATTCCAGAATATTCTTTTAATCAGTTTTAATTTTTTTAATCGAGAATACGTCAAAATATGTTTCGAAGCATAGTCACCAGTTTGAAACTTGTGTTGTAAAGCTCAAGAAAGCTGCCTTCTGATTGGCTAATGTCGATTTCTTGTCAGTCATTTCATTGGTCGGTAAAAATTCGCGAAAGGTCGTTCTGACGTGACCCTTAATGGGATGTCCTCAGATCTTTGTTTAGCGGTAGCGAGAACTAAGATCTGATTTTAATGAGATTTGCTCTTTTTATTCCCATCACTGGAAAAAGTTGTTTAAGAAACTATCATGTTGTCATATACACACAAAAAAAGTGGGCGTGCATCCCAACTGGATCAGTGCAGGCATCTGCCTTTAACACGATCAAACCTTACTACAGGTGGGGAGACGTGAAAAGGGGTTTAACGTTGCCCCACCATTAAAGCACTTACATAGCAACATGCACTGGTCTGGACTGATGCTGATTTATAGTGCTAGCCCACTAAGATACCATGCCGCAATTTAACATGAAAACCGCACTCAGACACAGTATACTGATTCCGAGCCGACCAGTTCTTGTTTTAGCCCCTTAGTGCCCAGCGCATGGCAGGGTAACAACAAGTACCATCTTTAAACATCTTTTGGCCTGACGCGACCGGGGATCAAACCCCACACCTTGCTCTCTCCAGACAGACGCTATACCACTACACCATAAACCTTACTACAGTAATTCTAATAATCATGTTATGATATGATGAATATAAATCTGTATCCAGGACAGGGGACACACCTGCTCCTCTAAGAGTTGGGTCAAGGTCAGGTAACTCTCGCTGGGCCTCATCTGACACGCTGTAGATGGATGCTCCACTCTCGTCTACGATGCTGGGATGAAACAACAAAACTCCATCAGAAATCTAATGTCTGCAGTCAATGAGTGAGAGAAAGAGTTTTCATGTAGCATCTCATCCGTATCATGGCAGCAAGTGTTGTGATGTGATGTGATACATGTTGTTTGTTACCATAATGGAATAATTGAGGGTTACACAATGTAGGTGCATCACTCTGGCAGTGTGGGTTTGAATACCGGATGGGACTCAACCCAAATAATTACTAGAATCTGTACTTTCCTAAGAAAGTCTTATCCCAAATTTAACATTTGTTACATTTGACCGCTTTCTAAATGGCATTGTGTGTTCATAGCTTTCGGCATGGGAGATGTGCCAATTTCACACTTGTCAGAGGGGTGCACAAAGTATGTTATCTGGACTACCAGTTGTCAGATTTCATTTTTGTTGAATCCTCGTTGGCTGAATGGGTTATATTGGTGACTTTGTGTGCTAGCGATGAGGTGCCTCACTCTGGTAGTGTGGGTCCGAATCCCAGATGGGGCTCAACCCAAAAAAGTACTAGAATCTGTGCTTTACATAACCAAAGAGGTTAACCCTATCAGCATGCTGACAAGGTATGGATGTCATCTGTGGGATGAGTCCACGCCCTTCTACATCTACATCGTTGGAAGGGGAAGATGCATGTACTATACACCCACCAGTACATGACCTGCATTTCCCCGAACGCCTTCTCCTGGATGAGGCCAGCGACATACTGCTCCGTCTGTCGACATGCCACACCATTCCCGATTGCTATCATCTCACACCTGCAATGTGATGTAAATACACCTAAAGAGGAGTGTCTACTGTTTAGGTACACCTAAGGAAGAGTGATTCGCATCACAATATCAATAGCAAACCTGCATATTTGGCTTAATATCATGCACAACATTGATACATCAACATCTGAAATGGATTTAAATATATATACATGAACAGATATTTTCCCTGAAGGAATTCCGAATATGGCTGCCATGACAGACATATGTTGAATCAGAGAGGAGAACCAGAAACAACTCCTTCACACTGGATTGACAAACAAAACACTAAATATATCTTTATGGACTTTACAGGGGGCACGGGTGGCCAAGTCGTCTAAGGCGCCACGATTCTCTGTGCAGAGTTGCATTCCTTGGGCACGCCAGAAACCTATGATTGTGGGTTCGAATCCCGGTTCGCCCCGATTATGTTTCTAGGTTTGTCAGAACCATACCCGTGCTCGTGGGTTTCACCGAAGTGGTAAACGTCTGAGACCTGCATCACTTCGGGCTTTCCTCCCACATTAAGCTGACACGCCATGATATAACTGGAAAACTGTTAAAAGCGGCATTAAACCCAACTCATTCACTCACTCACTTATGGACTTTACTTCTGAAACTCACTGCTGGGACTTTGTGAGAGCTCATGTGGTAAACGGAATGGTACATATCTCCTCCCTATGGACAAAGTTACCTGAATGTTTTAACGATGTTGACCAGCTTCTGCTTCTCGGCAGCCTTGTTAGACTTGTACTCCAGGAAGTAGAACACCTGAGTCGTCTGTATTCCTCCTGCAGTGCAAGATGGGGGTGCAGCCATCACATAGTCATCAACTGGGTCAGTGCATTCTAGGGCTTGGGCAATACACAGTCATGATTTGATACCTACCATGATAATGGGGAGTGATTTGATATAAATCATAATAGTGGCGACACAATAAGAAATGTATCATAATAGTGGGGTCACAATAAAAGATGTATCATGATAGTGAGATCCCAGTAAGATATGTACCATAATAGTTGGGTCACGATAAAAGTTGTATCATGATAGTGAGGTCCCAGTAAGATACGTATCATAATACTGGGGTCATGATAAAAGATGTTTCATGATAGTGTTAGTGACAGTCACACCACAAAACAACACCCAAATTCTGATTTTTAAGTTCAGTATATATCACACCCACACCCACACCCACACCCACACCCACACCCACACCCACACCCACAAACTCACACAAACACACACACACACTTAAAATAATATCTACACATGTTTGCAGAGAAGAAAACACAACTACGAGCGAGCTTTCATTAAAAAAATGAAACTTCGGACTCCAACAAGCTATTTACACTTACCAAAAGGGCAACTCATCTGGACTAAAGTTGTTTTCTAATATCAATAGTTTTTGGATGTTTTGCTTTGTTGTTGTAAAACAGTCAGGAACACATGAAATGGGTTCACACAAGAGTAGATTTAAAACATCACACATTGTATGATAAGTGAACTCAAAAACCACTTGGAAAGGTTTGTAAAATATTCTAAGAATAAGTAAACAAATGCAATTTCATGTGAACTGATAGATAAAAAAAAAGAGTGACACAGCTGTCCATAAAGACTTTAAGGATATTATGTTCGATATTTCTAACAACTGGGCAAATCTTTTTAGTACACAAGAATAAACTAATCAATGTCATTGTTGAAAATTGGTCCACCCACCTGTAGGGGAGACAACTGCTGTCTTGCAGCCATTCTTGAACCCGGGGTCAATCCCAAAGACCGTCTTTCCCCTGACGGGTGGAGTCAGAAGTAGTCGCTTCAGGTTCGAGGCAAACACAAGGATGGAGTCTTTCTCTGCTGTCTTTGTCAACTCAGACCTGGTGACAGAGAGACTCTCACTGAATGTATATTTATCATCACCCTTGTACAACGCTGTGAGTCTAATGAGTCTCCGCATCATGACATCTTAGAAACCTCCAGTAATGACACCAATAATCAACCCGAGACACCCTTTCAAAGTTGTCAAGTGGTTAAATACAATCCATAATTGGTAAATGTACCACTAAAAATAAGTTAAGGGCCACCATTCTTTCATATTACTATATTTACTCTGTCATGGCATTACTGTTTTAGCAGTTTATGTCAATATTTAGTTTAATTTTTAACATATCATGATCGGAAATGCCCCTCCTTACATGAAAAAAGCAAATGTTTGCCTCAGCTGTTTCTGTAGTGGGAGTATTTGAAGGAAATACACCAAAAAATGAAAAGGAGGCAATGAGCAATAAATGTTATAGTTGGGATAACACTTTCTTAGTAAAGTACAGATTCTTGTACGTTTTTGGGTTGAGTCCCGTCCGGGATTTGAACCCACACTGCCAGAATGAAGCACCTAGTCAGAACACAAAGTCAGCGATCTAACCCACTCAGCCACCGAGGCTTCCACTATGAGCAGACTAGCTGGAACTTGCCGCTATATGAATAGACTATTATTATTCCACCCTTGAGTTTTCAGTTTGTACAGAACAAAGACAAAGCAATTATGCCCTTTGCTTCCATATGGGGAACAACAGACACAAGTCTCATTGAAATCAAATCAATGACTGACTGGATAAGATATGCATGACATGGTCAATCCACACATATTGTAATTATTGGACACGTTGGAAGCAAACATTTGCATGAAAATTACTGCAGAAGCTGGATTCAAGTCTTTAACTCAAGTTGAATATGTTGTGAGTATAGAGGGCGTCACCTGATATGTCTGCAGGTCTGCGGCAGGATGAGTCTGTTGACGGCGTCAGCGATGCTGGTCGACATCAGCGTCTTCACACTCGGAGATGACCAGTGCTTCACAAACTTGTGGGTGTAGCTGCCTATAAGTCGATTCTTCACATAATCCGGGATGGTCACGCGCACAGTGAGGATCTTCTTGTCTTCACCCCGATTTAATGCAAGCACCTGCAACACAATATCTTGATTACACCAGAGACCCATGTAGATCTGTGTTAGAATAGGTCTTCAGCAACCATGCTCACCAAAAGTGGTTGGTTTGGTTTGTTTGTTGTTTAACGTCGCACTCAGCAATATTCCAGCTATATGGTGGCGGTCGGTAAATAATACAGTCTGGACAAGACAATCCAGTGATTGACATCATGCGCAACCATCCACGCAATTGGGATCGATGACATGCATCAACCAAGTCAGTGAGCCTGACCACCCAATCCCATGAGTCGCCCCAAGCATGGGTTGCTGAAGACCTATTCTACCCACCACAAGAGGTGACTATGCTTGTCCTTAGAGGCGACTTACGGGATCAGGTTCTCGTGATAAAAATATTTATCAAAGCGTAGCCTAGAATGGAAGTCACCAGTTTAAAACAGGTGTCGTAAAGCTTGAGAAAGCAGCTTTCGGCTAATTTCAACTTCTTGTTAGTCAGTTCATTGGTCAGTCAAAGTCTGCTAAAGGCCGTTCTGATGTGACCAGTAATGGGTTGTCCTCAGATGTTTGTGTGCGGTTGCGAGCATAAAGATCAGATTTGAATGAGATCATGTTATATGTACAGCCAAATGTGAATGGCGATGCAACTTGCTGACTCGGCACTAAATAATCAATACCGAAATTATGGTGCAAAACGTAACTCACAATACAATACTATGACATACTTGGTGACTCTTGATATATTTGACGGGGCAGGAAAAGTCAAAGTACTGCTCGAACTTGTGGCTGTCGTCTGGGGCTCGAGATTTTGTCTCCTCAGCATCCTTCTTGGTGCTTGTTTTACTTCTGCTGCTCTCCAGCTTCACATTGGAGGTCTCACACCTGCGAACAACAGCTACACATTGGAGGTCTCACACCTGCACACAACAGCTACACATTGGAGGTCTCACACCTGCACACAACAGCTACACATTGGAGGTCTCACACCTGCACACAACAGCTACACATTGGAGGTCTCACACCTGCACACAACAGCTACACATTGGAGGTCTCACACCTGCACACAACAGCTACACATTGGAGGTCTCACACCTGCACACAACAGCTACACATTGGAGGTCTCACACCTGCACACAACAGCTACACATTAGACGTCTCCACACCTGCACACAAGAGCTACATCTGTGTGAGGGGAAACAACTCACAATCGTTTGACTTCATCCATGGCCTCTTTGTCCTTTGAGATGATGTCCGCCAGGATGTGTTGGATGCCGGTCTCTATGTCATGTGGCTTAGCCAAACCTGAAATATATGCCACGAGTTTAAACACATGCATTAATATGTACCAACATAGTGATAGTATACCAGTCAATGACTGCCACTTGTATATATACACAAGTCACTATTTCACACAGGGGTTGATTGAAACATCTAGGCTATTGTCTTGTTTGTTGTTTGACACTGCACTCAGCAATATTCCAGCTATATGACAGCGGTCAGTAAATAATCGAGTCTCGACCAGACAATCCAGTGATTGATATCATGAGCATCGATCTACGCAATTGGGATACACTGACATGCTTTAACCAAGTCAGCGAGCCTGACCACCTGATGTCGTAGTCGCCTCTTACGACAAGCAGTCGCCTCTTACAACAAGCACAGTCGCCTCTTACTACAAGCACAGTCGCCTCTTACGACAAGCACAGTCACCTCTTACGACAAGCAAAGTCGCCTCTTACGACAAGCACAGTCGCCTCTTACTACAAGCAGTCGCCTCTTACTACAAGCACAGTCGCCTCTTACTACAAGCACAGTCGCCTCTTACAACAAGCACAGTCGCCTCTTACTACAGGCACAGTCGCCTCTTACTACAGGCACAGTCGCCTCTTACTAAAAGCACAGTCGCCTCTTACTACAAGCACAATCGCCTCTTACTACAGGCACAGTCGCCTCTTACAACAAGCACAGTCGCCTCTTACAACAAGCACAGTCACCTCTTACTACAAGCACAGTCGCCTCTTACTACAAGCACAGTCGCCTCTTACTACAGGCACAGTCACCTCTTAAAACAAGCACAGTCGCCTCTTACTACAGGCACAGTCGCCTCTTACAACAAGCACAGTCACCTCTTACAACAAGCACAGTCGCCTCTTACTACAGGCACAGTCGCCTCTTACTACAGGCACAGTCACCTCTTACAACAAGCACAGTCGCCTCTTACTACAAGCAGTCGCCTCTTACTACAGGCACAGTCACCTCTTACAGCAAGCACAGTCGCCTCTTACTACAAGCACAGTCGCCTCTTACTACAAGCACAGTCACCTCTTACAACAAGCACAGTCGCCTCTTACTACAAGCAGTCGCCACTTACTACAGGCACAGTCACCTCTTACAACAAGCACAGTCACCTCTTACTACAGGCACAGTCGCCTCTTACAACAAGCACAGTCGCCTCTTACTACAAGCATAGTCACCTCTTACAACAAGCACAGTCACCTCTTACTACAAGCACAGTCGCCTCTTACTACAAGCACAGTCACCTCTTACAACAAGCACAGTCGCCTCTTACTACAAGCACAGTCACCTCTTACAACAAGCACAGTCGCCTCTTACTACAAGCACAGTCGCCTCTTACGACAAGCACAGTCACCTCTTACAACAAGCACAGTCGCCTCTTACAACAAGCACAGTCGCCTCTTACTACAAGCACAGTCACCTCTTACTACAGGCACAGTCACCTCTTACAACAAGCACAGTCACCTCTTACAACAAGCACAGTCGCCTCTTACTACAAGCACAGTCACCTCTTACTACAGGCACAGTCACCTCTTACAACAAGCACAGTCACCTCTTACAACAAGCACAGTCACCTCTTACAACAAGCACAGTCACCTCTTACTACAGGCACAGTCGCCTCTTACTACAAGCAGTCGCCTCTTACTACAAGCACAGTCGCCTCTTACTACAAGCACAGTCGCCTCTTACAACAAGCACAGTCGCCTCTTACTACAGGCACAGTCGCCTCTTACTACAGGCACAGTCGCCTCTTACTACAGGCACAGTCACCTCTTACAACAAGCACAGTCGCCTCTTACTACAGGCACAGTCGCCTCTTACAACAAGCACAGTCACCTCTTACAACAAGCACAGTCGCCTCTTACTACAAGCACAGTCGCCTCTTACTACAGGCACAGTCGCCTCTTACTACAAGCACAGTCGCCTCTTACAACAAGCACAGTCGCCTCTTACTACAGGCACAGTCACCTCTTACAACAAGCACAGTCGCCTCTTACTACAGGCACAGTCACCTCTTACAACAAGCACAGTCGCCTCTTACTACAAGCACAGTCGCCTCTTACTACAAGCACAGTCGCCTCTTACTACAAGCACAGTCGCCTCTTACTACAGGCACAGTCACCTCTTACGACAATCATGGTTTGCTGGATCTTTGGCACACACTGAAAATGGGTAACAGGCCTTGGAGCACAGTCCCTCTTTGACTTCAGTAAATAATTTTTTACTGTTGTTTTGTCCCCCTTGTCAGTCTTAGGCTGAGCAGATCCCCAGTACTCCATGCATGCATCAGGGGACGGAAATGGGGATTGGTTGGTTACGTGTCACCTGGTTGATTGTGTGTACCCTGAGTGGATCATGAAGCTCACAACTGACTTGTCTCATCCAGATTACTTACAGGTCATCACGACACGAGAATATTGCTGATTTACCATTACACATCCTCACACTAACACCCTCTCACCTTTATTTCTAAATCAAACTGATTGCAATTTGATAAGGAGTAGAGCTGGCTACTGACTTTACATTGTACACATGAACTCTCAAAGATTATAGTTTAAAATTGGTCTTCAGCAGCCCATGAAGAGGCGACTAGCGGGATCGGGTGGTCAGGCTCGCTGACTTGGAGGATACATGTCATTGTATCTCAATTGGGTAGATTGATGCTCATGATGACTGGTCCGGATTCGATTATTTTATTGTTTCAATCCAGAGAATAACCTCTCACCTTTTTCACCTTGCCTGACGAGTTTCTCCAGTTCAACATGCTTTCCGTCTAGAATCTGTAATGCTGGTTCCTCCAGGCCAAGTTTGCGAGCTCTCTCTGCAAGACTCCCCTTGTGTCCCGGCTTATAGGGGGCGTACTGAGTAGGGAGAGCAGTAATGTTATACAGGGCTCCAGATAGTTTTTGAGTCATTTAGTATTTACTCACAAGTTATCATTCACATTGGGGTATTAATACTTTCCTGGGGTAGTCAAAATATTTTTACACTCTTTGAATTTTTTTCACTCCAGTCTATTGGGCATTTTTAAACTGAGTCGACATTTTCATAAAATAATTCTGACTAAAATGTTGATTCAGGTGACTTATAATTTCTGTCTGTTGGTGTGCTGCCCCAAGTGTGTAACAAGTTGCACTAACTCAAAACAGATACATACATGCCAAATTCACATCGAGCAGGATGTTACACTATTTGTATGCATAATTCAATGCAGAAGAGTTCAAGTATGTACGATGACTGCATTTGATCAGTAGACAAAGATCGGTGAATAAATACTGACTGAGTATGATTTTACGCCGCTTTTAGCAATATTCCAGCAATATCACGGCGGGGGACACCAGAAATGGGCTTCACACATTGTACCCATGTCGGGAATCGAACCCGGGTGTTTGGCGAGATGAGCAAACGCTTTAACCACTAGGCTACCCGACCGCCCCTGTGAATAAATACATGCACGGAAGTTGAAAAAGGACAAGCAGTGTTGGTATTACTATTGGTTTCATGAAGATTTGTATGCATGCAACTCAAAATTAATTGGGTAATGGTGATCTATTTTCCATATTTTACAGAAATATGCAGATTAGAGCTCTGAGTATAGCTGTGCAACATCACCAAACCATCAATTACACCTAGCTATTTCACTGCAGACAACCTAGATCACGCGCAGTCTGTATATTCTGGATCTGTTCCCACTTTAATAGTATTGCGAATTTCTTTTACTTCTCGATACAAGTATTGATCACAATCACACACCAAGTAAAAAGTATCGATTTTTACCTTAACTGTATTCTCAAGTAAATGATACAACAAACACTTATTACTAGTGAAAATGAGTAGTGAAAACATAAATATTTTCATCCATTGCCAACATCACTGCCAACTGTAAATCATAGGTATGCCAGGTATTAAGCCATCCTGTCTATGAAAAAGATGGCTTACACACCACAGATAAGAGCACATGCAAGTATCGTGATACGTATCGGATACAACAGTTGGTGTATCGTCTCAGCCCTAGCTCAAAGACATATCATTCTTCCGTTTGACAAGAATGATGCGTGTCAGTTATGCTGTCGCTACATACCAGGTGTTCTACTTCAGTGAGAGAGGTGGATCTTTTCAATGCAGCAGCCAGAGTTCGGTTCATCTTACCCGCAGACTCAATGCTGTTGTACACAGACGACATCTTGGACATTACATTCCTGGAATAAAACAGTGCATTATTCTGTGATATTGAAATTTTATAGCGTAATCACTGAATCAAAAAGGAGTGAGTTGGGTGCAACACCTGGACCCTCTTGCACAAAACCATCTAGCGCTAAGATCATCTTAAGCCTATGTTGAAGTATGGGAGTTACGATAATCTTAGTGCTAAGATTGCTTTGTGCACATGGGCCCTGAACAGTATTTCAGTTACATCTCTGCTTTCAAGTTTAACGTGGGAAGGAAGCCCAAAGTGATGCAGGTCTCAGACGTTTTAAATTTGGTGAAACCAGTGAGCACAAGTATGATGCTAACAAACCAAAAATCATAATAAGGGAATATTTGGGATTCAAACAAAGATCTTAGCCTTCTGGCACTCTTAAGGGATGCAACTCTGAGTACTGGGAGTAGAGGACTGGGCTACCAATGCTCCAAAATCATAGGGGACTGTAGGGCTGGGATGGGTAACTTAAGGTACATTTTGTACCTGTCTCTTGAGACCTACAGTGGATACCCAGGTAGGGTCGGGTAATCGGGGGATGGGTACCCGGGTAGTAAATCTGGACTCGTCCCAGCCCTAGGGGACTGCAATACAATTTGTACATATACTGTGTGTTTAAGAGTAACTGATAAATGTACAGGAATTCAGTTGAGATGATTGAAGAATTTAAAGATGGGTGGATGGGATGACAAGGGGGTTTGGGTCACTGACACCACAAGACATGTTCCTCCTTTTCAAGTAACTTTTAAAGAGCCCCACTGACTTTCAGGTCCCCATTTTCACTGATAAGAGGTCACCTGTCCACATGTATTCAAAGTAATCTGAAACTCTTAGAGTTATTCTGATGGACGCAGATTACAGTAAACTATGGTTACAACAAACTCAAAGCGACCAATAATTTTAGTATGTTATAACCATAGTTCGTTATAAGCATTTCGACTGTCAGACATCTTGGATCAGGTCACGTGATTGCATCATGTTACTCAACAAAAAACAAAAGTGTGCACTGTATTAGGGCTGGGACGAGTCCAAATTTACTACCCGGGTACCCAACCCCCAATTACCCGACCCTACCCAGGTACCCGCTGCAAGTCTCAAGAGTTGGGAACAAAATGTCTGATTGGTAATTGTTTTACTGCAGCCCTGGCTGAAACTATTTAGATACATGTATCAAACAATCAGATCATGCGTTCACTGAAGTTGACTGAAGCTTTATCTTTTCTCAAACATATACATGTCAAAAGGAGTGTGTGCATCGTCAGAAAGAAATGCGAACATTAGCGACTTGTCATGTAACCACTGAGCTAAAGTGAGTTTTTGTCATTAAACAATATATCACGTGACTAACCACGGGTTCGGGTAGTCCTGTGTCTAAAACCTTCCGCTTGAAAGGTGTGTCTGCCATAATACTTATATCAATGGTATACTTTGTTTAGCTATATCATGCAATATATTCTGACTTTAAAAAATTCAAAAGCCACATTCTTCAGCTTCTGTCATTCCAAAAGAATACAATTCTATCTTCCTTGTGATCAGAATAGGAGTTTTGTTACAATCATTATATCAATGTGCCTCAAATATCCTCACTTGAGATCATCGAGAAGGCTGCTGACTTCTCGTAGTTTCTCGGCCTCCATACTTCCTGTTCTCTCTTTACGATATCTGGCAATGAAGGGTATGGTGGCTCCCTCTTCCATCATCTCGATCAAACTGCGAGCGACGTCTTGTGATGTGTCGACTGTATCGGCAATCACATCTTCTATCCGCCAACTTGGCTCAATCTGTTTCCCTTTGGGAGGCATGTCTGTGACAATCTATAAAACAAATGATATCGTCAACAGGTCGACGGGGGTGGGGTAGCCAAGTGGTTAAAGCGTTTGCTCTTCACGCCAAAGACCCAAGGTTCGCTTCCCCATATGGGTACATTGTGTGAAGCCGATTTCAGGTGTCCCCCGCCATGATATTGCTGGAATATTGCTAAAAGTGACGTAAAGCCATGCTTAGTAGGCCGACAATCATATTCATTATATGTTTCGGCCTCAGATCAAATGGCAATTTAAATTGCATTAAATAGGAGATCCAGAAGTAGGTATCATTTTAGAAATCTATATTGGCAAGAAAACATATGTTATGATGGTGATAGCACTTAAAAGTTCAGACTTTGTACCTGATAAATGATTGCACATGCCTACCTTTAGAACCAACATTTTTTTGTTTGTATGAACTCATAACTTTACAATTTTTTAAAAACATGTTTTAATTTGGGTTGTGTCTTTGGTGCAATAATTTAGATTACACCATGGAAGCTTAATATCGTATTAAGTGTCCATGTTTACACAGAGACCTACCGATACACCTGATATAAGGTCTCTGTTTTACAGGTGAAAACACACAGTAGAAACAATTTGTTCACGACACTGGAATTGATCTTGGCCTAATAGTTATTTATAAAACATAAATAAAATAGATTCTTCGATGCTAATGCTGACACGTGATATCATTCACAAACTTACAGGGGTACCGGTCTCTGAATCAAAACTGTTCTTAGATACCGAACTGCTTGTGAATGTTTTGCCGCAGTCCGCTACCAGATAGGAACCGTGCGCTAGAAATCCCACATTCACTGTTATATAACGCACTGCATTTATCGTTACTCTAACTAGTAGCGGTGTAGTCGAGACGAGAATCTGTATCATAACTGACTCCGTCACCCCTACCACCATCTGTGACCACTGAGCCACAAAGGTTAATGGAGATATTGATTTTACAGCAGCTTCCAGCACTAATAATCATAACTCCCTACATCGACACTGCTCCATAATGTGTTGATGCTGTCGTCACAGTGATGTGTGAAGTGCATCTTCATCTACACTAGAAATAAAATTGTAAATGGCGACACTGACGTGACTGGTGTTTGGGGTTTTATAACACAAACCTGCTTGCTTGTCCAAACGAATCTGTTATTCGCGCAGGCAGAGAACAATCCAGGAAATAAAAGCTGTTTGGTAGCTGTTTTATGTATTGAGACCGCGGCCGGATTTCCCACGTAAACTAGATTGTGAAATAGAGTTACCTGCCCTTGAACAATCTCCATCACAATTATTGTCCACGGCGGCTCGGACGAATTTGCAATCCCAACAAATTTGGATCATTTCGTTCAAATAACCATCCACTCGTACAGTTCCAAGCATTAGATCTTTCAAACAATAACTCTTATTCTGAATTATTCTTAACTTCAGTCCCTTGGTATATTTTTTATCCATGTTGACAATGACTTCATATCAGTCGTCACATTTGTGATATCATATATCTATATATGTGTGTATAGATTAAAGAATACGATAATGCACATTATATCTCACTAATATCAGATCTTAGTTCTCGCTACCGTTAGCGATCTGACTTCAGTGAGATTGTTCTATGCGATTTATCGCGTAGCTATCTTTTATATGTCCATAAAGCAAGAACAGGAACAGGTTGAGGCCAAGCACAAAGTCGACAATCGTCATATTTTGACAAGTTGGGGTTTCTGTCTGTTCTTGGGTTTCAAATACAAAGTGGATTAACATCAGTCATGCAGAAATTGAAACAAATAGCCGATTGTGAATAAAATATATTATTCTATTACAATTTAAAGTATCACCCTTGCCTATTAATATCAGGAATGAAACAAATGTATTTCATACAAAATGCATTATGCAAGTAAATAGAATATGCATCTTCTTATTTTGTTTTTAATTATGACACATTTGTCCGTTAAGACAACAGTCTATATATATCACCTGAGAAGCACAGCGCACACAGCGATATATGTAATATCCCACATCCACTCATCAGCCGGCAAGGCTATTTTGGAATGAGTGGGAAATGACACCACCGTTACATATAACCATAGAACGGATGAACATTTAAACAAATTCTTTTCGCGATTACAGTTTTTATTTTGTATATATTCTGAGTGAAGGCTGTGCGCGGATTAGGACAGACTTTAAGCACGTCTGTTACACAAATCTGTTATGTGCACGACCAGGCACGTCTCGATGAAGAGCCCGGGCTGCTTAGTAAAAAGCGATTGTGCATGTCGTAAGATGCGACTAATGGGATCGGGTGGTCAGACTCGCTGACTTGGTTGATGCATGTCATCGATCACAATCGCGTGGATCGATGCTCATGATATCCATCACAGGATTTTCTGGTCCAGACTCGATTATTCACAGACCGCCGTCATGTAGCGGGAAAATTGCGCGTTAAATAAAAAAAACAACAGCTTATTGTGACACAAACATTATAGGCTAAGAAGTCGTAAAAAGTGTGAACATGTACTGTGAAGACCAACTATGTCTGTCAGAAAATACGTGCAAGTGGGCGCACATGCCTCGAAGTTTTGATATGGTGGTTCACCATCTTCCCGAGGAAAGGGAGATAACTGACTTTAAAATGTCCAATTTCCACTGGACTTTTGAAGTCAGTTAACTCCCTTGCCTCGGGAAGATGGTGATTCACATGCTCATAGAATATGTGTGTTTTTATCTGACATTAAAAGTACTTGTAACGCCAATATGACATCATATTCAACAATCGCCAGAAAAGAATGGTCATTTGACGTAACACTAGCTTCCAAATACTACCGGCAAGGAGTACTAGGGCAGTCAAAATTCACAACACAGCCAATGACAAGTTTAATACCCGACCAGGATAACTAGGTTCAATGATATTATACTTCAAGTGATAAAATTATGTCCGGCCACATTCACCTGTCAATCATTTCACATGGATCAATCAGAACGATTAATCTACTTCCGTGTTTTTCCGACGTTGTCAAATGGTGCCTATATATGAACTTGTCATTTTTCCTGGGGGTTAAGGGATTGAAGATGTCCCAGATAGAGGGAGGCCCTGTGGTAGTAAGAGGTGATTACATGGATCAGGTAGTCAGACTTGGAGATTTACCCGTGAAGACCCGGGGTAGAATAGGTCTTCAGCAACCAATGCTTGCCTTAAGAGGTGGCTCTGCTTGTAAGAGCCCCTAACGGGATCTGGTGGTCAAACACGCTGACTTGAGTCGATGCATGTCATCGTAACCCAATTACGTGGATCGATGCTCATGATGTCAATCACTGGATTTTCTGTTCCAGACTTGATTATTTACAGACCGACGTCATATAGCTGGAATATGCTGAGTGCGGCGTTAAACAACAAACAAACAAACACAACTTGGAGATATGGCTGATATCGTGTCTTCGTACCCCGACGGCGTGATGTTGCTGACACTAGCAATCACGGGTTTGTTTGGTCCAGACTCGACTATTTACAGGGCGTGGTGACAAACCTGGAATAATACTAAATGTAGCGTCGAGCAACAAACAAAAGAATATTACGACATTGAGCAAAAGAATAAATGGTATACTTAGAAACAGTGCCTGAAAAATATGAGGAAACAAAGGAACTTCATTCTGATAGTGTTTGTCCAGGGCCCAGTACCACGAAGCTGTCTTAGCTCTGAGGTGATCGGAACTCCGATACTTTGACATAGACTTACTTTACTCGTAACGCAAACATCGCTTTGTGGAACGGGACCATGGCATTTAAAGCACTAAATTTCAAGCATCTGCAAAATATTAAATATGTTACAGGCGCTATGACACAATCTCACAAAATCAGATCTAAGGTCTCGCTGTCGCTTTATTTAGCCATATCCCTAAGAACTGATTTTAATGAGATTGGCTATTACACGAAATGTTTACCCATCTTTCGGTATTGAATTGGCGTCATAAATAATCAATCTACATTGTTGGCATCGGTACATGGCTGAATGGCGAGTGCAGGACATGCATGCCCATTTGACGAACATCTGGTGTCATAACTGATTTTCAGTGATCCATTCATATAGTTTTCACGGCTTTATTGCCTTTTACACCCCAGGGAATCTGTTTCGTCCGATTATCGACTCTGACGTTGGCGTCTTATATTTAATCGATGCATGACAGATATTTATCATAAAGTATAACGGTGAAATATCCGTATCATGACACCATTTATGACCCACAAATAACCGAGTTTTAAAAATCGTATGTGCACTGCATTCGGCACCACTCGCCCCTTTCCGTAACCTGCGCTCTATTCGGCTTGTCCCGAATAACACGAGTTGTTCACGAAGATGTACACTGGTGCAAATATCACTTCACGCGCACTAGTGTATTGTTTACGTCATCCGGACGACATTCTTGACGTCATTCAAATCGTATTGTGACATAAGGTTGGAATGACGTCACACTAGAAATGATGTCATAGCTGACTTTCGTCGACGTCATTCAACATTTGTGTTTTTTCTGAGACGGCGGTCGTGTTGGCATTGCGTTTTATTAAAGGGGAGCTCAAAAGGATGAAGAAATAATTGGTGACGAAGTTTTATTACACTCGCATGTACGTCATAGTGATTAATCGAAACTCTCCCCGAAAAATACAAGGATTCTGACACCCGTTCCGTAAAATCAGTACTGCGACCCACATGTTTGTGTAAAAATCTCTATTCATGAAGTAGAGATGTCATTGCTGACGTTATGTGTAATGACGTCACAATATCACTCGTGACCAACTCGTGTTTTTCCGCCATTTTTGCGACTGGGTTCCGTCTACACGCAAACGGACATAGCCAAGAAAAATGTCAACTCGTTGCGTAATGAGTCACGTATATTTGCCCCATATATCATATAATATTCCAGATGCTATTGAAAACACATAGGGACTTACAGCATTATACAGTATGATTGAACACATTTAACTGTATCTTGGGTATATTCTTAAATGTATGGCATAATGTAAAATCAAAAATTATCCCTGAGGGATTCTTTGACCGAAGTACTTGAAGTCATACGCGCATTCTGATTGGTTTGTCGTATTTTCGCACTTTCGTCGATAGGGGGACGAGTCTTCTTTCAGGTTTCTGGAGCGAGTGTTGACGAATGGTCACAATATCTGAGGCGTCACAGCACAGAGTTGTTGACACTGGGTTTTTAGAGACGGTTTTACTGCTTCTTTAGTGCAGTCAGTCCTAAAGTGTGGACAATACAGAAATGAGCGTGTGCATACTCATGTTCAAAACTCGCCCACAACGTGATCTTGTCAAGGATCGCCACAGCTTATCGGAACGTTGATATATAGCCTGAATGGAAGCAATAACCAAATTGAAATTCATTGAGTCACGTCGTATATATTACGGCGATCCTACACTGTACGGTGGTGTTTTCTTTTGTTCTCTTGAAAAAAAAGTCTGAAAATGAGTTCGGACCAGATAGCATAACGACCCAGGCACGACATGACATATGAGCCAGGTGATACCATGACAATGTTATTATCCGATTTACGTCGGCTCTAATTATAGACTGATGAAATGATAAATATACAGCTCAAAAGAAGTTAAAGAACACACGATTTTTTTTTCATCATAACTATAATCTAAAAAAGCCAAGAGACTACTTCACTTTCAGGAACTCCATAAATCTAGACTTGCCACCTATTATAAACTTGCATTGGCTGTATTGGATATATTTGTTTCAGGGTCTGTATGACATACATGTGAACTGGTTTGTAGACGCCAAAAAAATGGAATATTTGAATAATACGGCGCTGGGTCGAAGCTGCAGTTGAGCGTACAGTATCTAGAAGCGTCAGTCCTTTTCAGCTGTAATCAGAATCATTCAAAGGCAGTAGATACAGCTATGTATAATGTACAATTGATCAATGCCATTCCCCGTGCTCGTCCTGTTGATTTGTCTAAAGCTGTGAACCAAATGTTTGTCACAAATTATTAAAGAATAAATCTGTTATCAGAAGGAATAGATTGTTTTCTCTTCTTGTTTTATAGTTATACATTTGTTTAAATTGTGCCTTTGTTTACATATGCATACATATTTTAAATTTTGTATGCATAGCCTTGTAAAAATACAAATACAAATGTAGTATTTAATTTTGTTGTTGTGTTCGCGCGATCTTTGAGCACATCTTCAAAGCAACAAATAACTTCCCTGTATATACCCACAGTTGAATATATTACGGAAAAATTTAATATTTTGTTTGTTAGCATTGGTTAAATCCAACATTGTTTAACGTTTATTGTGTAAATATTTGCATTTTTAGAAACGGTGATTTACATTTTGTTTACCAAAAAGTTGTAAAAACTCTAAACAAGCTTTCGTTGTAACATTGTATCGAAAAATGCAGTCATAACATTGTAACACAAGTAATGTCTTTGTCACGCTGATTCACATGGGCCTATCCCTCTCACCTGTATCTAAAAATAGATATTCAGTCACGTGATCACATATTTGTCACATCACGCACCTGATCGAGGCGACGTTGTGACCTAGTTGATTGCGAGATTTCAAACGAGAACACAGGTAACTGGATTCACGGAAACGGATCTGGGCAGGTAGACCCTCCGTGACTTACCTGCAAACTATGTAGAAAATACAGGTAAAACGATATGAAAACTACAGGTAAATCATAAATATTTACCGTCAAGCGAAAGGAAATATGGAGACTTCAAAGGGAATTACCTGTGTGTGGTTATTGTTTTGTTTATGTTGCTTCACGAGCGTTCGGATTTCCCAGGGTCAGGGAAATTTGTTTGTGACCCCCCCTCCGGACCTTGGTCGACCGGTAGTGGCAAATGGAATTGTATATTTCTTACACTACATCGACATCCCCGATCACTGCTTGGAACCTCGGGTGTCGAAGTACCCGGCTGGGGCCGTGATCAGGGACAGACGGGCGCTGATGCGAGTTGACAACCCCCACATCACGTACGGCAACCTGGAGATCGCACCCTCGGGATGCCTCTACATAGAACCAGGGGTGGAAATGAGGTTTGGCCCAGGATTTGGAATCATTGTGAACGGAACGCTCATATCCAGGGTAAGGGCATTCTAATGTCGTAATGACACAATCGATAACGGAAATGTTCAAAAGCAATAAATATAAACTTGGCAGACATGTTTATAACACTTGACGTTCTACAGTGTAGTCAATTGTTATTATCCACCATGACTTGTAAATGAAATATTATCAAGAATGCATCTAAAAGATAGCCCAGTAAGAAATATATACATGTATATATATGTATGTATGAATACATGTTTGGGGTGTTAAGTTTACTTTCATCAAGTTTTGAGCCCGAGTTCTAAATCTGAACTCTGTTAATAAAATGGATCTTAGAATATGTGTAATCCACTCTTCACTGATTCTGTAAATTGAGGCATATGGGCTGACTACAACAAGTACTTATCTAATGGAGTCATCGCCTTGTATAAATATCATACCTAGATGTAACAGTATTTGACAAAAATTGCAAGTATGTAAATGTTCAGAAAAGTTTATGTGGTATTTCACACTTTACTTATTTATTGTAAATAAGTCTTTTGTTTCTTTGGTTAAAAAGGTCATGAATAAATTGAATGCTTTGTTTCCTCACTGATTGACTTTTGCTGAGTGTTCAGTTTACTTGTGCATTTCATTACTTGTTGTAAGAAGCAACTAACGGGATTGGGTGGTCAGGCTTGCTGACTTGGTTGATGTATGTCATTGATTCCAATTGCGTGGATCGATGCACATGATGTCAATCACTGGATTGTCTGGTCTTGATTAAATTGTTTACAGACCACCGTCATAAAGCTGAAATATTGCTGAGTGCGGCGTTAAACAACAAACAAAGAAACTTAACATTTTATATACATATACAACTGCGTAATGATCAATTGAAGTGTTTGATAATTTTATTTGTGCTCATTATTTTTCAAATTTTACAGTATTTGCAATCAAAATCACTGAGATAGAGAACTTATGTTAATTTTGATATTATAAAATCTATATCTTTCCTTGTAATGCTAAATATGGCAGGAATCATCAAACACATTGAACATGTTGAACAAGCCCTGTGTATATTAGGGTGAAGGAAATGTTTGCACAATATGCTGTCATTAAGTGATTCCTGCAGGTAGTTTTATGAGGAAAGTGGTATCGGTTTTACTACCTCTGAATGTATTTATATAAATAAGCTGTAAGTAAGCAGTGCCTAACAGGGCATGCCACTGTTTACACAAGGAATTAAAGGTATGATCATAGGGGGCAAATCTCATTAAGATGAGAGGTTTGTTGGGACAGTGCCCCCCCCCCCCCCCCCCCCCGCCAGGGTGCAGGCAACAACGCCCTGCCAGCCAATTAATTATATAATTACCTGATTAGCTTAGGCAATTAAGATTAAGATAGTTGATTAAACCAGTGTTTCAGAATGCCTATCAGTTTTAAAGCTTATATATACAAACATTTATTTACTGTTTGAGTGACATTCTAGAAGTTGGTGAGTAAATAAGAAAGTTTATATTTACAATTATTATATTTTATGTGAATATGAGTGAGTGTGTGTAGAATAGGTCTTCAGCAACCCATGCTTGCCGTAACAGGCGAATGTGCTTGTCGTAAGAGGCGACTAATGGGATCGGGTGGTCAGGCTCGCTAACTTGGTTGATGCATGTCATCGTATCCCAATTGCTTGGATCGATGCTCATGATATCAATCACTGGATTGTCTGGTCCCAACTTGACTATTTACAGACCACCGTCATATAGCTTGAGTATTGCTGAGTGCGGCGTTTAACAACAAACCAACCAGCATTACAGGGCTAGATTTAAAAAAGTAAGGTGATATTCAATTTAATCAAACTAGCTGAAGGCCAAATCAGGGGCAGTCGGGTAGCCTAGTGGTTTAAGCATTCGCTTGTCATGCCGAAGACCCGGTGGGTACAATGTGTGAAGCCCATTTCTGGTGTCCCCCGCAGTGATATTGCTGGAATATTGCTAAAAGCATCGTAAAACCATACTCACTTAATCACTCACTCTCACGATTAAGTAACCTGTTAATTATATTTTATTTAGCTAAGTTAAGCCCTGCATTATCACCTGATAATTACAGGTAGAGACTGTTGGAATATTTTTCAAGGAAAGTGTACAATAGTCGAAATATTAAACTTACTCTACCTTGTGTACTTGGTTCCCATCTTGATGATGCCGCATCTCATCTCTGATGCCGCTGATAGCGGCCTGAGTGTAAATAAAGTTCAGTTCAGTTCACACAGAAGAAGTAAACAAAGGGATGTAAGTCTGGCAATAGGCAAGAGAGACTAGGCTTATTTCATTTACACACAGTAGAGTCCACATGAGAAAAGTTTTGTTGAGATGGGATTTGTATGAACTTGTTTTGAGAGTGATTGAAAAATGTAAGTAACAATAGCTTGTAGAAAGTGACAATGTTTCCACAAGATTAATTATGTTTTTAATTTCATGATGGCTTTCCATAATCAATGATAATGCATGTTACAGGTTTGTAGCAAATATATTCTCCTGCCATAAATAGCCTCTTTACCAAACCACAAAAGTAGAAAAATACTATGTGCATCCATAGACAATGATCATAATGATAGACAACAATTGATTGAAGAAAATATATATGTATAATTTTTGATTATTCCATTTTTTAATTAAGGGCAAAGCTTGGGTTACAAACATGACAAATGTTGCAAAACTTTCAAAATGGTAACAAAATCAAGTTTCAGTTGCCTTCAATTAAAATTTACGTTAAGATTAAATAATTTTGTAATATCTTTTATAGTCCTTTCAAGCCAATTCTCAGGGTGCTGACCTTAGTGCTAAGATGATCGTTAAGCCATCTGTAGCATAGGCTTACAACAATCATAATGCTAAGATCGCTTTGTGAAAGAAGGCACAGGGTTGCTATAATGCTAGCACAAATTTTGACTACATTCATGAAAATGATAGCATTGAAACAAACACTCCTGTGAAGATCCAGGTTGGAATGGGTCTTCAGCAACCTATGCTTGCCTTTAGAGACTACTAAGGGACCGGGTGGTCAGACTCAGTAACTTAGTTGATGCATGTCATTGTATCCTCCCATTGGTGAAGATCAATGCTCATGATGTCAGTCACTGGATTGTCAACCTGTGAAGATCTGGGTAGAGAATAGATCTTCAGCAAACCATGTTTGCTGTTAAAGGAGAATATGCTTGTTGTAAGAAGCAACTAATGGGATTGGGTGGTCAGGCTTGCTGACTTCGTTGATGTATGTCATCAAGGCCGTAGTTAACTTTTTTTGACAGGGGGGCAAATATTTGTACAAGTATCACCTGTCCCCAACTTGATTCAAATAAAACTGTTTTCTATAAAAAATCTGGGGGGGCAACTGCCCCCCCTGCCCCCCGGCTGGCTACGGCAGTGGTCATTGTATCCCAATTGCGAAGATGATGCTCATGATGCAAATCACTGGATTGTTTGGTCCAGACTTGATTATTTACAGATTACCAACATATTGCTGAATGCGGCGTTAAACATACAAACAAACACTGGATTGTCTGGTCCAGATGTTAAACAGCATTAAAAAACAAACAAACAAACAACAATTTTAAAATGCAGCAAGGTAACAGCCTGATTTCTCACTGGAACATCCCTTATAACTCCAGGGTAGCGACGAACCCGGGGGTCGTATCCTGATGACGAAGGACAAGGGGGAGGACACTGGGTACCCGTCAGGTGACTGGTACCATGACGCCCGATTGGTTGACGGAAACACCACGCAGGATGGGCAGCTCAACCTGTTATATCAGAACAAGTGGCGGGGAATCTGCACCAACTATGTCAAGTGAGCTATGAATATGGTTAAAGGGGCACTGTGCTTAGACGGATGGTTCCCAATGCCTGCCAAGTTCTAGAGTTTGTGATTAATACCCTGGATGAATCTGACAAGTTGTCTCTGTGTAATTTTGATCAACTTGATGACATACATATGTAGGACTGATTGCTGTGTCTGTCGGTAATAGACGTTGAGCTTACATGATGTCATCACAGGCAAAGAGTTGTGACATCATCTCAAGCATGACACCATAAAACAATTGAACTTATAGTCTGTTCATGGATAATACATCATTGCGAACAGAACGTCATGTTACAATGAGAATCTGCCACGGAACAGAGAGTCCGCCACGGATTAGAGTCCAGCAACAGATCTGAGTACTACATGTATATAGGAATTGGTTAAAAGTAAAGTGTAATATATTTTAAACATTTGGAAAAAAACCCCGTAACATGCATATTCAGGGTGATGTTAAGCTTCACAAATTTTACATATTATATTTCCAGTTTCACAGAAATGGATGCCAACGTAACATGTCGCCATCTTGGATTCCTTAAAGGCAACTTTACCTACCACTCATTTGCCAAGAACTACACCGACTACATGATGTTTGGGAGACCCAGGTGTTCAGGGCAGGAGAACTCACTGTTTGATTGTCCAGGCGTGACAAACATCCACCTCGGACAACACATTTGTGGTTAGTGTTGTGGTCCTGTTTCCCTGTGTTTTGTTACATTGTGTGTCCATGTTTGTTCTCCAAACACTTACTGAGGCAAGTGGAATGGCTGCGGTAGAAATAGATATTCAGTGTATGTCCTCGGTGTGTCGCTTCACCTGGGGTTCCTGTGTCAATGTGGAGGTTATGAAAGCAGATTATCACCACTGTGTGACCATGCTTGATCAATTGGTGAAAACAAAAAATTGGTCACAACATAAATGTTTGTGGTGGTCATCTTTTTAAAAAGAAATAAATATATTTTTGTTTCAGCTCTATGATAAGTCTCAAATGTGCTAATTTATGAATCTCATTAATGAATTAAATTAATTTTTAATATCTTTCATTGGTAATGAACTAAAAATGGATTGGGAAAATTATTAGTAAATCAACCAAGAAAAAAATTTTGATTATCATTTCTGTAAATTAAAATAACTTTTTTACAAATTATCCATTAGCTCCTCAATTTTGATAATTAAGTCAAATGAACAAATAATAAGTTGCTGTCTGCTTAACCTATTTATTGAACTGAAAGATAAAGATTGAAATGATGAAACTGGGATTCATTTTGAATATTTGCCTATAATGGTTCTCAGTAAGCAATAAGTTGTTTTTTGTATAAATTTGCCAGTTGCTACCTTTTTACAGAATATTGCAGAGATATAAGTCATAGTGTATGTTACTTTGAAAATATTGATTGTATTTTAACCCCATCGATATAATGAGTAAGGAAACTGTGACCGCACCAGTTCTGTTCTACTTAACTTCTTGGATTTTGTGAGGCTATGCTGTGCAGAGTTGCATCCCTTAGGCATGTCAGAATTCTATGATCATGGGTTCAAATCCCAGATTTGCTCTAATTGTGTGTATCTTGGTTCGTCAGCACCATACTCGTGCTTGTGGGTTTCATCAAAGTGGTAAACATCCAAGTTCTGCAACACTTTTGGCTTTATGCTTTAACATCGTGATATATATAATCTACTCTTCAAGTTGCTTAAACCGATTTCAACAACTCCTTGGTTTAGTAGTTGGGCTGGGATGGGTAACTCGGGTACTCGGGTTGGGTGGGTACTGAGTAGGACCCGGGTACCCACAGGACTACCCAGACCCGTGGCTACTCACGTGATATATTGTTTAATGAGCAAGCTTATCTAGAACTCCATAGTTACGCTACAAGCCACTGATGTTCGCATTTCTTTCTGTTTGTGCACACATTCCGTCCGACTTTCATATGTTTGAATAAAGATAAAACTTCTGTCAACTTCAGGGTATGCATGACCAGGGCCAACTTGCACAGAGCGATCTTAGCGCTACAACTATTGTAAGCCTATGTTAAAGTATGGGAGTTATAATCATCTTAGCGCTAAGATCGCTTTGTGCAAGTGGGCCCAGATCATGTTATACCTGTATCTAAATATATTTGCCAGGGCTACAGTCAAGCTATTCCCTATCGGACATTTAGTACCCATCTCTTGAGACCTACAGCAGGTACCTTGGTAGGGTCGGGTAAAAGGGGGGTACCTGGGTATTAAATTTGGACTCATCCCAGCTCTGTTTAGTAGGTACCATACAGACAAGCTAGTACTGACTTGCTATAATTCTTGTGAAAATTAGAAAGTATTGATCTAAACCTGTGTCTCATTTTACAAAGCACAGCGACTATTTAATTGTAAGTCTTTGTTAAAGTATGGGAGTTCTTACTCTCATACTAAATTACAGACTACTATAACAAGGTTTCAGCCATCACTGTGTTAATTTGTGAGTGTATAGACTATGAAGTATGACAAACATATGTATTTATCTAGACCTACATGGGTTTATCTAGACCTACATGGATTTAACTAGATCTGCTCCGACGCCAATATTCGGCCCAAAGTCTGAAGCATTTGTCAGTGAATATTCACAAATTGGAATAATAAATTTTAAGTAATTGGAGTTTCAAATTTTTGCTTTGAATGAAATATTAAAATACCGTATTCGACGTAATAAGCGCCCAAGGCACTCTCAAAATTAGAAATAGGGGGGCTCTTATTTTAATATTATTTTGGTGGAAAAAACAAAGTTGAAAGATAAATTTTGTGGTTTATGCTAACGGCCTGACTGTTTATATATGACAGATATATGTTTTAGTCTGTTTTCAGTCGTACAATTGGGTATCTCATACCTCTAGTCGCATGTTAAAAGGAAGCCAGAAGCTGGAATGTAAACAATAAACTTGTTTCCGTCCGGTTGCGCACGCACCTCCCGATCACATGCCACAAATCTCTCAGCGCGCCTCTGAGCTGGTCGCTCGAGAAGGACTTTCGCGATAGACTGCTAGTTTGTATTCTACTAGTACTTATCGTGTGTCTACAGTTGTTGTTCTAATACAGTAATAATACTATGTCTTACCTGTAGACTCCTGGAATGTAATCATTGGTAATCCATTGTTTGGGTTCGACACGTGTTTCACTTGATTATACACGTGGCAACATGTCGGGCATTTGTGCCTCGTGTCAAGGACAACTATCTAAAGTAGATCCTCACAAGTATTGTCCTTCCTGCATAAATAAGGACGGGTTTTCAACGTGTTCGTGGAATAAACGTTGTTAAGAATGTGAGCATTTGTCTTCTATCAACTTTAACTTGTATCTTCGTGCGTTGGCGAAGCGGGCTACTGACCAGCGCTACAGGCAGAGGAGGTCATCTGGTGGATCCTTGGACTCTGCACCCCCTACATCTGGCCCTGGGGGTGGCGCGTCGGCCACACCCAAGAAATCAGTTGAAAAAGACCCGCCTCAGTCAACTTATGTTTTTGACAAGACACGGGACCGTTCGCCTGCTGATGATACTACCCGCACGACTGATCTTCGTCAATCGGTTGATCGAGAGCGTCACTCAGCCACCCCCGTTACGACGGGACCGGGTGGTGACGAGGACCACGAGGGGACTACGGTCCCCAGTCGGTCCGTCTCTCGTCCTACCAACGACGATAGGAACGTCGTGCGGGTCGACAGTGAACACAGATCCCTCTCTAGAAGTCGTTCCCGTTCATGGGACGACAGGTCGAGGGCCTCGTCGAGTGACAGTAAACGACACGAGGACGTTCGTCGCCTTCGAGGTCGTCGGGAGTTCGATTCGGACGATAACTACGATGGGGATCGTAGTACTTCTACAGTTAGAGATCGTAGCCCTCGTCCCCACGGGGACGTGCGACGCCTTCGAAGGGAGTTTTTGGGAGATCAGCGTCGTAGAGATAATGATCGATCGTGACCCTCGTCTCACTTTCATATCGACCCGGCTTTGATAGGCCAGATGACGGCGGCGGTACTCGCCTTGATGGCGTCGACCGAGAAGGGTTCGTCTACGTCGGAGGTCCATGGACCATCGTCCTGTACACCGGTTCCTTCATCTACGCCTACACAATCGACGTCGACGATGGATTGTGACGACAGCGTCGTAGAGATAATGATCGATTGTGACCCTCGTCTCACTTTCATATCGACCCGGCTTTGATAGGCCAGATGACGGCGGCGGTACTCGCCTTGACGGCGTCGACCGAGAAGGGTTCGTCTACGTCGGAGGTCCATGGACCATCGTCCTGTACACCGGTTCCTTCATCTACGCCTACACAATCGATGTCGACGATGGATTGTGACGACAGCGTCGTAGAGATAATGACCGATCGACACCCTCGTCTCACTTTCATATCGCCCCAGCTTTGATAGCCCAGATCACGACGGCGGTACTCACCTCCAGGGTGTCGACCAAGAAGGATTCGACTATGTCAGAGGTCCATGGACCATCGACCAATACACCAGTACCTTCATCTACATCTACACAATCGATGTCGACGATGGATTGTGACGACAGCCTGGCTATGGCTTGGCTATCTCACTTTTCTGCCTGAGTTATCATGACGATGACAAACCGACGTGTGCTGGCTTAAAGGTTGGAGATACGCCGCAGTCTCTTCAGTCTCCCCTCCCAATGTCTTCAGAGCCATGGTTCACGATATGGACCAGAACTTGCCTCTGCTCTGCCGGGGCAGAGTTTCAGCAAACCACCTGTTCGATCGCGTTACCCGATCTATGGCATGCCGTTTTCGTCACCCATGAGTAGGGACTTGGATTGGGGGCTACTCTTCAAGAAACCAGCGCCCTCCAAGATTCTTGTAGTAGTTCTACCTAGACGAGCCGTCTCCTACAGGCGACAGGCTCACTAAAATACCGGAATTGCAGAAAATTCTACGTGCCTTCATGGTTGAAGATGAGTCACATTAATTCCGCCTGCCGGCCTGGGACCTCAATGTCGTTCTGCGCTACCTGTCTAGTTAGACTTACGAGCCTCTCGATCAGGTCGCCTTCGACATTGTCTCCGACTAGAAGTACTGCTCGTATTTTTTAGTTACCTTGTATACTGCGAGTTGCTCTGTAACTAAATTCTGCGCCGACCACACTTCGATCGCAATTCATCTGACGTGTGCAGTTGTCATGTCGCATCGATAATTTGTTGTGTGTCGAAGAGCATGAACCATGCTATTTTTCGTTACCTTGGATACGACGAGTCATTCTGAACCACTTTATATACCGTCCACACTTCGATCGCAATTCAACTGTCGTGTGCAGTTGTCCTGTCGCTTCGATAGTTACTTGTGGGTCGAAGAGCATTAAACATGCTGTTTTAGTTACCTTGTATACTGCGAGTTGCTCTGTAACTAAACTATACGTCGACCGCTTCGATCGCAGTTCAACTGACGCGTGCAGTTGTCCTGTCGCATCGATAATTAGTAGTGTGTCGAAGAGCATTAAACATGCTGTTTTAGTTACCTTGCCTACGACAAGTCGTTCTGTAACTACATTATAAGCCGACCACGTTTCGATCGCACCTCAACTGATGTGTGCAGTTGTCCTGTCGCATCGATACTTACTTGTGGGTCGAAGAGCATTAAACATGCAGTTTTAGTTACCTTGGATACGACGAGTCGTTCTGAAACTAAATTATATGCCGTCCACACTTTGATTGCAATTCAACTGTCGTGTGCAGTTGCCTTGTCGCATCGATACTTACTTGTGGGTCGAAGAGCATTAAACATGCTGTTTAGTTACCTTGTATACTGCGAGTTGCTCTGTAACTAAACTATACGTCAACCACTTCGATCGCCGTTCAACTGACGCGTGCAGTTGTCCTGTCGCATCGATAATTAGTTGTGTGTCGATGAGCATTAACCATGCTGTGCGTTCGTAATAAACAATTTGTCTCGTCCGTGCATCTGGTCGAATGTTCTATTGTCACTACAGGGGTGAGGAACTTGGTACATTCGACGTGCAAGAGGTCACTTCCGGATTACTTTCCAGACCCTCCTTCCAGTGTTCCGTCGAATTCTACCCAATTGTACGACTGAAAACAGACTAAAACATGGGTTTTTCAGATTAAAAACGATGTTTTATTGGTCTGTTTTCAGTCGTACGTTCCCACCCAGCCATCCCCACTGGGAAGTAATCCAGTCCAGTCCTGCTTGATGGCTTATTCTTCGAGATTTGTGGCATGTCATTGGGAGGTGCGTGCGCAACCGGACGGAAACAAGTTTATTGTTTACATTCCAGCTTCTGGCTTCCTTTTAACGTGCGACTAGAGGTATGAGATACCCAATTGTACGACTGAAAACAGACCTATAAAACATCGTTTTTAATCTGAAAAACCCATTTTTCCAGAATTTAATTGCCCATAATTAAGGGTGCATATAACCCACGAGTGCGTATTATACGCGAATAGATAAGTTTTGTGTACATTGATCAATAGGAAGGGTTGCTAATTGGGATTGTTCACTTGCCAATATACTGTAAAACGTGAAATTAATGCGTCTCCAAAAGAATGCGACCGCTGGCCCCTAGCCAAAAATGCGATATTAGCAAATATCGCCGTGGGCGCTTATTAGAGCGGGGCGCTTATTACGTCGAATACGGTACCCCTGAATTTACATCTTCCAAAGGCAAGGAAGTTAACTGACTATGAAAGTTGAGATTGCACCCTTGCCAAACTCAGCTGGAATTATGCAGTTATATTTTGGCTGTACTAACAAGTCTTTGCACATTCCAATCAAAATGGTGTTCGGGTTTGTAAACTGCCATGCAGATTTCGGATGATTGCAGAATTTGCAAAGTATGTTTAATCAAGATGCTCATATGACTTAATGCACTTTACGAAGTGACACTCGTTTTATTACAAAATTGATCTTGATTATCGATCAGATTGTTTTTACATGGTGACGCCATTTTATTTGAAGCAAATGCAAGTGATATGAGAGTTGGAATCTGATTGGTCAGTAGGAGGGACATAGAAGGGACATAACGCGTAATAGCCCCTGATGGTACTATGGTCAAGCCCAGACATTCCAGCCTAGTTTGGCAAGGGTGAAACTGGACTCCCTTGCCTCGTGAATATGCGGAATTTAAGAAAATAAGGACTTTTAAGGAAGTCCCAATTTTGAACAAAGCTGCATGGTTTTTTTCCTATTTGTCAGCCAAGTTTGGAATCCTCAATAAATATCCTGGTGTTCAGAATAGAGTTGATGCCATATATTTGATGAATGTGAATACCAAATTGTATGTTCTGCCTTCCAGATGGACAACAACTCATAGGATTTGAATGTGAAGGTTTACGGGACGGTCTCGCCATGGACCACTGGCGAGGACTAGAATTCTACAATTCCACTTCGGCATTAAAAAATATTGAGGATAATGTTTACACCAATTCCACATTTTCGTGGATAGAATACACAGATATTCTGTATGCCGGACTGGACATATTCCGGGGTAAAGGCATTGGCGTGAACTACCAGCGGGCAGCTATAAGTGCAAGTCCACATGTCCCGGTGTTCAACAATGTCACGGTCAAGTACAGTGCATACGACGCCTTCAACTTCACCAATATTGAAGGACCCATCCATGTTGCTAACTGCACTCTATACAGAAACAGAGGTTAGTGGTAGTTATGTCCCTTTACTTGGTTCTGCAGCAAGCTCCTTCCCAGCGCGTGACACCTTCGTTACACTCTCGGTAACATCGCTGCCACCAGTGTGGGCGCGGCCATTACAAGAATCTTGAAATTTGCCCTCTAACCCCAATATGGGAACGTTGATACTTTTGTTTATGTCTTTGGGAATGCCATCATATTCCATTTTCAAAAGGTGTACGACTGACCATGTTTTCCAGATGAATTTACTTTGTTGTTTTAATAATCAGATTGGTTCGAGATTGCAGACTAACGGAAAATCAACAAACTTCTCCCTTACATTCTTACTATATCAATAACACGATAGTTTTAATGAAACAGAAATTCAAATTGACAAACGAAGAAATTAATTTAGCAGCGATAAGTGTATTCGGCGTCACGACAGTCGTCGCTTGTTTGTAAACATAACGGTCATTCGGTTGCGAGTTCAACTCCAAGCATGGTTGTGGCCACAGTGGGGAGTTTTGACTGGTGGCAGCGATAGTATAGAGAGCTCCGCGAACGGGCTATTACTGTGAGGAGCTAGGGTTCTGCAGCACACTGGGGTGAGTCCTCTAGGCATGTGTTCCTGTGTACAACGAAGAGGTCACAGATCAGGTGAAGTTAGATAATGTTGGTTGCAGAGAGTAGGTGGAGGGGACTGTGTTTGACTCCTGACAATTTCTATGGCTTCAGTCCTGCCCCACACTGAAGCACATGTAGCACATGTGGATCTCCTTAGGCAAGTGACTTTGTTCAAAATGTGCCTCTTCACCGAGCTGTGAATGGGTACCTGGTAGGATGAGATGGGACCGTTAACCTTCTAGTGCCTCTCAGGCAGCTTTGGTTATATACTCCCCAGGGGGCTGAGACTTGGGGAATAATAATGTTATGTCTCTGTGAACAGCCTAGCTGGGACTTAGCACTATATAAATTTATTATTCTTATTAATACTGTTCTGATTATCATCGGGGCGGTCGGGTAGCCTAGTGGTTAAAGCGTTCGCTTGTCACGCCGAAGACCCGGGTTCGATTCCCAACATGGGTACAATGTGTGAAGCCCATTTCTGGTGTCCCCTGCCATGATATTGCTGGAATATTGCAAAAAGCGGCGTAAAACCATATTCACTCACTCTGATTATCATCTGACCATTAGGTGCCTAAATTCCACTGATCGGTGGTTCAAATCCCGGATTTACCGCAAGTGTGGTACTTGGTGATGTAACTGAAATGCCTACCTAGAGCGGAAGTTTGGGGGTTCGATCCCCGGCCCTGTCATACCAAAAAGGCATTAAAAGATGGTACTTGTTGATATCCTGTCTTGCCCACAGCATAAGGGGCTAAAACAAGGACTGGTCATCTCGGAGTCAGTAGACTGTGTCTGAGTGGGGTATTCATGTCAAAATGTGACATAGTTCCTCAGTGGGCTCGCATTAGTCTGGACTAGTATGAGCAGCCACACACACACATTCACGTCGCTATGTCAGTGCAATAGTCCTGAACACGACGTTACACCCCATTCACCTCCCCTCACACATCATTTAGAACAACCACAAACATAAATGCGAGTGAAGATGGTTTTACTTATTCGCCCTCTGTTGGCAATACAAAGCATTCTGAAAGGGGAGGTAATACTTCCTCATAAGGGTGGAATGATGATTGTTAACCAACTCTTCATAGTAAATTAATAATACTAATAGACTCTTCAATCTGCACAGGTTACGGTATGTACATACAAACTGCTGTCGGCAACGTCCTTGTCAACATGACCAACATCACTGAGAACTGGGGTGACGGCATCAAGATGTATATGTCAAACCTGACCTACTACGACTACCTGACGAGATTCCCACAAGAGAAGTCCTTCTGTAATACCCCAATCCTGACCGGCCAGACATACCCTGTGTATGTTTATCAGGATCTCGTCGACTTCGATGGAAACAAGATAGTTCCAGGCTTCTCATGCTCTAAGGTCAGCAAAACATTTGTTTCTATGTAAATTTGAAGGATATGTAGCAAATGTGGTGCCTCCTTTGGCCAGTGACTTTGTTTGAAATATACCTCTGTTCACCCAGCCTTGAATGGGTACCCAGTAGGAAATGAGAATGTGGCTGTTAACCTTCTAGCAGCAGCGCACAGGCAATTTGGGTTGTATACTTCCCAGGGAGCTGAGAATGAAAAATCGAATAGAAAAATAATAATGCAACGCCTTGAGAAGTCACATGGTGGATGGAATGTGTTGGTGCATGGTCCTGTGCACAGCACAGGTCTCAGTCAGGCGAAGTGTAAAAATGATGGTGTAGGTGTATGGGTGACTGTACTTGACAGCTTGACTCCTGAATTTCTAGGTCTTCTAAAGACCGCCTCCGTGGTCTAGTGGTAGAGCGTCCGCCTGGAGAGGGGAAGGTCCAGGGTTCAATACCCGGCCGCGTCATACCAAAAGACGTTAAAAGATGGTACTTGTTGTTACCCTGTCTGGTGCACGGCATTAAGGGGCTAAAACAAGGACTGGTCGGCTCGGAGTCAGTATACTGTGTCTGAGTGGGATATTCATGTTAAACTGTGGCATGGTATCTCAGTGAGCTAGCACTATAAATCGGCATCAGTCTGGACTAGTACAAGCACCCACACAAACACACACACGTACATGCACATCGCTATATAAGTGCAATAATCTTACGTTAAACCCCGTTTCACCTCACCTCACCTGACTTCACCTAGGTCTTCATGTTACATGATGTTTCCTTAGTAAAGTGAATTGTTTTGAAGTTTGCCTGTGTTCACCCAGCAGTGAATGGGTTCCTGGTAGGATGAGATGGTAATGTGATTGTTACCCTTCTTGCACTTGGGTTGTATACTGCCCAGGGAGCTGAGAATGACATTTTAATGCACACTGACCCAAAGGCGGGGGTAATAATAACATAGTGCTATGAGCATTGAATGGAATCTGACAGGTTATAAATGGCCATAATGTGTGTAGATCAGAAAACTGAAACAGAAGAAAACTATTTCAGAATTACATTGGATTTTTCCGATATTTTTGTGTCAGTGTCTGTATGAGAGAACTAGCTGGAATATTGCTGACTGCAGAATAAAAACATGGCTTCTTGCTTTGCACTACTATCTGATGTTTGATTGCGACAATACTAATTGTGATATTGGATGTCATTTGCAGAGCTATCAGACAACCGGGAACAAGAAGGTCGTGATTCACTTCATGGACTTGATACGAGACAAAATGGCCAGTGGCAGTATAGAAATACGAGAACAATCCAGTACGGGGACTCTCATTGGCACATACGATGTAACCAATGGCAGCTTCCCGCAATCAGTGACCACCAGATCCAACAGGGCATATATAGTTTTTAATTTTGATATTCCAAGGAACTACATATGCCACGACTTCAAACCCTGTGTTCGAATCCTCATGAGATTTACGACAGTTTTTGCGAATGGTAGGTTGCAATTGCCTATGAATGTTCAATTGAGTTGGAGGGACTTTTGAAGGACAGGATAGTTGGGTGGGGCAGTCGCCAGTGTTTCAACCATATTGCCAAGCATGATCACGCAGGCACCTATACTGCTAGCCGGAATCTCAACAGATCCACATAGGATATATATATAGGATGCAATACACAAATGGCATACGATGACATGCATCAACCATGTCAGTGAGCCTGACCACACAATCCTGTTAGTCACCTCTTACGACAAGCATGGGTTGCTGAAGACCAATTCTAACCCAGATCTTCACAGGGAGGTGCACATGTACTTGCTGATGAAACAGCCACCCTGAAACAACCTCTCTCTATGAAAATTCGCCCTGATTATGTTTCTAGGTTTGTCAGCACCATACCCGTGCTCGTGGGTTTCACCGAAGTGGTAAACGTCTGAGACCTGCATCACTTCGGGCTTTCCTCCCACATTAAGCTGACACGCCGCGATATAACTGGAATACTGTTAAAAGCGGCGTTAAACCCAACTCACTCACTCACTCACTCTATGAAAAACAACCAGAAAACACTCACCAACTTAGTACATTGACTGACCTTATGTGATCACTTTTACTTATGTACAGTGAACCAACCAGATGCAGTCACCATATGTTTAAATCTTCTTGTTTCAGAAACCGATGATGATTTCCAGCTGATCTACTCCGAGGTGTCAAATAATACAGGCTATGGCGTCAATATCCAAGACATGCGCAACAAGGTGTTCTTCAACACCAGCGAAGTCTGTGACAACAAGTACGGAGCCGGAATACGAATCTATCAAGGAGCAGGGGAGGTAACTGTCAACACCACCCTGATTGAGAGGAACATGGGTGCAGGCATCAACATTACATACTCTGGGGGCTTCCAGCTCCTCAACAACACAAGGATAATTGGAAACCATGGTTACGGTATCATCACTGAATATCTCCTGCTCAATCGGACCAGGATTGAGGCACATCAAAAGATGGAAATTGTCCGATCAGAATTTCAGTTAAATGAATGGCGAGCTGTGCGAGTCGGAAATTACTGTAAAGGAGGAAGCATATTGATAAATGAGAGTTCCTTCGCGTATAATTTTGATGAAACTATTGAATATCTGTCGTGTAATATCTCGACAACAAAACCAACCAATTTCAGTGTGGCATTCAATAAGTTTGACTCCAACTTTCGACATGCCATATTTGTGCGTCCGATGGTAAATACTGTCGGTATTATCAGCAATAATACTTTTCAAAATCACAGCCTGGGAGGGATATTGATTGACAATGGATATGATCTTCTTATAAGTCGATGGTATCAAAACTTTGAAGTCAACTATCACATTTTCCAGAACCTATTCACAGATAATTATGGACGCTATGCAACAAATATGAGGTTGACTCAAAACAGTCCGTTTCAGAAGTTGGAGTTTAAGTTTAACAAATTAGTTGAAAATAATATTCAGGACTCATTCATGTATCTGAACCCAAGGAGCAAGGCAAATGCAGTAGTGGTGGTGTCGTCTGGAAATGTCCTGGTGCAGCGGAACTGGATTCAGAATCCGAACTCTGTCCGTGAAATCGCCACCCATCTTGTGGATCCATCTATTACCATCAATGGCATGGAGAACTGGTGGGGAATCGAGGTCCTCAGTCAAGAACAGCTGGAACCGATCCACAAGGCTATCTTTGACCAGGATGACAGGTACAACCTGGCCAGGGTCAACTACTACCCTGTTCTGAAGACAGATCGTCTCTATGACAACATAGTCAGTGACAACGTGCCTCGGTTCCGGTGGCACTTCAGTCGACCTGGTAACGTAATTGGCGGAGTCTTGGAGGACAGTGACTTTACAGCGAATGAACGCACTGTGTATCATGTGGACAGAGATATTTTCATAATTCCCGGGAGATCCCTTGATCTTGGTCGAGGTGTGGTGCTGGAGTTTGAGAGTTCTGTTGGTATGGTAGTGCATGGTTGTTTGAGAGCAGACGGCCATGAAATTCCTAACACCATACAGTTTCGTCTGAGAGATGATCCTGACATCCTGCCTGTTGAGAACCGAACGGCTTCAGTTCGTCTGGTAGATGGTGAAGATGAATATGAAGGTCGTCTGGAGGTCGACATCGATGGTGAATGGGGTACTGTTTGTAATGAGGTCAGTAGCCATTAAACTCATATCTGGGAACACCAAACTGTTTAGAAAAGAAAAATTGTTTTAATATGAAGAAACATAAATAATAATTAGGCATGAGGACAGTGATTCTGTGATGAACTTGACAGTCTGTCTATTGAGTCTCCTAACCAGAACTGTATATTTTAGTGTATGGACAAGTATAATCTGAAATCATACAGGACCCAGTCTTCAGACTGATCGCTTAAGTCACAGACTGACATGATAATGTATTCAGAAATTGAAAACAGTACAACTGTCAACTCAGCAACAGTGTCCTTACGGTTCAAGTCCTCAGTACCTGAAAAGTCTTGGATAGTCTATCTGTAAAGCTACTATCTCCTGTGTAGGTGTATCATTGTGTTCAGTTTTGCTTGGGTCTTATAGATGGCATTTTCCACGTTGCCATGATCAAACTAAAACATTCACCTGAATATTCAACCCATGAAGATCCGGGGTAGAATAGGTCTTCAGCAACCCATGCTTGCTGTAAAAGGCATGAAGATCAACCTGTGAAGATCCGGGGTAGAAAAGGTCTTCAGCAACCCATGCTTGCTGTAAAAGGCGACTATGCTTGTTGTAAGAGACAACTAACAGGATCGAATGGTCATGCTCGCTGACTTGGTTGACGCATGTCATTGTATCCCAATTACGTGGATCGATGCTCATGACATCAATCACTGGATTGTCTGGTCCAGACTCAATTATTTACAGACTGCCGGCATATGGCTGGAATATTGCTGAGTGCGGCGTTTCACAACAAACAAACAGAGAAAGGACTGAATATTCACTCGCTCACTCAACAGGGTTGGTCGGAGCAGAACTCACTGTTGGCATGCCAGCAATTGGGCCTCGTCTACAACCCCGACATGCCGACAGCCAGACAGAAACTGTACAGCGCCACAAACCAGCCTATCCTGATGAGCTGGGTGAAATGTGATGAAGTGGACACTGACCTCACACAGTGTCGTGCAGTCCGAAATGGGGAGCACCAATGCACTCACAATATGGACGTCTTCCTCCGGTGTGAGCCGGCCACCTGGGCAGGTTGATAGCAGTTTTATGTTAGTGGTACTGGTGAATTATATGTTCTCTGTGGAGTGGAGACCTACCATGGGGATGGTCAGTCCAGTTGAACAAGGCACAGCAAGTTTGCTGTACTGGTAAACTGCCCGGATTGAGGTTGAGTGTAGTGGTCCCTTTATCCATGTATTGTTAAGAATGTGTTGTGTTGTGTTCATAATATCAATCACTGGATTCTTTGGTACAGACTTGATTGTTTACAGGCCACCATCATATAGCTGCAATATTGCTGAGTGCGGCGTTAAATAACAACAAACAAACAACAGGGATGCTGACAGTTGTGAAGGGGATCTCATTAGGTTTTACCCCTTCTCATGAGTATGTAGTATGGATGAGTAGTCATCAAGGGTAGGGGGCAGTCGGGTAGCCTAGTGGTTAAAGCGTTCGCTCGTCACGCCTAGGACCCGGGTTCGATTCCCGACATGGGTACAATGTGTGAAGTCGATTTCTGGTGTCCCCCACCATTATATTGCTGGTATATTGCTAAAAGCAAACTCAAACTCACTCACTCATTAATGGCAGGGACAGGAAAAATACATCTTTTCCCCTCTCCCCCACCAATAATCAATTATTATGATCCTTGGTTTGTGAGCACAATCCCTGTGGTGATGGGTTTTAACTATGTGACAATTGTCCACAACCTGCATCTCCATCAGCTCTCTTGCTGCCGTGATGTGACAAGAAATACTGTCTAAAGGGTCATGATATCTCACTCAATCACTTACTAAAAGTAAGTCTGTATCCAGTTGATGAATCCGAAACAAAAGTTGACATGAGAAAATATATTTACCAGTTTTTCAAGCTCAGTGGAGGGTCAAAATGTAGTCAAGGATAAGATGGCGGCCATTTGTCAGAATGAACAATATTGATGTGAAAATTATGAATACAAACTGATTCAGACTCATATCATGTACATGTTCTTGAGAAAAGTGAAATGTTTTACAGAGGTCGTGCTATAATATCCATGGATGGAGTATCATATGTTCATAATTATGTTTTTTGCTTTAACATGTTTGTTTATTTGTTTGAAAAAAACTCTTTGATTTTTGTTATTATTCAATATCTACTCTATTTCAGGTATAACGTTCCCTGCCACTCCGAAGGATGGCCAGTCCTGCACATCCCAGTTGCGCCACATCGCCATCCACAATGCAGGACTTCTAGATCACGCCACCATGGCACACACGCCTGCCCTCAGGATCGACTACAACTACTACCAGATCTCCTACATCACCATCACTGGTGCCCTGTCCGACGCCATCCACATCAAGTTTAACCACCCTCACACCGAGAACAAGCTGGAATATGGTAACATCACCAACGTGCATGGCAACGGCATCGTCCTGAGGAGCCCCCGGATGGACATCCTCTACACCCGAGTAACGAACAGCGACTACGCTGGCTTCTTATTTGACCCGTTCTTTACAGAATATGACTCTCTGCTTGTCCGGAACTCTATTTATGCCACCAGGCGGACATACATGACGGAAAATCCACAGTTGAACATTGGCGATAGAGGGATGATCTTCCTGCTCAGCAAGCCCGGGACTGCTATTGAGAGTAAAGCGTACTTCTGCCAGTTGTTTGTGACCAGCACGTTCCGCATCACACTGCAGGTCCTGGATTACTCTCCATTGACGGACATCGAGGAGGTGACCGTGTATGACTCAAGTCGGTCTGAGATTCAGCAGAGCACACACAGCTGGAAGATTGAGAAGGATCTGATTGATTTTCCAATTGTCTCCTCATCTCAGTACCTCACTATAAAGCTGGACATTAAGGGAGGGGTTCGTTCTGGCAGGCTGTCCTTTGCTGCTATATCATGTAAGTTCTCACTTTGTTGTTTGTTTGTTTCTTGATCCAGTTTATGCTTCTTGTAAGATGCGACTATGCTTGTCATAAGAGGCGACTATGCTTGTTGTAAGTGGTGACTATGCTTGTCGTAAGAGGTGACTATGCTTGTCATAAGAGGCGACTATGCTTGTCGTAAGAGGTGACTAACGGGACCGGGTGGTCAGGCTCGCCGACTTGGTTGATACATGTCATCAATCCAAATTGTGTCGATCGATGCTCATGATATTAATCACTGGATTGTCTGGTCCAGACTCAATTATTTACAGACCGCCGCCATATAGCTGGAATATTTCTGAGTGCGGCGTTAAACAACAAACAATCAAACAATCAATCTTGATCCAGTCCCTTGTCATAGCAGTATTTGTCGAAGGAGTGGAAGCTTGTTGATTAACCTTGCAATCAGCCTTATTCCAGTTATACAAAGGAGGATTGTCATTTATTGATTATAATATAATGATATTATGACCAATTTTCTAAGCCATCTGTACATGCAAGTCACTGAAAGTGACCACCTGTCAATTTAGTAACCTCGTACTTCAAACAAAGGCAACTGGAGAGCTATTTGGTTACCAGTTCTACCCCAGAATCCCCACATGGCCTAGTGGTTGAAGTGTCAGCTTGTTATGCTTGGTGTCCCCAGACATGATATTGCTGGATTATTGCTTTGTTTGTTGTTTCATGCTTTATGGCAGTCTGTAAATAATCAAGTCTGGACCAGACATTCCAGTGATTGACATCATGTGTGTTAATCTACGCAATTGGTATATGATGACATGCATCAACCAAGTCAGCGAGCCTGACCACCAAATCTCGTTAGTCGCCTTTTACGACAGGCACAGTCACCTTTTACGGCAAGCATGGGTTGCTGAAGACCTATTCTACCCCAGGTCTTCATGGGTCTGGAGTATACTGACAGCATACCATGCTCAAACTCACTATCAGAATAAATTATCAATATCAATTAAAAAAAGTTTCCAAAACCAACATTATTTTTCATATTCAGTTATTCCTTGAATTATTTCAATCATTGCCTTGACATTAGCAATACTATGACTTTGTCAGCATTCTGGAACTTGTTGAATATGGAATGTTGTTCATCATTATCAAGAGATAATATTTTTTCTCTCTGGTCCATTATGAAGATTATCATGTGCTGCAGAATTTCTGTAGAAGTCCTTGTTTTACATGTTTTAGGTCACTATTTCCATTTCATATCTGGTTAAAATGTTTAATTCACAACATATTCACAAGTGTGATTAGCTACAGAATCTCAAAACATGACCTGTGTGAGGATTACCACTAGAACAGGTTCTCAGTGTGATGCTTGTTTAGAGGAGGCAGCTGTAGTGAGTATTGGGTGGCCAGGTTCCCAGTGATTGATGCTTGTTAGAGGAGGCAGCTGTAGTGAGTATTGGGTGGCAAGGTTACCAGCGATGGATGTTTGTTAGAGGAGGCAACTGTAGTGAGTATTGGGTGGCCAGGTTACCAGCGATGGATGTTTGTTAGAGGAGGCAACTGTTGTGAGTATTTGGTGGCAAGGTTACCAGCGATTGATGCTTATTAGAGGAAGCAGCTGTAGTGAGTATTGGGTGGCCAGGTTCCCAGCGATGGATGTTTGTTAGAGGAGGCAGCTGTAGTGAGTATTGGGTGGCCAGGTTACCAGCGATGGATGTTTGTTAGAGGAGGCAACTGTTGTGAGTATTGGGCGGCAAGGTTACCAGCGATGGATGTTTGTTAGAGGAGGCAACTGTTGTGAGTATTGGGTGGCAAGGTTACCAGCGATGGATGTTTGTTAGAGGAGGCAGCTGTAGTGAGTATTGGGTGGCAAGGTTCCCAGCGATGGATGTTTGTTAGAGGAGGCAACTGTTGTGAGTATTGGGTGGCCAGGTTCCCAGCGATGGATGTTTGTTAGAGGAGGCAACTGTTGTGAGTATTGGGTGGCCAGGTTCCCGGCGATGATTGTTTGTTAGAGGAGGCAAGTGTAGTGAGTATTGGGTGGCCAGGTTCCCAGCGATGGATGTTTGTTAGAGGAGGCAGCTGTAGTGAGTATTGGGTGGCAAGGTTCCCAGCGATTGATGCTTGTTAGAGGAGGCAACTGTTGTGAGTATTGGGTGGCAAGGTTACCAGCGATTGATGCTTATTAGAGGAAGCAGCTGTAGTGAGTATTGGGTGGCCAGGTTCCCAGCGATGGATGTTTGTTAGAGGAGGCAACTGTTGTGAGTATTGGGTGGCCAGGTTCCCAGCGATGGATGTTTGTTAGAGGAGGCAGCTGTAGTGAGTATTGGGTGGCCAGGTTACCAGCGATGGATGTTTGTTAGAGGAGGCAGCTGTAGTGAGTATTGGGTGGCAAGGTTCCCAGCGATTGATGCTTGTTAGAGGAGGCAACTGTTGTGAGTATTGGGTGGCAAGGTTACCAGCGATTGATGCTTATTAGAGGAAGCAGCTGTAGTGAGTATTGGGTGGCCAGGTTCCCAGCGATGGATGTTTGTTAGAGGAGGCAACTGTTGTGAGTATTGGGTGGCCAGGTTCCCAGCGATGGATGTTTGTTAGAGGAGGCAACTGTTGTGAGTATTGGGTGGCCAGGTTACCAGCGATGGATGTTTGTTAGAGGAGGCAACTGTTGTGAGTATTGGGTGGCCAGGTTCCCAGCGATGGATGTTTGTTAGAGGAGGCAGCTGTAGTTAGTATTGGGTGGCCAGGTTACCAGCGATGGATGTTTGTTAGAGGAGGCAACTGTAGTGAGTATTTGGTTGCCAGGTTCCCAGTGATGGATGCTTGTTAGAGGAGGCAACTGTAGTGAGTATTGGGTGGCAAGGTTCCCAGCGATGGATGTTTGTTAGAGGAGGCAACTGTTGTGAGTATTGGGTGGCCAGGTTCCCAGCGATTGATGTTTGTTAGAGGAGACAACTGTTGTGAGTATTGGGTGGCCAGTTCCCAGCGATTGATGCTTGGTAGAGGAGGCAACTGTAGTGAGTATTGGGTGGCCAGGTTCCCAGCGATGGATGTTTGTTAGAGGAGGCAGCTGTAGTGAGTATTGGGTGGCCAGGTTCCCAGCGATGGATGTTTGTTAGAGGAGGCAGCTGTAGTGAGTATTGGGTGGCCAGGTTACCAGCAATGGATGTTTGTTAGAGGAGGCAACTGTTGTGAGTATTGGGTGGCCAGGTTCCCAGCGATGGATGTTTGTTAGAGGAGGCAGCTGTAGTTAGTATTGGGTGGCCAGGTTACCAGCGATGGATGTTTGTTAGAGGAGGCAACTGTTGTGAGTATTGGGTGGCCAGGTTCCCAGCGATGGATGTTTGTTAGAGGAGGCAACTGTTGTGAGTATTGGGTGGCCAGGTTCCCAGCGATGGATGTTTGTTAGAGGAGGCAGCTGTAGTGAGTATTGGGTGGCCAGGTTACCAGCGATGGATGTTTGTTAGAGGAGGCAACTGTTGTGAGTATTGGGTGGCCAGGTTCCCAGCGATGGATGTTTGTTAGAGGAGGCAGCTGTAGTGAGTATTGGGTGGCCAGGTTACCAGCGATGGATGTTTGTTAGAGGAGGCAACTGTAGTGAGTATTTGGTTGCCAGGTTCCCAGTGATGGATGCTTGTTAGAGGAGGCAACTGTAGTGAGTATTGGGTGGCAAGGTTCCCAGCGATGGATGTTTGTTAGAGGAGGCAACTGTTGTGAGTATTGGGTGGCCAGGTTCCCAGCGATTGATGTTTGTTAGAGGAGACAACTGTTGTGAGTATTGGGTGGCCAGGTTCCCAGCGATTGATGCTTGGTAGAGGAGGCAACTGTAGTGAGTATTGGGTGGCCAGGTTACCAGCGATTGATGCTTGTTAGAGGAGGCAACTGTAGTGAGTATTGGGTGGCCAGGTTCCCAGCGATTGATGTTTGTTAGAGGAGACAACTGTTGTGAGTATTGGGTGGCCAGGTTCCCAGCGATTGATGCTTGGTAGAGGAGGCAACTGTAGTGAGTATTGGGTGGCCAGGTTCCCAGCGATTGATGCTTGTTAGAGGAGGCAACTGTTGTGAGTATTGGGTGGCCAGGTTCCTAGCGATTGATGTTTGTTAGAGGAGACAACTGTTGTGAGTATTGGGTGGCCAGGTTCCCAGCGATTGATGCTTGGTAGAGGAGGCAACTGTAGTGAGTATTGGGTGGCCAGGTTCCCAGCAATTGATGTTTGTTAGAGGAGACAACTGTAGTGAGTATTTGGTGGCCAGGTTCCCAGTGATTGATGCTTGTTAGAAGAGGCAACTGTAGTGAGTATTGGGTGGCCACAATGGTCACACATCTTCGAAGACTAAGTTGTAAGCTATCACTGAGTACTATGTACAAGTATGTTTGTTCCAAGTCCAGCTGTCTCTGAACCCCCCAATCCTACTCTAATATTTTACAAATATTTCAAGCCCCTGTTGATTGCATTGTTCTGTGATGGAGTGGATATCTTTGTTCTGTGATGGAGTGGATTATTGCTCCTTCTAGCAACCACTGGTTAGCTTTAGCCAATATGTAGTTGAATGTTGCTAACTGGCATAAAATAACATTTATTCACTCACTTACAAACTTAGGAAAGGTAACGAGTGGTTAAAGTGTTTGTTAATCGAGAATGAAAATCGAGTGCAGACTGACCGGGGTAATAACGTAGCCAGGGCTTTGAGCATGCTTTAAGATGTGGATTTGGCACATTATAAATATGCTAATATGAATGCTATCTTTATTGTATGATCCCTAGGGAGCTGAGAATGAAATTTAAGTGCACACTGATCCATTGACCGGGGTAATAATGCAGTGCTTTGAGCATGCTTCAAAGTGTTGATTTGATGCATTATAAATATGCACATTATAATTGTTATATCTGTGACCTTGTCTGTTCCCTGTTTCAGATCAGTACGAGCCAACACCTCCAATACTGAGGACGCATATGCGTAACTGTACATTCAGCTACAACAACCAGGGCATCGTTACAAAGCATTACAACAACCCATCCAACAGGAAACTCGAGCTGTACCACAGACACAAGCTGGAGACGTTCGTCTTTGAAAGAATCAACGTGTTCCACAGCCGGAAGGAGGCCATGTACATGCCGAGCGTCACCAAGTACAACGAAGACTATGTCCCTACTTGGGAGGAGATGACCATTCCCCAGAAGGTGGCAACGATCGAGTATACCATTGACCAGTGCCACTTCCTCGACAATGAGTACGGAGTTCTGGCAGAGCATAATCATGTAGACTTTGCCAACAATGTCTGGCACTGGACGGTGAAGCGTTCCGACATCATGAATATTAACAATGGTGGGTTTGAGGTTGAACTGCCAAGGGTTAACGATGAGGAAGGAGGCGTGAAAAAACACAAGATTGTGTTCCAGGACAATATTGCCAAGAACAACAGGAAATTTGCTTTTACTGTTGCAGGATATTACGCCAATGTGAGCATTTTGAGTAACACCTTCATGAACAACTTGTGTCGGAAGGGTCTGATGACAATCTCAGGCATGGAGAAGGATATGCATCTGTACAGCAACAAGATTGAGTCCAACACGGGGACCTACATGATTGACTTGGACATCATAAGCCATTCTGAATACTCTAACCAAGTGTCAGGACTCATGGAGTTGAATGAAATATTAGGCAACAGGTACTATCAAGGACAGGTGGCTCCAGGCTCAGAATACAGCCCCAAGACCTTCACTGTTGCCTTCCGGGGCCTTCAGAGCATGAAGGCCAAAAAGAACCTGTTTGAGAATCCGGACCTTGGCTTTGAGCTGGTCGCTGCCACAACAGCCCTCTCCCTTGGGAACACTGTCGATGTGAAGGAGAATTGGTGGGGTTCAACTAACATTGATGTGATTAGGAAGAGAATCTTCGATTTTGATGACTGGAATAGCTATGCCATTGCGACCTACCATCCCTACTTGACCAAATCAGATGTTAATTCTGACGTAGCCACTGGCCCACCTGTGGATCTTCCTCTTGATTTGCGCCGTCTTGGTGGTCGAGTGACCAAATCGCTGAGTTTGCCCTACCAGACTACACCGTACACTGTTGTTGCTGACTTGACTGTCATGCCACAGGCAACACTGACTATTGCACCTGGAACCGTGCTGCAGTTCAGACCGAATGTAGGTATTCTCGTTCTCGGCAAACTTCAGGCTCGGGGACTTCCTTACAACAGAATAAAACTCCAGCCTCTGAAGGACACAACCTCACCGAGAGTGAAGAGAGAAGCTGAAACGTCGGAACACAGACAAAAGCGTCAAGTTTTGGGAGACGTGCACCTGAAAGGAGATGGAACTTTGTTCAACGATGAGGGATTTCTGGAAATGTACAACACTTCCACCCAGTCCTGGAATATCATGTGCGACAACCAGTTCAATGAGAAAACAGCAGAGGTCGTCTGTAGAGCTCTTGGCAAGGAAACCATCAATGTCCGGGTCCGATTCACTCACTTGTATGATCACTACATCTATGGCAAACCAAGCTATTTCCGAAAGGAGTTCTGGACATTTAGTTACTACTGTCGAGGCGATGAGACCTCGTTGGAGCAGTGTGAGAAACGATACAACTATAACCTCCTGCCATGTATCTATGCTGCCAACTACACCTTCATCACATGCGGGCCTAGGAACCTGGAGAGCGATGTGGACTACTGGGGGAACATTAGGTTCGCTACAGACAGCTACCAGGAGAAGTTTACTCTGGACCAGAACTTTTACCAGGACTCCTATGTGGAGTATATGGACATAGAAGGAGCTGGAATCCTACATGGGGAAAAGGTTGGGGCCATACAGACTACGTACGTCACTCCAGTGTTCAAAAACATCAACATAACCAAATGTGCTTCTAATGGCTATGACATCATTGCGCCCAGAGATATGATGGAGATTAGGAATCAGAACATATCCGGGAATCTCGGGTTTGGTGTGAATGTCCTAGTCCTAAACGGGGAGTCGAGTGCACGAGAGTCCTCCTTCACTCCGCTCGGCATCAGCACCATCCCCTACCATGTGTATGGACTGGTGGACATCTGTCGGATGGAGAAGGAGATCACGCTGGACAACAGGATGATCCTGTACTACAAGTATTCTCACAAAGCTGTTGACTGTGTCAAGATTATCCGCAGCTCCAACCCAAGGAAGACTGTCGGACTCCGCTTTCTGCAGCTCAATCTCTTCCATGAGGACTTCTCGTGGAATTCCGTTGAGTTGTTTGACGGTCTAGTAGTGTCCCAGGCTACCCTGCTGAAACAGATTCTGGCCAACACAAGTGGGTCGGAGGTGCTAAGGCAGTACACCAGTACAGGCGATACTCTCGCCATTCACATGCATGCCTCGGTCTCCTTCCAATATTATGGGTTTATTGCTGAAATCGTGACTGTGCCACCTACGGGACTGACTTATCCTGGTAAGTGAAAAATATTGCCCTTCATTTTTTTCAAAATTAACAACTGAAATAAGAAGGCATAGTTCTATTCAAAATATGATTTTATAAACACCTTTTGTGTGCATTTTAGTGGAAACTTTTATCTCAAGATAGTTACAATGTATTAAAGAAATTAACTTAATACACAACCCAGACATCATTTGGGATTGTTTAACCACAAGCCTCATTCCATATTGTTATACCAAGACATGTTTTCAAAAAAAGAAAACTTGACAGGTGATAAATTATATTTTCTTCACATGTTCTGTTGAACTTATATTGTTGCAGCTATTGTTTTACTGAAAGCTGATTTGTATTTAAATCATGAGAAAGGTTTTGATAACAAAGGAAATACCAAAGGCATAAGTTGTAATTTGCTGTTATAGCTTATGTCTTGAAGAAAGTTTGCAAGAAAGAATTTAATATTTTTTCAAAATGTCATATTTAGTTTTGAGTTTCTAAACAAATTTGAATAATCAAAAACCATTACAAGTGTAGTCTCTATTTATGATTGTAATATTGTAAATAGATGACATCCTGCTGGGATGAGAGAGATTTGAGATCATTTGTTTTGTATAACAGATAGCAACTACCGCCATGTGCTGCAGCAGACGGTCATAAGGAGTAACCAAGATGGCGCCATTCAGTACAAAAATGTAGGGGAGATAAATCCGTCACTCTTCATTGATCACTGTTGGCTTGAAGGTAATGGTGTATCCATTTTGAACCTGACATCTCCACCAACAATTGACATCTCGTTGCAAGGAACAGTTTTATTCGACTTCAGCCACAACTACATCAGTCAAAACAAGGGAGGAATGTATTTCTCTGCCAGGACGAAAACCATCGCAACTGCATTACGTGGAAACATTACTAATAACGTATTTGCATATGGCTCCCACGGAGAGGCTCTCAACATCTCAGGGCATTATTACCAGCGTGTTTTCCTGTTCCAAAACTACTTCTACAACTACACAACAGGGGACTACCGTGACGTCATCCACATCAAGGACGTCGTCGTGAACTTCACATACAATGTCATTACGAATAATGTCGGTCATTACATCCTGGCAGCCTATAATAGTCCCGATCCGCAGGCACGGCAGGAGTACACGCGGTGTGGCTTCAATGACAACAATGCGACGGCCCTTTATGAGAGTACTGTCAAGGTCGGCAAAGGTCGCCCGGTCTTCCACCATAACTATCTTGTCAATGAACTCAACGACTTCGAGTTTCAGTCAAGCTCAAAAGAAGAGTAAGAATCTGTTTTTTCTTTGATATACATATTTTTTTAACTGTTTTAAAGCTTCTATTTTTACATGATTTAAACTTTGTGACATCAGAAAATATATTTGTATTTTTATTCAAGGGAACAATTTTAGAGTATTCTGGATATATAAAAACTACACATTCTTGGAAAAGGATTAACCCTCTCTGTCTAGGTCCCATTTTGCTATGTGATCAGTGTACTTGCTGTCGTATGTCCTATACTTGAACATAGACTTACAGTTGTTGAAACTTAGATGGCTTTGTGAAGCAAGATGCTGTGGCTGTAATGAGGCATGCATGGCCCTGTGGTCTGTGGTCTGTGGTCTGTGGTGTTGCATCCCTTAGCTGTTCTGGGATCCGATGTGGGTTTAAATGCCACATTCACCCATGATATAATCCTTAGTCAGTGCCACTCACATGAGTACAAGACCTGTGACTTTCCTCCACTAGTGAGCTGGGACACTGTCATATAGCTGCAGCACATGACCTGTGACTCTCCTCCTCTAGTGAGCTGGGACACTGTCATATAGCTGCAGCACATGACCTGTGACTCTCCTCCTCTAGTGAGCTGGGACACTGTCATATAGCTGCAGCACAAGACCTGTGACTATCCTCCACTAGTGAGCTGGGACACTGTCATATAGCTGCAGCACATGACCTGTGACTCTCCTCCTCTAGTGAGCTGGGACACTGTCATATAGCTGCAGTACAAGACCTGTGACTTTCCTCCTCTAGTGAGCTGGGACACTGTCATATAGCTGCAGCACAAGACCTGTGACTCTCCTCCTCTAGTGAGCTGGGACACTGTCATATAGCTGCAGCACATGACCTGTGACTCTCCTCCTCTAGTGAGCTGGGACACTGTCATATAGCTGCAGCACAAGACCTGTGACTATCCTCCTCTAGTGAGCTGGGACACTGTCATATAGCTGCAGTACAAGACCTGTGACTCTCCTCCTCCAGTAAGCTGGGACACTGTCATATAGCTGCAGTACAAGACCTGTGACTTTCCTCCTCTAGTAAGCTGGGACACTGTCATATAGCTGCAGCACATGACCTGTGACTCTCCTCCTCTAGTGAGGTGGGACACTGTCATCTAGCTGCAGTACAAGACCTGTGTCTTTCCTACTAAAGTGAGCTCGGACACTGTCATATAGCTGCAGCACAAGACCTGTGACTCTCCTCCTCTAGTGAGCTGGGACACTGTCATATAGCTGCAGCACATGACCTGTGACTCTCCTCCTCTAGTGAGCTGGGACACTGTCATATAGCTGCAGCACATGACCTGTGACTCTCCTCCTCTAGTGAGGTGGGACACTGTCATATAGCTGCAGCACATGACCTGTGACTTTCCTCCTCTAAGTAAGCTGGGACACTGTCATCTAGCTGCAGTACAAGACCTGTGTCTTTCCTACTCAAGTGAGCTGGGACACTGTCATACAGCTGCAGCACATGACCTGTGACTTTCCTCCTCTAGTGAGCTGGGACACTGTCATATAGCTGCAGCACATGACCTGTGACTCTCCTCCTCTAGTGAGCTGGGACACTGTCATATAGCTGCAGTACAAGACCTGTGACTTTCCTCCTCTAGTGAGCTGGGACACTGTCATATAGCTGCAGCACATGACCTGTGACTCTCCTCCTCTAGTGAGCTGGGACACTGTCATATAGCTGCAGCACAAGACCTGTGACTTTCCTCCTCTAGTAAGCTGGGACACTGTCATATAGCTGCAGCACATGACCTGTGACTCTCCTCCTCTAGTGAGCTGGGACACTGTCATATAGCTGCAGTACAAGACCTGTGTCTCTCCTCCTCTAGTGAGCTGGGACACTGTCATATAGCTGCAGCACATGACCTGTGACTCTCCTCCTCTAGTGAGCTGGGACACTGTCATATAGCTGCAGTACAAGACCTGTGACTCTCCTCCTCTAGTGAGCTGGGACACTGTCATATAGCTGCAGCACATGACCTGTGACTCTCCTCCTCTAGTGAGCTGGGACACTGTCATATAGCTGCAGCACAAGACCTGTGACTTTCCTCCTCTAGTAAGCTGGGACACTGTCATATAGCTGCAGCACAAGACCTGTGACTTTCCTCCTCTAGTAAGCTGGGACACTGTCATATAGCTGCAGCACATGACCTGTGACTCTCCTCCTCTAGTGAACTGGGACACTGTCATATAGCTGCAGCTCTGTTTAAAGGGACAGTCAGCCTACTCATTCATTCGGCAGTAAGGGCATGACACAAGGAGAGGTCGGCTCGGTGTCTGTATAATGTGTCTGAGTACAGTGTCCATGTTAGCACTATAAAACTATCATTAGTCCGGCGAAGTACAAGCAGACAAACGTGTATGCACGTTGCTTTACAACTGTAATAGCCTTGAATGTGACATTGAACTCCATTCACCCAACTCATCTATTGGAAATAGCATGAAGGAGTCCTGTGGGTACTGCACCAATACACCAGTGTTCAGATCCTCACATTGGAACACGAACCCTGTTCTTGAATCCCTGTGACAGTGATATTCATCTGCCAACAGCAAAAAACCTTACCCAATCAGAAATTGTTGACGGGGTGGATGGGTAGCCTTGTGGTTAAGGCGTTCACTCCTCAGACCAAAGCCTGGGTCCAAATCCCCATATGGGTACATTGTGTGAAGTGCACTTCCACTGCGATATTGCTGGAATATTGCTGAAAGCAGTGTGAAATACAACTCACTTGGCCCTCTCCATCCAACTTTGCTCTCCATGTTTAGTGTGTTATTGGCCATGAATCGATGCAACATTGTTGATACACCATCAAGTAATGATCCCTCCTCTCTCTCTGTGTTACAATGTTGCTGTACCTACTGTTATGTTCTGTTTGCCAGTCCTTCAGAGCTGCCTGTGAATGCGACCCAGAACTGGTGGGGGTCGGACAGAATTGGGTACATCAACGGGAAAATCTGGGATGAATCCGACAACCCGCTGCTGTCTCCGGTAGCCTTCGTGCCACCTAAGCTGGACAACAGATCGGTCGTCGATGGTGAGATCAATAGAAATACTGATCAAACTGACACATATAAAATTCTAAGATATCTTTTAGATCATTTTCATACAGGAATATCTTTTCATATGCAGATTTGACACTGCAGGGACTTTGTTACTGACTTCCTAGAGTATTCTGTGAAGTGGCTACTATTCACATTTTATTTTTACTCTCTGACAGTTGCTTCTTTTCGTCTTACCCTTTCACCTATGCATTCTATTCCACATTCTTTCTGCATTTTCTTTTTTGAGTACAGTTATTCCTAAATTTTAAAATTAAAGGGTCCTCCCAGCCCTGAGGGTCCCTCCCACTTGGCTCTGTACCTTTTGATTAAAAATATGAAATATCTATTCATAAGTAGATTTTCCAATGCAGGGACTTTGTTAATGACTTTCTAGCACATTTCTGGTGTTGTGGCTATCTCTTTCTTTCTGTGGAAATAAAACTGCTATGGGATGACTGATGTGACTTGACTATGGTGTGTCTCCAGGGAAGTGTAGGCCGGGATGGAAACTAGACACAGGACGCTGCTACAGGTACATGGGCGGCGCGCTGCCCTTCTATGAGGCTAACGAGTTCTGTAAGGTAAGTTGTGGATGCTTCTACTTGAATGTTTGTTGGGACACAATGACATGCATCAACCAGTCTGACCACCCGATCACATAGGCATTGATCATCGGTTCTTGTTTTACGGGGGTTCTTGTAAATATGAGGTCTCTTTGCCTACATTTAAAGAACTCAGTTGTGAATAATAAAGCATTCAGAACTGAATTCCGCCTCTGTCGTTTCAGAACACGAAGAACATGTGATTGTTGAGGACAAAATATGTGTTTTTTAAATTTAAATTTAATGAAACACTGAGTTATTACCCAATTCATGATCATTAGACCTCAACAGAATGAGAATTGCCTGTGCACTGAAAAATGAAAGTGGCCAACTGATGGTGTAATTTTCAGGCTAATGGTGGTTTCCTAGCAGACCTGCGGGGTCGTGAGTATTTCCTGGAGTACTTAGTGCGGCTGATGCGTGCCGTGGACAAGCCAAAAATGCGCGTGTGGGTGATGGGGGACTTGAAGTCTGGGTACTGTGCAGCCCTGGAGGGGAACTACATGGTCATAGAGGATGACTGCACAAGACTCCTGTACCCCTTCGTCTGTGAGAAAGGTATGCAAACACACATCTTCCCGAGGCACCCTTGCCGAACTGGTGGCGCTTCTAGTGGCTTCTACCACTTATGTCCATCCCACTCTAAGGTTTGGTCTTGATCGAAGGAACATTTGGGTGACATGGTTTAAATTTAGGAAAAGGAAGGAAACATGGTTCAAATTTCCAGAAAAGATTGGATTGATTCATTAAAAAATTATGCATATTCAAATCGTTTCTGATATGTAATGTAATGGCATATAATGGTTTTGGCAAATGTCAAGGTCATTTTAAAGGTTATTCACACATGAAATGATTTAGTTATTTCCACTTACTTCAAGACAGTTAGAGGCGGTCATGATACAGCTGCAATGTTGTCAGTGGCTTAAAACATGCACTTATTTACTTCGGTCTTTGTAGTAAAGTATGTCGGGATATGCACACAAAGTATTGGATGACTCCCTGTGTTTTCAGATCCATACATTACCCAGCCTCCAGAGGTAACAGACTATGTGAAAGCAATAGCGATTGGTATTGGTGTTGGTATTGGAGGGCTGATTGTCCTTGTCATCCTCATCATCGCCATTCTGTGGTTCATCAAGTCTCGAAGACGAGGCAAGGAAAGGTTTGAGCGAGCAATGTCCATCAGGTCGTCAATCCGTGGAAGCATCAGAAGCAAGTCTCAGCTGACTGTCTTGTCCACTGGAACATCCAGACAACGGATGAACGACTTCAGGGATGAAGTGTCTCAACATTCTTATGCCTCAAGAACCTCCCGAGGTACAAGTCTTGGAAACAGTGTGGAGAGTATTCAATCTGCTCCTCGACCCGCTGTTGGCCGGACAATGGCTTCCCTCAGGAAACAGCCTCTTCATAACAAGGGTTATTACCATGATGAGAGCGTGCTGGAAGATGATGATGATGATGGTTTTGATGATACTTTTGATGATGATGATGATGATTTGGATGAGAAGGATGTGAAAGTGAGTCAGGAGAACATTGAAGGCCCTGTGTACAACTCGGGACATGTCACTCACCAGGGACAGGCTCCCAGGGTTAGGAATGGGAATCTACGTCATGTCGGGTCACAAGAAATTGCATACAATTATGACCATGGTGATGACGATGAAGATGATGATGATGATGATGATGATGATGATGAAAAGAGTTACCACAAACAGTCCTTGTCCAGCTTCAGTGCTCCCGAAAGTCCATCGACTCCCGTCAAGAGTAAAATCTTCCTGCCAAGAAGCACTCACAGCCTAGCTTCCCAGAGATCTGATCTCCGTTCACAGCCTCTACCCACTCCCCCACCAACCCCACCTGTCTCAGGTCGCTATAGCAACGTCCCAGGTTACAATTCTCCTCAACATAGACCTTCACCCAACATGTATGACGACGTTCCGTCAGAGACAAGCAGCAATCCAAGATATGGAAATGTCCCGGGCTATACCCAGAGTCCACAGAGAATGGCTGCAAGGTCCACTCCAGATCTGTACGATGACGTCCCATCCGAAACCAGCAGTGACCACAGATACAGTAATGTGCCAGGATATAGTCCCAGTAAACATCAACCACAAACAGCAGCCAGATCCACACCCAATCTGTACGACGATGTCCCATCGGAGTCTGGCAGTGACCGTAGGTATGGAAATGTACCAGGATATCAAGGTCCACAGATCCAACGGCCACAAGCCGTACCACGTACACGCACACCAGATATATATGACTACCCGCCAGGCAGTGATACGTCACGATTCAGAGAATCACCAAAACCTTCGGCGCGAGTGCTTACAGGTTCTCAGGATAGCCGTCGAGAGTCACCAGTCCCAGCAGCTCGTATAAAACCTGTCCCATCTCGTCGACCTGATCGACCCTCACCATTGACAGTGGCACCGTCGATGATCGCAGCATCGCCAACGGTGCTGCCGCCACCTCAACAGAGATTCTCTCAACCGCCCACCTACCGTACTGTGCCTCGGGACAATGTCTTGTACCTCCAGCAGAAACTCAATGCTCCCAATGAAGAGAGTGTGGAGACCGAGATCTAGAACATGGAGACAAAGAGGGAAAAGCCAGAAATAATCAATACCACTTACGTCACTTTGCACAGCCTGGTATAGGTGGTAGAAAGACAGATCAATAGAACATTGGACCTAGGTCTTGACCACACAGCAATACTTGCCACTTCAGGAATAGTAACACCCGAAGACCTTAACAAAGAGCTATGACAGATTTAGGTCTGTGATCACTTTGTGGAACAGATCCCTGAAACTAGAACTCTCATATAGAGCATTGTTTTAAGAAAAACTGGCCCCAGAACTTTGTCTTACATTGACCCGGATCGAGAAGAGACAGGAACTGTTCAATGAATCAGAACAATCTGATGGTATTTTGTAAAAAATTGAAAGGTTTGGCAAGTTATTTTTTGTCAGGTACAATTTCTAAGAAAGAGGATGTTGGGACCTAAGTTTTGAGGTGAATATTCAGGATAATGGTTATGTGGGTTTGTTTGTTTTCAAAGAGCCCGCACAGAGGGAGCATATGAAAAGCTATCCAACATGTGAAGAAGTGCTGTATCAGTTGTAATTATTTGCTGAGATTGGGAGGAGAGGTTGTTTTATTTTTTATCCAATATTTAAGCAAAAGTTGACATATTTATATGGGAAATGTTTTATTTACTATGCTCAAGTCTATATTTATGTATGGCCATTTCACAGTGAACTGCATGTAACGTGCTGAGCAAAGCTCGGTGCGCTGTTTGGTGCTGTCAAACATGAGCTGAACCTTCATACATACAAGAAGAAAAGGAAAAGATGTATTCTACCTATCGACCAAGGTTCCCTGATAATCCTTACTTTTAAGATATATTGTAATCAGCTTTTATAGAACATATGGCACATTCACTATCCTTTTATATCTGTTTAACCAGTATTGTACTTCTTCCCCTTTAATAATCTCCCAGTTTTCAGGGGCCCATTCCACAAATTTGTCTTAGCGCTAAGATGATCATAAACCCCCATACTTTAACATGGGCTTACAACACTCTCAGCGCTAAGATGGTTTTGTGGAGCATGGCCCTGGATGGAATATAATGGATTTGAATGTGAATTCCAATGTGAAATCACTTCTACCTCAGATGTGTATGTGATTAGGTAAAGTCTATCTTCTTCTTGGACAAAGTGTGCCTTAACAGAATGCAGTGTGTAGGGCATCATAGGACATGTGTAGAACATTGTAGAATATTGTAGAACATTGCCAGTGCCAGGTGAAGGCTACAAGTGCTTTGTCTCAAGGAATTGTTTTAATATCATTTTCCATGATTTTGTCATTTCAGATTTTTAAACTTATCACTTAACCTTTCCTCACTAAACCCTACTTCATGTCTTGTTCAATTCATTTTTAGCTATCCATACAAATAATATATTGTTTTATATATTTATATGATTCTTATCCATCAAATCAAAAAGTGCTCAGGTCATTCAAATAAATATTTTCTGTGAAAATAGGGAATTGCAAAAATTACATTAATAAAATGCCTGATGTTGAGAGGAAACTGATGAAGTTCTCTTTTGGTATTATAATTTGTCTGTTTTGTTTTGTAAATAAATATGGTGAAAGCCACATGGGGAGACTTTATTTGGATGGACAAGCATTTAGGTCACAAAAATTAATGACAAAAAATAAGGGGAAGTTTATTTGATTTCAGTGCAATAATGGATGAAAATCACCAGTTCCCCATATAACTAAACACTGCTTGGATAGGTTGCAAAATCATAATTATATTCCGTCTCAGTGTAGACATGACCTGATTTCTACAGTATTATCGTTAACGTGTAATATATATGGCGCATAATTAGTCTGCAGCTGAAAGGGGTGGAAAGTAGTTTGTACTAGCATTGTCTCCTGGAAAACATGTGAATGGTCACTTTGGGTGGGTTGAAACAAAAACAAGAATAGTTGTTCATGTCAATATATTTTATTCTAATTTGGAGTTACATTGTGTGGGATGGTATTTTTACTCGTTGAAAAATTAACAATAAGTACAGTGAAAAATGTATTTTGTGTGCCCTGATAGTGTATAATGAGAGAAATCTGTGACCATACCACAGCTTATGCAACTTTACATGTGTTCAACATGGATGTGACAATTCTTGAACCTAGTTTATTATTTGACAGCAACAGTTACTCTTTTAGGCCTGAACATGTTTACTATTTGAGCAGTGTAGACACTGAGGACACATAATCGTCAGCGTGAACACTCCTCACTCAAAGAACTTACATGGTTTTTCAATAATAAACTTCCCAGTGATGAAATTTACTGAATGCCATTTTGCCAAAATTAAAGATTTATTTGACCAATAAATCCACTTTCATTTCGAGTAGTGGAAATTAAAATTTTTCTGAATACAATTTTGTTTGGCAGATTTAAACTTGAGAAGACATCTTGTAATTCTGAAATACTAGATTAGTAATTTGACATCTTTACATGAAATTTGGTTGTGTTTGCAGAATTTCTGGAATAATATTTTGTTTAAATAATGGGCTCAAATGCTAATATCCTTTTCATCATTTATGTTACAGTTTAGAATTAGATTGGAACATTGATTACTGCCATGTGTGTTAAGCATAGACAAACTGTCCGCAGGTAAAGAGTGTGTGTATGTACATGTCCTATTGTCAACTAGCCTCCAAGGCAGCAGCAGCAGCAGCAGCAGCAGCATTTTAGCATTTTAATTTTGTACAGATACCTGATTCTTTCTTTTGTACGTTTTCTATGTGATTTTGTAAATACCATAATTTGTATGTGTAGATACTAGAATTCCTGGCTTCCTCAATGGTTTAGAGTTCACTTTGAAATTGCCTTGATTTTACTGTTTGAAAATATCAAAGGCATCAACCGTCAAAATTCTGTGTCGATAAATTGTTTGAATGTCTTAAAAACTAATTGGTCCTTTGTACATATGTTTGTGAAATTGTCCTATGTTCGGCAGGAGGGAGTCGAAATGTATGATTTATACTTTTCCAATTACATTGTTTCATTGACACCAATTGTTGAATGACTTGGAAACAACAATATGGCAATAACATATCACACATCATTCTGAGCACAAAGGGTCTTCTGCTTGGTCCTGATACTTTGTCCTAAGTGGCAGCCAAAACGGGGGGACAGGTGACTCCTTCAGAGCTGAGTTAGGAAAGCTGAAATTGAAGATAAGGAGAGACAACTCTCAGCTTGTTTTTTTTTTACATACTTCAGAAGTGAGGGTTATATTTCCATCTCACACTGGCTGCTCTTCCACAGTTCCTAACTACTTCTGCTTTACTTTAGGTAGATGTCATTTTGGACAGCATTAGTCCCAGTATTATGTAATTTCTGTCTATCAGTCAACACTGGACATTGCAATTCAGTGTAATGCACAAAATAACTCAACTGCAAAATATTGTTTATTTTCCATCTTTTTTTGCTTACTTAGTTTTCCATTTTTTTCCTTCTTTCTTTGTTTATAGGCAAGAATAGTTGTAAATATAGACACAAGTCCATTCCTGTTTCTATGTGATTCTGATTTAGAGTGTGATGTTATTCTTTCTCATCTGTATAAATTTTTCAAGCTCAATCATTCACAACAGAATCAACCATCATCGGGCGCTTTCTCCATCTTGTTATGGTATGATTTAGTCCACTGTGATCACACTGATCTCATTGTCAATTCCATTGTATATATGTCATTGTCTTGCTTGTGTCATCACTTTATGAAACGAGATCATTTATACATCTATTTGATAATAAACATTGAAAATAACCTAGTGTTTTGTTTGTTTGTTGTTTAATGCTGCACTCAGCAATATTACACCAATATGATGGCGGTCTGAAAATAATCGTGTCTGGACCAGACAATCCAATGATTTGCATCCACGCAAATGAGATACGATGACATGCATCAACCAAGTCAGTAAGCCTGACCACCCAATCCCGTTAGTAGCCTCTTATGACAAGCATAACCTAGAGGGGGCACAGGTGGCCCAGTCGTCTAAGGCGCCGTGATTCGCTATGCAGAGTTGTGTCCCTTGGGCATGCCAGAAATCTATGCTTGTGAGTTCGAATCCTGGTTTGCCCCGAATATGTTTCTAGGTTTGTTAGTACCATACCTGTGATCATGGGTTTCACCAAAGTGGTAAACGTCTGAGACCTGCATCATTTGGGCTTTCCTCCCACATTTAGCTGACATAACTGGAATACTGTTAAAAGCGGCATTAAATCAAACTCACTCACTGGTGTTTTCACTATCCGATACTAAGTTAAAGAGCCCCCAAATCAGAAATTCTGCATAATTCATATGAACGGACAAGGTAAGGAACAGCCTGTAAGAATATGTACCCAGTAGATAACAATTAAGTAGTGAGTTAGGTTAAACATTGCTTGAGTTTAGTACATAATCAAGGTCATATGTTTCTGGCAAGTCTAAGGGATGCAACTCTGCACAGTGAATTGCAGCGCCTGACATGACTTATCCACCCACGGATGTGTGCATGCAGTGTAAGAAACTGTTGCAGTTTGGAAATCTAAACCTATACTGGTTTCTACTATAGGACAATGAACCATTCTGCCAAGACCAACATACATCGTTCGGACAGCCTACTCAGATGCCAGTACGGAAAAACAAACAAAATGTTCATAGGGACATAAGCTTTAATGACCCATGTCATTGCATGATTCACATATACAAGTTAATATACACATAATATACACAAACATGTTAAAATAATCCACTTACGGAACAGTTAACAGGCAAACTGCATTTCAAAATAAAAGTTTCACTTGAATTGACAAGAGTGACATGACAAGAACATAGTTTGTAATTAGCAAACTTTTGAGCCAATATGTAACTATGGTGACTAGACTTGCTGAATGACTGACAAAATTGCCTTAAAAACAAAATAGATGTATATATATATATATATGTATATGCCTTGTAGCTGAACTGAAATTCAGAGAAGCCATGAATTATTGGTTACTACTTCTATCATGAATGTAATATTCTGTAAAGACCTGATCAAAATACATAAACATGCTTAAGATACTACAAGAAAAACTCAGTCCTCATCTTTTCATGATTCTTTTCACATATGAAATCCATGGGTACAGAAGCAATGCATGAATAAAAGTATGGAGGTCACAGAGACCAACCTGACATTAGCTCTCATGAAATGGACTCGATCATCTAATAGCACCTGTCCCCATGTAACTAAAAGATACAGAAAAACATACCAAACGAACCAAACAGTCTTTCTGCTATCAGAAAACGCATCACTGTAACCTGGTTGGTTAACTATACAGCCTAAGGTGTTTAACATCTGTACTTCCATAACCAACATAGGCTTTGCACTTCATTTATTAACCATAGGGCCAGAAATAAATGAGTTCATAAAAATCATATGTGCACTCATACAAAAATCACTTCTCGCACATCAGTGTATTGTTTCAGTCATCCAAATTGTATAATTGACATTATTCGAATCATATTGTGATGTAAGGTTGGAATGAGGTCACCCTAGAAATGACGTCATAGCTGAAGATTGTCGACATCATTGTGGTTTTCTTGGACAGCTGTGGTGGTCAGTGCATTTTTTTAAAGGGGAGCTTAAAATGATTAAGAAATAATGGCTAATAAAGAAAATATTACACTCACATGTGTGTCATACTGATTCTAAGACACCAGTGTACACTTGTTCCGTAACATCAGTATGACACACATGCTCGTATAATAATCCCTATGTTTGTCAGTGTGGCCATAGTATCAATATTAATCAAAACGAATGACTACACGCAAAACACATACAACTTTTTTTGTTTATATCCAGAACTAAACTAAATACTAAAATACACAGTGCTATTTGACATATTACAGTATATCTATGATTTAGTGTACCAAAAGTTGACCTTCAACGTGACTAGATTGAAAGCATTTCCCACAGATGGCGCCAATGAGATTACCATGTGTGCCAACTTTGTAGTGTCCCAACACTGCATGACTTAAGGCTAAAAGAATTAATAGTCTTGGTTCTCAGGCATCACCGGCATCCTCATAAAGTTCGTGCATTTTCATTTTTATTTCCATTATAAAAAAAACACACCAAAAGTCCATAAAGATTTCAAACTCAACTGAAGTCAAATACTGTATTTTAGTATTATACTCATCAAAGAATACATTTATGTAGGGAGGCCCTTTCCCAGGTTGATTGTACACAACTGTTTATTTGCTTACACAACTGTTTATTTGGTTACATACTAATTTGAAAAAACAACAACAAAAAACCAACAAAAAACCACAACGCCTTCCCACACTAAATTTTATCAAAAGCCATTACCTGAGAACCAATTCTTTTATCCTTTTAAGCCTAAGACAAGTGCCACACGAGAACACTCTCAAGACCTGTTTGTAATAGACTGTCTGAATATGCAGCAGAGAGACTTTGAAGTGATACTGTCTGATATATAAATCAACTGAATGGCCACACCTTCGTCTGAACTACCATGTTTGTTTGTTGTTTTGTTTTTTTGTTAAACGCCGCACTCAGCAATACTCCAGTTATATGACAGCAGTCTGTAAATAACTGAGTCTGGACCAGACAAAAAAGTGAGAGACATCATGAGCATTGATCCACACAATTGGGATACGATGACATGCATCAACCAAGTCAGCGAGCCTGACCACTTGATCCCGTTAGTCGCTTCTTACGAAAAGCATAGTCGCCTTTTACGGCAAGCATGGGTTGCTAAAGACCTATTCTACCCCGGACAATATGGGTGCTAAACTATGATGACAATAAAGAAATATTGTGTTGAGCATACCAGTACCATACATCACTCCATGTTTTACATGATGAAAAAGACTTTGCAACCATGTAACCAAGACAGCCATCATAATGACCATCAACCATGTCATGGGCACAAGCTGTCAAGACAACCTGGTCATGACTGCATTCATAGCATAATAAAACTCATTCAGTAGCAAGAACAGTATTATAGCTAAATAATGGCATATAAAATAGCATATTGACAAGTATATGTACAAAAAGAATATAAACATAGATAAAACATTATATACACATGACAACCTCTTATGATACAAAACATTAATTAGGGTAACAATGTTGTACATATATCGTATTCGACGTAATAAGCGCCCCGCTCTAATAAGCGCCCACGGCGATATTTGCTAACATATTGGCTAGCGAACAATCCCAATTAGCAACCCTACCGATTGATCAATGTACACAAAACTTATTTATTCGCGTATAATACCAACTCGTGTGTTATATGCACCCTTAATTATGGGCAATCAAATTCTGCAAAAATATATCCGTCGTATTTAAACATTTCAGGCTGTCAGCATAAACCACGAAATATATCCTTTAACTCTAATTTTGAGAGCGCCCTGGGCGCTTATTACGTTGAATACGGCAATGGAAATACACCCACACCTCATTGTAAACAGTCCTAAACTTATGTCGAGAAATGTAAAAACTATTGGTTCTCAGGCGATGGCTTTGGAAATGTTGGCCAAATTGATTAGCACTACGACTTTATCTTGACAGACATTCTTTCCTGGGTGTATTTTCACACAACTTAATAATGACATGCAAGCATGTTCTACTGATTCAGGATGTGCCTGAGAACCCATTTTTTCCCTTTCTGCACCTTGAACTATTCAAATACATACAACCAAGACTACAACTATGAAACTGAGCCAGGCTTGCTGGGAGGAGCCTGTCAGGACACTCGAGTAGACATCAGTGTAACAAGAGTCATAGGTGTGTCTTTCTTTTCTGTAGCCCATATTCAAGAACAAGCTCCTCTTTGTACCCCAAATAGACTATCTGTTTATTGCCACCTCTGTATGAACAAAGGCTTGAAACCTGTTTTCTGTTCAAAATGACAACAATACAATATCACATGGCAACAGTGAATTCCACATTTTCATGACATGATATTGTGATTCTTCTCTAAAGAACAGAGTAAATGATCGCAAGTCTGAATGTTGAACAATGTGGCTCAGAAGCAATGCTCACGAACAATATCAGTTTTCATCAATTTCTTCGGAGTAAGACGTTCAGCTCAAATGTGACATTTGAAGACTAAGTGCTGATCAGGACAGTTCAGTGGCATGCATATTTTTATTGGATTAATCAGGGTATTACTATTGAACATACTTTTATGTGTGGAGGCACTGGAACTATTTTTACATACAAGTCCTGGGTCATGAGAGGATTTAAACTCACAAAGTGAGTGAGTGTGTACGGTTTTACGCCGATTTTAGCAATATTCCAGCAATATCACGGCGGGGGACACCAGAAATGGGCTTCACACATTGTACCCATGTTGGGAACCAAACCCGCGTTTTCGGCGTGACGAGCGAACGCTTAAACCACTAGGCTACCCGACCGCCCCTAAACTCACAAAGAGTTTCAGACAAGTTCTTCAGTTACATCTGCTTATTTCCACCCTGCTGGTGCCATATATTTGGGAAACAATTTCAGTACCAATAAAAACCTTTCACAAAAAGATATTGACCTGTCATTGTTTCAATGTTCTCCAATAAACTAACTACTGTTCAAATCACTTACGTCTCTGTACATCAATCAAGTCAATGATGTTGAAGCCTCCTATAGCACTATCAACACATTACAGTGAAACCTGGTACCTTTTGAACATTATTTACGCAATACTGTCTCTGCAGAAACCTTGTCAAGTCATCATCATTTGAGCCAATGTACATCAAAATTGGATTGATTCTGAATTATTTGAAATATGGCCAGATAGATTGACAGAGTTCACTATACTAACATCTACTTGACAGGTGCTCACTGTTACTCTCAAGACATGCATCTGAAAATGCATCACATTTACACAGTATGAATACATCAGAGTGATAGCTCTACTTTATAGCTACCTGTAGATGCACCTTCACACTTTCATAGATCAAATGTGCTCAGTTTTGTACCTAGATAACTGTCTGTTTGAAATCCATGAAACATTCTTCTGTCCAGTATGATGATATACAGAAAACTATATTACTGCTGACTATATAACTGCCAATTAAAAAATGCTAATTCAAAAATGATTCTGTAACATGAAAACAGAAGTTCCTTGATTAAAGTGATCACATCGGATGTTTGTTTCAGCTTTCTGAGTGAGTGAGTATGGTTTTACGCCGCTTTTAGCAATATTCCAGCAATATCACGGCGGGGAACACCAGAAATGGGCTTCACACATTGTACCCATGTCGGGAATCGAACCCGGGTCTTCGGCGTGACGAGTGAACGCTTTAACCACTGGGCTACCCGACCGCCCTCAGCTTTCAGAACTAAGAGTCATCACTACCCTTATAATCGACAGGATAAAATAGATATTATTAGACGAGCATGTTTCTGTAACGTAAATATATGTTAGGAACACGAATTGTATTTTGCAAGCCTTTGGCGAGCATAATACAAATTTTATATTCCTGATATGATATTTATGATAGGGAAAATCATCAGGTTATTCATTTCTTCATCATGTCATTCCCAAAATAACCTTAGAAACCGGACATGAATACACTGTTGAGTGATTCACCCATCACGATATGCAGACATGGTTGTCTGCAGAAACACCAACACAATGGGAAACATCTATACGTACTGGGAATGTTAGTGAAACATTTATTGATCAGGCAGACATTGCATCGATGTATGGAGCTAAAAAGTAGTTTCTGATGGGGTACCTCAATTGTATATTTATTGGATTGTGAAACAAAGTTTATTGGATTGGTTTAACACACTGGTAACTCTATCCTTTATATTACAAAACTATGTATTAGTTTTAATTATTAATTTTTGGCATTTCAAAGAAAATACCAGTAAATCCTGATCCATTATTCATATTTGTATGCCTTCCTCATCTTGCCATAAAACAAAAATAAATATGACCTGGCCTCAATAAATATTGAGATGGTTATCAATAACAATGTTATTTTTTATCAATTTGTATTTTCAAATTCATCTTTCTCTTTAGGTACAAGACTCTTGAACAACTGTTGTGGTTTCTTTACATTGGCAACAGTTATGCAAGAAATAGCTTTGTATGTCAAGCCTGTGCTGTAGTGGTTACGTTATGAAAGGATTGGGAGGAGACCTATGACACCTTGATGCTCAAAGAAGGTCTCAGGAGACAATGGAGCACAAGCACCTGTCTCGATACTGCATAAGAGTATTTGTGGCATAGATTTAGTGAAAATATCTCCTCTGTAATCATTTTTTGTAATCATCAAGATTTTGTTTGCTTTGTTTGTTGTTTAACGCCACACTCAGCAATATTCCAGCTTTATGACGGCGGTCTGTAAATAAAGGAGTCTGGACCAGACAATCTAGTGATTGACGTGATGAGCATCGATCAACGCAATTGGGATATGATGAAATGCATCAACCAAGTCAACGAACCTGACCACCCGATCCCGTTAGTCGCCTCTTACGACAAGCATAGTTTCCCTTTGAGGCAAGCATGGGTTTGCTGGAGACCTATTCTAACCAGGATCTTCTTGGGTCCATGATAAGAAGCTTTATCACTGTAGATATAATACAGAGCAAATAATTTCACAAGGTCAGTTAATACCAATATATATTCCATTGGTGGATTAACCTGCAGTCATCAGTCTGTGCTTTCACTGCTGCAGCTTGCTCATGTGCACAGGTGTGGCAGAGAGAAGCCATATGTTCAGTGCTGGTATAGACACTGTATGGGTTCAAGGTCAGTACAGACAACTCAAGGACTCTTGGAAACCATGTAATCTCATTTGAGACAGACATGATTTCATCTTGTACAGACAAACCTTATCAACATCATCTGGTACAGACAACCCATATTGTCATATCTGGTACAGACAAGCCATGTGGTCTCGTCCGATACAGACAAGCCATGTGGTTATATCTGGTACAGACAACCCAATTGGTCTCATCTGGTACAGACAACCCATATTGTCATATCTGGTACAGACAAGCCATGTGGTCTCGTCCGATACAGACAAGCCATGTGGCCATATTTGGAACAAGTAGCCATGTGATCAGATCTGGACTGACCAACATGGTTTTATTTGGAACACACTAGCTATGTGATCACAGACAACCTATGTGGTCTCAACTGGTTCAGACAAGCCCTGTGGTCTCATCTGGTTCAGACAAGCCATGTGGTCTCATCTAGAACAGACAAGCCATGTGGTCTCATCTGGAACAGACAAGCCATGTGGTCTCATCTGTAACAGGCAAGCCATGTGGTCTCATCTGTAACAGACAAGCCATGTGGTCTCATCTGTAACAGACAAGCAATGTGGTCTCATCTGGAACAGACAAGCAATGTGGTCTCATCTGGAACAGACAAGCCATGTGGTCACATCTGGAACAGACAAGCCACGTGGTCACATCTGGAACAGACAAGCCATGTGGTCTCATCTAGAACAGACAAGCCATGCGGTCTCATCTGGTTCAGACAAGCCATGTGGTCTCATCTAGAACAGACAAGCCATGTGGTCTCATCTGGAACAGACAAGCCATGTGGTCTCATCTGTAACAGGCAAGCCATGTGGTCTCATCTGTAACTGACAAGCCATGTGGTCTCATCTGTAACAGACAAGCAATGTGGTCTCATCTGGAACAGACAAGCAATGTGGTCTCATCTGGAACAGACAAGCCATGTGGTCACATCTGGAACAGACAAGCCACGTGGTCACATCTGGAACAGACAAGCAATGTGGTCTCATCTGGAACAGACAAGCCATGCGGTCTCATCTGGAACAGACAAGCCATGTGGTCTCATCTGGAACAGACAAGCCATGTGGTTTCATCTAGAACAGACAAGCCATGAGGTCTCATCTAGAACAGACAACCAATGTGGTCTCATCTAGAACAGACAAGCCATGTGGTCGCATCTGTAACAGACAAGTCATGTGGTCTCATCTGGAACAGACAACCAATGTGGTCTCATCTAGAACAGACAAGCCATGTGGTCTCATCTGGAACAGACAAGCCATGTGGTCTCATCTGGAACAGACAAGCCAAGTGGACTCATCTGTAACAGACAAGCTATGTGGTCTCATCTAGAACAGACAACCAATGTGGTCTCATCTGGAATAGACAAGCCATGTGGTCTCATCTGTAACAGACAAGCCATGTGGTCTCTTCTAGAACAGACATCCAATGTGGTCTCATCTGGAACAGACAAGCCATGTGGTCTTATCTGGAACAGATAAGGCATGTGGTCTCATCGGTAACAGACAACCCATGTGGTCTCATCTGTAACAGACAACCCATGTGGTATCATGTGGTACACACAAGCCATGATGAAATCTAGTACAAACAAACCTTTGAGGTCTGAAAAGCAACCAGATGCTCCAGTCTGTCAGTCATATGGTATGGTCTTTATCAATAATAATGTGAAGAACAATCTTAGAAAGATGCTTGGCATAGCTAGAGTAAAGTTCCTCATGGCTTCCTATTGACTGTCCCATCATCCCAACACATGGCAGCCAGGCTTGATTCTCCTCACTGCATACAGGACTACAGCTGGGTAGTTCTTCCATTGACAGTCCTGCTGCTTTGGCATCTTATCACTGATATTTCACATGGAAACCATTCTGGTTTCAACGTCATCCTTTCTTCAGGTTTTCAGCTTCTGCTTTCTTTTTGCAATTGCTGCTAACCTCTTCTGTTCAATCTCATCAGGGGAGCAGCTGATTTTATCATCATTTGTCTCTAATTTAGGTTGTTGAGTTGCCTCATCTAAAATAGTAAGCATGGTTTGTGAACATCAGAATCAGAGATCATCAGAATCTACACATTGCATGGCAGTATTACCTATAAAAAGGTGATAGAATTTTGGTGCCTATAAATCTCCTCAGGTTTTATTTTAAGCTAAGCCATTAAACATTTGAGGCCATTGCTATCAATATATCAAGGATGAATTGTCGAGAAAAGCAAATATCAGAATGAACAACATTTGGGATACTGAGGCTGCTGAGAACGCTACATAAAGATATTTGAGAGAGTACCATTTCTGGGTGTCCAGTGCTAGTAAAGCTTTAGAGATATACTTTACTTACATTCCACCTCTTCCAGCATGGCAATTATCTGGGACTCAAACAGAGCATCATCCTTTAGGAACGAGTCATCCTCCAGTAACGTCTGAGTGCTCAGCAGATCTAAAATAATCAGTTTGAAAGTTCATGCAAATAGTTCTATGAGAATAAGATCACATTATCATAATCATTGCTTATACTGGGAGAGTGATGCTGTGTAATGCTGCAGTCAGCAGCATATCAGCCATATCATTGCGGACTGTAAATAATCACATCTGGAAGAGGCAAACCAGTGACTGAAAGCATGAGCAAAAACACTTTGCATGACCATCCAATGTTCTTTTGCCATGTCGGACTCAGAACCTATTCTTCCCTTGGGGACTAAGGGGACTAAGTGCCTCTTTCCAAACTTGGTCTATCCATCATAATATGGGTCCAGTGTCAATGATCCCTATGAAAACTATTTCCAGAATAGCAAATGAAGCAAGGCAGTGTTCTACAGTAAAAGGGTCTTGTGGACTACTACGCTATTTGAATCTAGGGCCCCCTTAGTCTTTAACTTTGGACATTGGGGTTATGACAATGATCCTTTGGCTTTTATGCTTAATTTTGAACATTGCATGGATTAGCAGATCGGATTCTTAAGCTTCCGGATTCAACATGTTCAAACTTGATGGTACTTCAATTTTGCCTATGACAAACCTACTTTCTATTTGGTCTTCATCTATTTAACAGTAAGTAAGTGTAAGAGTTTATATTTTGATGCAGTCACATCAAATATTTTACCAATGTCGTGGTTAGACTATAGCATTTATACACAACTCTTGCTTTCAGTCAAATCCACTTGCACAACTGCAAGGTTACTTTCTCCAGATATCAACAATGTTCTTCTACTAACCTTCTGTGGGGCCAGGTTTGTTGTCAGCCATGGCATTAGATCTCTGTGATGTCTGCGGTCTTAACACGGAACTGTTCATGGCCCCACTCTTCACTACTGCCGGTTTGGATGACGATGCACTTGCAGACACAGTGCTAACCACTGGCTGTTTTGTCTTTAACACAGTTGTATTGGACAGATTATTAGAAGAACTGGTACTGTTGCTGACACATGCACTTGTTTTCTTTGGAGCGGCAGACCGAAAGCTGTACCTGCTTTGAGTACTAGACTGGCTTGAAGAGGTCTTCCCAGGTGGAAAATATGTTTTAGTCAAGTTTGGGGCAGCACATTTGGAAGCTCCATTTGTTACTGGAACAAGATTGCTTGAGTGTTTGGGAGAGCGTTTTGAAGCTACTTGTTTAGTTGAAACATTATTTGTCAACTTTTGATGTGGAAATGTGTCACAGTTTCTTTTTGGTAATGTACTAACGCTTAATGTTTGTGCTCTTTTAGAGTCCAAACACTTTGCATCATTGGAATGTTTTGTAGTGTTTTCACTTACAATTGTCTCATTAATGCTGAAATCACAGTCAGAATCAAAGAAATCAGCATATTCTTCAAAGGACTTATCAGACACAACCTTGGCAACAGGGGCTGTATTCACTTGACTTTCCAAAACTTCATCTGGCTCAGCTAATTGTTTTAGAATTTCATCAGACCAACTAGTGTCAAGATTACTCCTCTTATAGCTGGGTCTAGGAGAAACCTTTTTGTTGGCAGGAAAAGTATTTTGTGGAGGAGCTGCTCCCTTAGGCATTTGTCCAGCTAGTTTCACTGTGGACTGTCTGTTACAGTTGCTCACGACATTAGATGCACTTGGAACACTCTTGGCTGCTGTCTGTCCCCGAAACAAGGAACTCTGAGCCCCACTACCACAAGTGGCAGGTTTAGAGACAGGAGCATGTGATGCACCTCTTCCAGAAAAGCTGCTGGTCTTCCTCCAGGGAGATTTGCTGCTGGTAGAGCCATTGCTTGCTTTGTCTGATTCGGCTTCTGTATTCTTTGATTCATACCCTGAGAAACTACTGTGCTTTCTGAAAGGACTTGTAGATCTTCTGGACACTCTCTCAGAGTTCTTATCACCCATTGTGGAAAAGCCACATGAAACTTGTCTACTATAGACCACATTGTTGTTTTCATTTATGTGTGTCTTACCACTCAGATTATGTTCATTATTAGAGAGGCCATTCTGATTAAGTGTGGACACTCCAGACGTGCTCTTTTTACCATGAGTCAAGATATTTGACCTTGTTGCACAGGTTGGGGGAATAACATCATTGCAACAGGACTCTTTCTCCCATTCTGGAGATGCAGCACATCTTTTTGTCTTATTCTTGGGCTGGTCTAACACTGGTGACATCTGTTTGCGTTTGCCTGCAAAGAGTGATGGTGTGAAGCGAGCAATCTTCTCCACTGGGAGTTGAGTTGCTTGAAGGATGAAGGAGTTGTCTTCAAAGAGTTCGTCATCACTCCACAGATCTTCCTCCTCATCCAACAAAGCCTGGGCTGCATCTTTTGGCAAGAGACTGGACTCCCCGATCGTGTGGGCAGGATTTAAATTATTTAATCTTCTTTGAGACTTGAGAACATTTTTGTTTTGATCCTCACTGTCAGTAGAAGACTTGCTGGACCTAACGACAGAGATCATATATTTATTAACACAGTTGACACTTGTTGTTACAGGATTGTAATGTGTGTGTTTCAATTAGCAGACTGAATAGCTGTCAGGCAAACAGTTCCAGTCTTGTAAAATGATCAAATTATCTATGAAAAGTAACTCAAGTGACCCAGTATATGTATATAGTTTATGGGTTTCTAAATTACATGATTCTATTTATCAGGAATCAAAAGATGCTAAATATAACACATGTCTGAGACCAAACAGAAAGACCTAGTTATCCTTTTTCCTTGTTAAATACTTAATAAACACCAAATATTTGATATTTTCTTTTACTCGTGAGTGAGTGGGATTGGTTTAATGACTCTTTGAACAGCTTAATGTGAGAGGAGGAAAGCTTGAAGTGATGCAGGTCTCAGACATTTACCACTTTTGTTTAACCCATGAAGACGGGTATGGTGCTGACAAACCTAGAAACATAATCAGGGGTGAACCGGGATTCAAAACCATAATCACAGGTTTCTGGCATGCCTAGGGGAGGCAACTCTGCACAGCGAATTGCGGCGCCTTAGGCATCTGGGCCAAACATGCCCTACTTATACTTTGGACAATCCTCCTGACAAAACACACAAGGATAAGAAAATACAAACCTTTGATTTTCTCTCTCATTTTCTTCATCTGAAAATGAAATGAAACATACTTTAATGCACATGAAAGAAACTATACTTCCTTGAAAAGAAACATTTACTGTGAAGGAGTATGTGCACTCAGGAACATTTAGGCTATATGACTGCAGTCTGTAAATAATCTAGTTTGGACAAGACAATCCAGTGATCGATATTCTGAGCAACAATCCACACCATGGTGATACAACGAACGCACCAAGCCTGTCCACCCAATCCATTAAGTCACCTCTTATGACCAGTCAAACATTTCCTAGATTTCTAGGGAAGTTGAAAGAGAGACAATATTGATTGTTTTTATATAAAGTTCCAAGGATCAATACATGTCTCTACAAACAAGGTGTATTTTGAGATAACCAGTAAGATTGTGAAGTACTTACCATGCGAACTAGAGATATTGATAATTTTAATTCCATCCTGCCTATAGATATTATTAACATCATAACTTGATATTGATGTACAACTATGAGGTCATGGACAATTGCAAAGCATCAACAGAGGAGTTTGATCAGTACATTACTCCTTTACACATGCAGACACTAATCGTATGTCAATCAAGTGTAGTCAGTATTAGCATGGGGAGTGAGTGAGTGAGTGAGTTGGGTTTAATGCCGCTTTTAACAGTATTCCAGTTATATCGCAGCTTGTCAGCTTAATAAGGGAGGAAAGCCCGAAGTGATGCAGGTGTCAGACGTTTACCACTTCGGTGAAACCCACGAGCACGGGTATGGTGCTGACAAACCTAGAAACATAATCGGGACGAACCTGGATTCGAACCCACAATCATAGGTTTCTGGTGTGCCCAAGGGACGCAACTCTGCGCAGCGAATCGCGGCGCCTTAGACGACTGGGCCACCCATGCCCCCTAGTATTAGCATGGAAATGATAAACAATTGAGAAATCGGTAAGAACACTAAACATGAATATGATTGTGTTACAAATACAAATGCTGCTTGGAGTTGCTCTCAGGGTGAGTTACCTCACTGGACATTCTCACATACCATCAAGTCTGTTTAAACACTGGTGGAGATTACTGAGAACATCATCAAATTTCTGAACATTTGATCTCTTCTTTTTCTTCACACCACTGAAAAAAACATGGTGGAACATCAACACAACATATGCTACATATATACGCAATATATTGAAAGACAGAATGATAAATGAATAAAACTGCTAACAGATTAACTTGTGATATGAAAAAATCAGGTGTTCTTTAACTCCTTTTGAGAACTAAGACAAAATTGTTGTTGTTGCATTAAGTGTTTAAAAGGTCGCCTTCTGCCTAGGCAATTTCGGCTGACCTGTCCCTCTTTGGGACTCCTGTGTGTGAGAAGGGTACACATATCTATTGTGAGTTCGGTGTTCACATAATTTCTGTTTTTGCATTGATATGATTTCTATTTTATCCTTGGCTGCTCTGTTTATATACGTTCGAGCAGCTGTCCATCTCTCAAAATTGTTATGGATGAGAAGTATATATAGGGCATGCACGGAAAAGAACAGGCTCACAGACAACATCCTGCCCACCATCTTGACACAAAGGTTTTTTTCTGATTGTTGTTTAATGCCACACACAGCAATATTCCAGCTATATGACTGTGGTCTGTAAATAATCGAGTCTGGTCCAGACAATCCATTGATTGACATGCACATCGATCTATGCAACTGGGATGCGATGACATGCATCAACAAAGTCAGCGAGTCTGACCACCCCAACCAATTTACAGGCCCCTTTCATTGGGGGGAAAAGAAGACTGATAAGGCCCATCTTCGAAAGTTGGAAGGTATGCTTGTATTCCACAAGTATTACCAGTAAAATTCACATATATATGAAGTAAAGAGTTGAGATGCCTAATTAATTTCTTGACTACAAAATACAATTCATACCGTTTAAATCTGTGGTTGCCCTTAAAGATTTGTCCTTCAAAAGGCATGTTATGGCTGGTAGCTTTATTGGCTTGGAGCCAGGAGCATAACAGAGGTGGAGTGCTGGACATTGTCTCAAACTCTTCACCCTGAAAACACAACATATGCTGGTTATTCAACTATTAGTGTTACACAAGAATAAGAAATACACAGAATCATTCAAGCGGGGACATTACTTGCAACTTACAAATACTACTGACGACTGATCAACAGATTTTTACCTTTATCAGACACAGAGATAGGGTTAATATTATGTACACATACTATGAGAAGCAGCAAATGATCCTGGAAGAAAGGAATCTTACATTTGCACCAACAGCTGGGGCCAGCCTGCATACAATATCTGACAAGTCATCCTTGTCTTGTAGAGATCCGGGTTTTCTATGAACTGGAAACAGAAGGATGCAAAATGCAATAAAATTCAACAGCTACAAGAACATGAAAATAATGTGAAGGATCGAGTGACAAAGAATCCGTATTCTCTTGACAATATTACAAACAGTCTGGACAAAAAGCTGATTTCTTCTTGCCTGCAATGCTTTGAGCGTAGTTGGCCTCAGACTGGGGAGTGAGAAGGTTCAGGGTAGTGTTGAGGATGCAGTTTGTACAGACGACATGCAAGATTAGTTTTATTGGACAGCAAACTTCTCAGACAATGTTGTCACCAATTCCCTTAACCATGTTAACATGGTAAATACTAGTGTTAACAGCTTGAACAATCAAATCAGTCAAGAAAGCAAGGCAGCATTCATTTAAGGTTGTATGTCGTAGTAACACTTCCAACAAAAGCACACATTTCTCAGAATCAGAATGATAAGCATCCTTTACTTCACATATGTCTTTGATATGTGTCAATGAACTTAAAAGTTTGGCCATGCAAAACAGGAAATAAACATGATAAAGCAATGAATGTCAGTGAAGTATTAGTGTGGGGCAAATTGTTCTGTTTGGGCAGTTGTAACCTTGCACTGTAGATGTTTTGATGTCATGAAAATGGTTAATCAGATTCAAATCCTTAACAGGCAGTCCAAAAGTGAATTTTACTTGTCTTGGGCTAGCTGATTTGTTTTAATCTCAAACCCTGGTCAATAAAATACTCTTGAAAAAATCCAGTGCAGACAATGTTCCCGGCTTGTGACCTTAGAATATCATCCGCTGATCAACACGAGCAAGTCAACATGGTCAAACTTCAAGGAAACTATGATTTTTGTTATGTTATTGGATTATTAGCTGAACGTACCTCTCTTCAGATGCTTATATGCATCTGGTGATGTATGATCCCATCGAACATCCAGTTGAGAGTCTGCTGCTTGTGATGATAGAAATTCATCTCGGAAATACCCTTTCATCCGAAGACCAGTTGGCGTATCACGCAGAGCAAGGGAGATGTCATCATCAGTATCTGACGTTTTGGCAAAATAGATACAAATCATAAATAACAAACAAGACTTAAACACAATGTGCTCAAAGCAGACAACTGAAGTTAAACAATTCTCTTCCACTACCCACTGGCTAGAATGTTATTTCTTTAGTCAAACATAAACAACAAAAATCATGTTGCTTATTTTTATGATTGGAACATTAATTTCAATGCACATATTCAGTTTTGTATGCTTATGTCACATACCACTATATACAAGTATTTTAGGAACATCAAACAAACATTGTAGTCTTTTAACAAGTGTGACATACATTCAAAGGAGGGCCTACTGTCAAAGTTATAGGCCTAGACATTTCTAAATAAACTTACATGGATCGGACGTCAGAAAAATGAGAGATAGTCAATTATGAACATACAACATTGAATTATAAGATTCCAAAAATTAATTACCACTTAATGTTGTATCATTACACGTCCTCGTTGACTGTTTAGCTGGAGTAGATGTTGTCACAAAAGTGAGCGTCTCGTCAGCTCGTCTAGACAGGTGCTTTCCTGTCCAACTATCTGAAGACTTGTTTCCACTTTCCACGGCATTTGAAGCCTTGTTAGATCTCGTTAATCGTTTACCTCGCATGATTTACATTTTGTGTCATGTACAAATACGTAGGTGTGTTGTTTTTACAAGGTTTATCGCAAATCAGCAAGAAATATTGCGAAAATATGACAGATTACGGTGTTGAATCTCTTCCTCCATGTTTTGTTTTTCCCTCTATATGAAAACGAGGCTCTGTTTTAATGATGTTCGCCCAGAATATTTTATAGTCATCAATATGTTTTATATTAATAAATGAAGCATGTATTAAATCTAATTTATCGACATAGCTTTTCTACAACGTATTTGTTATTTTAGGAGTATATTTTATTACGATTAACCATGTGAAAAGAAATCAATTATTGTATGTGCGAGATCATCATGTCAAAATGGCGTAGCCGGGAAAAATGAAAACAAGATGTTTGAAGACACCGATATTTAACAACTAAATCTGCACAAAAGATAAACATGAAATTAGAATTGTACAATGAAATTGTCAAAGCAATCCCCGTTAATACTTCTCGAGGTTATCTTTCGCAAGTTGCAGCAAGGTTCCCAGGGTAGGCTTAATTGATAATATAATGTTGATGTTTACGATGGCAATAGACTACAAATGGATGCAGAACACACAACTCAGAAAGATAGTCTGAGAAGAACAGGATTTCAGATTGTTCCATAATTGGTAGATGGGTTTTATTGCAAAAAAAGAAGAAATAAAGTTGGTAGAAAAACATTTTTTTGCCAAGAATAGAATCTAGATCATTTTGATAACATTGGTGTCTGCAAACCAGATTTCGTTCGCGAAACGGCACTACCATATATATTATGGTGAGTGGTAAAACATTCATGCATGGATTATTTTGTGGACATTTGTGATATAACAGTTGCTTTCCTCCTTAGGCTATTTAGATGATTGAAAACAACAAGTCTTTTTCAGTAAATTTTAACTTTATTTGATTACAATAGTTTATGTTTATACGATATTATTGATAACACAATTTTCATATCGATAATCAATAATATTTCTTCCCATCGACAATAATTCAGAATATCAATCTTTTTTAACCAGCCCTCATTTCATACTATAAGCTGAACCAATAACAGTCATGTGTTACCATGGTTACAGGGAGATATCTAGGATTCCACACGAAGGTGTTTGTGGCAGGCATATTTTGGGGGGAAACATGTCCAAAATTAGGGTTTTTCTCAAAGTTCTTAATTGTATGAAAAAATGTAAAATATTAAAGACAACCTGTGGAATAAAGGTTACAGTTTTAGTTAAGCAGGACCAAAGATCCAAGTGAAGTCACTTCATGGCACCTTGTCTGTTGTCATCTGTCCATCAGCCTGTTCATTAACTTCTCCAAAGAAGTGACATAAGACAAGAAGCAGAACACATTCAAACGAATCTATAGCTTTAGCTGAAGTCAAAATGAGATGACGGCGTTGTTACAGCAATGCCATATGTAATTTACCTGTCTGAAGGGAGCACTCTGTCTAGCAGCATTATTTTCTGACATGGAATATTAATGGAATTTTATCTACATAATATTATTTTCCAGAGTTCCAAAAAAGACTATAGGAAGCATCTTATCTCAAGAATACCAGGTTTGTAGTACTTAGTTACTAAAATTGTGAACATGTTCTTTCAGCAACTTGGCCCAGTTGTCTAAGGCGCTGCAATTCGGTGTGCAGAGTTGCATCCCTTGGGCACACCAGAAACATATGATTGTGGGTTCGAATCCTGGTTCGCCCTAATTATGTTTCTAGGTTTGTAAGCACCATACCCGTGCTTGTGGGTTTCACCAAAGTGGTTAAACGTCCGAGCCCGTCACTTCGGGCTTTCCTCCCACATTAAGCTGACACGCTGTGATATAACTGGAATAATGTTAAAAGCCGTGTTAAACCAAACTCACTCACTTACTCTTTCAGTATGTACTACAGTAAGCTGGCTTTCATTTATTGTTGAACTATCATGATATAGGCATGATAGGGAAACCCATTTTTGAGGTTTACATAATAACTGACAAACTTGACTCAGCTGGCTTATCCCAGATTGAACACTGTTATTTATTTCAAAGTTGTCTGCTCAATATGGTGTCTTGATATGATATGTGTCATGTGAGGCTGGGACGAGTCCAAATTACTACCCAGGTACCCGACACCCTATTACCCGTCCCTACTCGTGTACCAGTTGTAGGTCTTAAGGGTTGGGTACAAAATGTCTGAATGGGAATTGTTTTACTGCAGCCCTGGCAATAACTATTTAGATACACATATAAAATGATCTGACACTGAAGTTGACTGAAACTATCTTTACACAAGGATCTGAAAGTAAGAATGAATGAATGCAGTCAGAAAGGAATGTGAATATTAGAGATTTATTGTGTAATCATAGACTTTTATTGTTATTATCATTAAACAGTATATCATGTGACTAATCTCGGTCTGGGTAGTCCTGTCGGTACCGGGTCCTACTCAGTACCCTCTCAACCCGAGTACCTGAGTTACCCGTTCCATCCCTAGTATCATGATACAGAGAGGATGCAGCACAAATGGACCAATTGGACTTGTGATTGCATACATAGCCCAGATGACGAAAAAAAAAATATATTCAGAATTGATGAAAATACTACAACAATGCAGTGATGCAATGAAATTTACTGTGAACATCCAAAATACTGGCAGCATTCTGATAGATCTGTCTCATATCATTCCATGCATTGTTCTGTTGTTTGTTCCCAAGACAGTTTTGTGATGCTACAGTTGATCAAAACCTTATGTTTCATCATGCTTCAATGTATTGGTTAGTTGTCCCACCCTTATCTAATGACTACATATTTTTGGCCATTCGCACAAATAATGTAATATGTGCATTGCAGTGTTTTTTTTGTGGCTTGACAATACCAAACAGTCTGTGTGTCTTTGAGAATGTGATCAATCAACATTTATAGAAGCAATGGCTACCAGAAGAACATATGTTTAACCGTATTGAATGTACATTACAGAGGAAGACGAGGAAGAGCCACCATTACCACTCCAACCAAGATGCTCTTGAACATGACTACAGCGTGTATGTGTTTTACAAATAAATAGTTTTTGGTTGAATGATTCTCAATCTCATTAAAATCAGATCTAAGTTCTACCGCTAAACAAAGATCTGAGGACATCCTATTAGGGGTCACGTCAGACCGACCTTTCATCCGACCAATCAGAGCGACTCTTACCAAATCATGAAAGTGACAGTCGGAATGTGATTTCTAATCATGCAACCAAGAAAACTTTACACACAGGGTATTCCGAACGATAGTTATGGGTTAAACGACTGAATCCATACAATCTAGACCATCTATTAGCCATTCCTGAATGTCCTTTTGTTCAGGTTTCCAATTTGTAACCGATAATTTGTCAAAATATGTTTCGAAGCGTAGTCGCCAATTTGAAATTAGTGCCGTAAAGCACGAGAAAGCACCCTTCTGATTGGTCAATCCATTGGTCGGTCAAAGTTTGCGCAAGGTCAGTCTGACGTGACCCATAATGGGATGTCTTCAGATCTTTGTTTAGCGATAGCGAGAACTTAGATCTGATTTTAATGAGATTGAATGATTCTATTAAGACAATAAGGAGTGTAATGAATGATAGAACTATCGATGCAATACCAATTTGACAAGGCCAAATGGAAATGCATTGATGGCAAAATATAAAAGTAAACTTTGGTGATGTGCTGTGTTATTGACAGTACGGAGGCACGTATGGCCCAGTTGTTTAAGGCATCGCAAATCCCTGTGCAGAGTTGCACCCCTTGGTTGCTAGAAACCTATGATTGTGGATTTGAATTCTATGTTTGTCAGCACCATACCCATGCTTGTGGTTTCACCAAAGTGGTAAATGTCTAGGATGTGCATCACTTCGGGCTTTCCTCCCACATCAAGCTGACACTGGTTGATGTAACTGGATTAATGTTCAAAGTGGCGTTAATCCCAACTTACTCAAAAGTAAAAGAAATTGTTGACAGTACTGATATTATTGACATTATTGATGTTACTGGCAGTATTGACATTATTGATGTTACTGGCAGTATTGACAGTATTGATGTTACTGGCAGTATTGACAGTATTGATGTATGAAAGAAATGAAATCTATACTGGCAATCATAACATGTCGCTTTCAAACTGATTAAGATTGTTAGGCTTGTTTGAAATAACTCTTTGGTTCCCCAAACCATGCATGCAGGAAAACAACACATTTATTCAAAGTTCGACACTTTTTTGGTAGCAACATGAACAAAATAAAACAAATGTATATTTATTTAGCTTTTCCAGAAAAAATGGAAAATTGAATCATAACAAGGTGTGTATTGAGTATGAATTTTCAAACTTAAAGTTTGTTTTTGGGCTTTGCATCTACCCTGATTGGTCCAAATTAATAAGACTTCTGAAATATTTGTGTGTAAAATATATCATTGCAGTTACCTGACAGGAGTGGAGGCCAAACAGGAGCACATTCTTCTGACACTGGCAGACACGGTAAGTGAGGGATGTGGGTGGGATCAGATAGTCATCTTTGTAAAATCTATCACTGTATCAATGTCGTTTTCTATGAACTGTGTGGTGTAGAAGCCTAGTGGTTTAAGCATTTGGATCCCAGTTAGGTTCCCCACATCATCATGATCATGTGACTTGATTACTATGTGTGAAGCATATTTGTGGTGTCCCCTGCCATGATATGGTTCTGATATTGTTAAGGTGATGTCAAACCTACTCACTCAAGATCCTTAGAAGTGGTTTTCTGATGATGACTCTCTTCACGATCTTTCATTACAGACTGATCAGAATGCGTCAATGTTAGCCCGCAGAATTCTTGACAAATATTTGGCCGAACAAAATGGAGGAAAGAGTGGTAAATATTTACAAAGCCATATATTTAGCTGATTATGTTGACAGGTTAGTGAGCTTGTCAAGGTATGTTTATCAGGCACCGGCACTGGGAGCATCAGGATCTGTAAACATCTCTTTAACATCATAGAAATGAGGAGAGGTTGTCATTGATTCTGTGATTGTTTGGTGTCTGACTTAATGATAAATTCATTCTTTTATTCTTGTTTTACTTTGACTTGAATAAACAGATGACTTATAATGCTATTTGATCGTTTGATATCTTGTAGGGGAGACAACTCTTCAACGTGTGCTCATTGAATCTAAGAAACTTATGCCACGTTCATTGATAGAAGCAACTAGATGTGAATAAATATTAAATTTTGATCGCTTATTGTACATTACTACTGATTTGTCTTTTGGAAAAGTAAATTACTATTGTATTGATATGGATTCTTTGGGTGACATTTGAGACTGTTAGAAAAGTATGATGACATGAAATCAGGTGAGCTGCAATGCCACGACAGTCTACCACATTCATGTGCATAAACCTTACTCTTCAGTATCTGAATGTGTGGTATAAGTTGTCAACTCAAGAAATATATTCAATGTTTTTATGCATTTATGAAAACAATCATCATGAGCTAATAAAATTGATTGATGATCATGAAATGTTTATTCTGGAAAATAGTTATTCTTATTTTGTATGTGGTGTTGAAGAGTGTTTATGTAAAGAAATTTGTGTGTTCAGTTCACAAGAGCATCGTGAGTAGCATGATTAAGGACCCCAACCTGATTGATGACCCAGTACTGGCCAGGGAAGTGTTCGAAGTATGTATTTATACACTGCGTCAAGTTCATCCTTGATTGGAAGAAAGCCAGGGATTTATCTCGACCTGCTCAGAGGCAAATATTCCAAGTCTTTCATAAAATGACAGTATAAATTCCCAATCTGAATATGGAAAATGCCAAATCCTGAGAATTTTTGAAAATAAGAACATTAAAGTATTTCTAGTTTGAAAAATATCCTGTTTTCCCTACTTGCTGCCAAAGACACTTAGTTTGGAATCCTAGATAAATCCCTGACAGCAGTTTCAAATGATGAAACGAATCTAATTAAATTTTGTTTTCAAATGATTTTCAGAAATCATCACTTGTTTAGAGGATAAGGCACCATGGGTATTCTGGAATAGAATAGGGCCCCCATATTTGGAGCAAGCGCCAACTTAAATGGGTTTACCAGCTGGCTTATTCTCAGTCAGTTTTTAAATTTGGTACCAACTTTGATGTATAAGGGATTGTGAGATTTGTCAATTTCTTATAAAATTTCAACATCAAACACAGTGTCATTATTTAGTCTAACTATAGAAACATGGGACCAACATGACAGAGGATCTGTCAATGCTGTTTTCTATCTTCCAGTGTATTGTGTGTGATGACTACTATGGACCATACGTGGAAAGTATCAAGCGGTATCCTTCACCGGTTTGGTAAGGAGTGGCCCCACCACACTGGAGTTACCTCCCTTGGTGCAACTTAAACATCTCGCACTTTGTCATTTGTGGAACTTGTGAAGATAATCTTTCATTTTCGTGAAGAGATACTTTGGTTTGGTGGTGGTCAAAGTATGTCAATAGGTGAGGGAAAGTAAATTATTTAGAGTTTACTATTGTGAGCAGTGGGTAATAGATATATGAGCAAATTTGTACATTTGATAGACAATAGACATTTGAGTTCATTTACATGGCATACACTAATGCTTTCAAAGAAAACTAACTAATGTGACTAGATGTGACTTTTGTAGCAGTTAAATATTCGAAATGTATTACAATGACTAGTTCCATTTAACATCTTTATGTAAATTGATTTGAGATAAAACACATGGTTTGACAGAAGTTGTGATCCTTGATTTGTAAAGTTCTGTTGGCCATGAATACGAATTCAAGCTGACAAAGACTCTGGATGAGCTCGGCCTGTCCTACATTGGTAAGATTCTTCTTTTGTCTTTGTAACTGCTGCGTAGTTGAATTTCCAGTTGTACACTACACTTCTGTCCTGACCCCAGCAAATGTATGTTCAGTTATTAGAGTACTGGTATTTGGCCATAGATTCTACCGTGACAGTAAAGTTGTCATTGTCTCAGACAGTATGTCAAGACCATGACTTATGTTTGTGGTAGAGCAGCCAGAAAACAAATGTTTTGTGACTAATTAGTCATTATGTCTACCAGTAAATATCAAGCAAATTCTACCTTTAATATGAATTTGAAATAAAAATTTCCAAAAAGGTACATTGGATTCTATTTTTTTATACACATTTACTCAAATTGTAAATTTCAGTTATTTAGTGTTGTCTGTTGTCAGTTCACATGCCCTGCATGTCAGCACTAGATACAATGTTTGTCAGTACTATATACAATGTTTGTTAGTACTAGATACAATGTTTGTCAGTACTAGATACAATGTTTGTCAGTACTGGATACAATGTTTGTCAGTACTAGATACAATGCTTGTCAGTACTATATTCAATGTTTGTTAGTACTAGATACAATGTTTGTCGGTACTAGATACAATGTTTGTCAGTACTGGATACAATGTTTGTCAGAACTAGATACAATGCTTGTCAGTACTATATACAATGCTTGTCAGTACTGGATACAATGTTTGTTAGTACTAGATTAGAATGTTTGTCAGTACTAGAAACAATGTTTGTCAGTACTGGATAGAATGTTTGCCAGTACTAGATACAATGTTTGTCAGTACTGGATACAATGTTTGTCAGTGCTATATACAATTTTTGTTAGTACTATATACAATGTTTGTTAGTACTAGATACAATGTTTGACAGTACTGGATACAATGTTTGTCAGTACTGGATACAATGTTTGTCAGAACTAGATACAATGCTTGTCAGTACTATATACAATGCTTGTCTGTACTAGATACAATGTTTGTTAGTACTAGATAAAATGTTTGTCAGTACTAGAAACAATGTTTGTCAGTACTGGATAGAATGTTTGCCAGTACTAGATACAATGTTTGTCAGTACTGAATACAATGTTTGTCAGTGCTATATACAATTTTTGTTAGTACTATATACAATGTTTGTTAGTACTAGATACAATGTTTGACAGTACTGGATACAATGTTTGTCAGTACTGGATACAATGTTTGTCAGTACTATATACAATGCTTGTCAGTACTATATACAATGTTTGTTAGTACCAGATACATTGTTTGTCAGTACTGGATACAATGTTTGTCAGTAGAATGTTTGCCTTGTTTACAGAGGAGGACCAGATGCGGGAACGAGGCTATGACAAAACTCCTGATGTCAAACTGGAGATTCCAATAGGTAAATCTTTACTCATCTGTCCTCATGTTTGAACCCCGGGCAAAGAATAGGTTCTCAGAACTCAATACTTGTCATAATAGCTGAATAAGGTATCGGTGAATACAACATGTGACCTGGCTGTAGTTGCTGATGTATGTTGTGGCTAGTTGCTGATGTAAGTTGTGGCTAGTTGTTGATATATGTTGTGGCTAGTTGCTGATGTAAGTTGTGGCTAGTTGCTGATGTATGTTGTGGCTAGTTGCTGATGTATGTTGTGGCTAGTTGCTGATGTAAGTTGTGGCTAGTTGCTGATGTATGTTGTGGCTAGTTGCTGACGTATGTTGTGGCTAGTTGCTGATGTATGTTGTGGCTAGTTGCTGATGTATGTTGTGGCTAGTTGCTGATGTATGTTGTGGCTAGTTGCTGATGTATGTTGTGGCTAGTTGCTAATGTATGTTGTGGCTAGTTGCTGATGTATGTTGTGGCTAGTTGCCAAAAGAAATTAAAATTCTGCAGTCCTTTTTTGTAAATTCTTCAACCACATTTTGATAATTCTGCACACAGCTCTGAAAACTTTAAAGCTTAGTTTTCATGAATTAACTAGTTTAGCACCTGAAAGACTTGTGGCAGGCATTTTCCTCCATGGCTAGAAAAGCTTATTGAAGTGAATCTGGAGAACGAGTGTATACTTACAGACATGCACTTTTGGTAACAGTAAGCAATAATACAAATGTCAACTTCACATCTGTAGTGTATGTGACCAACTCTGCGGCAGATAAATGCAAATTCTTCATGTGATTTTCTGCAACACAGTTACATTTCTCCACTGAGTGGGCATTTCTGCACAATATTTTGCGGCCGCAGAATACAGTGATGACTGATTTACAGGCTTCATAGTCTGGAAAGCCTCTGCATATACAATTACCAATGGAATGTGACATATATATATTTCCAGCTGTTGATGGACATATTGTGAACTGGGTGGAGAGTAAGGCATCGTTTGGGGATGAGATGAGTCATCGAGGTTACCTCAAGGACCAGTTCTGGGCCTACTGGAATCGGTATGTTAATCATCTGTAGTGAAAATCATGCTATTACTAGTAATTCCTCAACTTGATGTGCTGGTTCATGTCAATAGGATCATTTTGATAGGACAGCTTGTGTTCAAATGAATGTGATAGATGATTGTCTGCCCTCTTCTTCTCAGGGCTTGGGCAGAAGAGGCAAGGCTGGCCCAGTCATCTTTGGCGCTCATATTTGCTGTTCTCTCCTCTAGGAATGCCAGAAACCTGTGATCATGGCTTCTGACCCATCTACCTGAGGCAAGGGTGATAACTGTCAATTAAAGTCCAGTTTCCAGTTAATGCCCTTGCCTCAGGAAGATGGCCAAAAACCTGTGACCATGGGTTCAGGTCTGTCTGCACCTATTCTACTCCGGAATCTTCACGGGGCATATCCATTGGGAAAACTGCCCCTTGTACTGGTTGAGGTCACTCACTTTGCTTGATTGTTTGAACAGATCTTAACAATTTGGTCAGAATAGAACCCCAGTATCTCATGCTTGTTGTAAGAGCTTCCTTAATGGGGAACAGGCTCACTGACATGGCAGGTAAAATGGGGAACAGGCTCACTGACATGGCAGGTAAAATGGGGAACATGCTTATTGACATGACATATTAAAATTGGGACCAGGCTCACTGACATGGTAGATTAAAATGGGGAACATCCTCACTGACATGGAAGATTGTGTGTCATTGCTTGCTCCTTCCAGTTACTAATTTACCTGATCCAGATGATTACCATGATATAGCTTGAATATTGCTGACTAGGATGTAAAACAATATTCACACGCTATTTAACACAGGAGAGAAAACATTGTTTGGGTCCTCCTCAGTCTTGTGGTGAACCTGACCTTGTTATTGAGCATCCTATCCACAACAGAAAAAACCCAAAACATTTGTCTTTAATTTCTTTCTTCTTTTGCATTCATTCCCACTGGAGAATTAAAAAAATATCATACAATTACGTAGTCTCAAGCTGTCAGCCTCCCTGCCTACTAAGGGACACGATGTACAGAATGCACCTTGGGAAAGCTTGGGACCATGTATACTAGAATTTCTGTATTTATTTTTCTTGTTAGATTTAAGGCAAATATTGTGTGAAAATGTTCAGTTTGTTTTGAAATGCATATTATTTTTGTTTATATTTTAATTGTTGCGATTACACTCTATTATTAGCTTTCTATTGTCCATGTTTCCTAGATTTGGCCCCGGCATGGTGATCTACTGGTTTGGATTTATTGACGAACTTGATGTGAACCAGGATAAAGGAATTATTCTGAGGGACAGTTTCCCCGAAAACATTGTTAAAATGAACCCTCTCCTCAAACAGGAAGTCACTGGGCAGGGAAAGAGCTGAGAGTTATCTCCCTTAGGAAATGTACCTGTGATGGATTGGAGTGACAACTTACTGTTACATACTTGCTGAAATAGATATTGGATTATTACATTTGATAAAGTATAGAAATATTTATAGTTTTATTTAACTAGTTTTACTGTAAACCCAGACGTAAATTTACTTCTCAATGATTGAGATGAAAAGGAAAATTTGTTTTGTTATATATTTAAAAACATACTTTGTTATTGTGATAAGCACAAAAGAAGTGAAAACACTACTTGTAAAACATTGGTGTTTTATTAATTCATAGCACATGAACAATAAGTCATTTTACACTTTTTTACAAATATGTACAAAATAACATTGAACTGTATCTGTATCATTGTATGTCCATATTAAACATACCTTGATAAAGGTCATGAGAGAGAAACTGGAATTCTTTGACCTATCTTAGATGACATGTTTTCATTATTCAGAAATAATAGTGCCCATTGCCATTGCTGTTCATCCTACACTGGTCTTTTCTTTTGCAATAATAATAATAAATATCGACATACCATATTCTCTGTAATAAGCGCCCTGTTCCCATAAGTGTCCTCTGACCAACTTCTAGACCAGTATGGAAGTACTCTTTATTCATGTATTAATTAAGCGTCCCAAACTAAGACCAAAATGTTACATGACGGTCCGTATATTTTTGTGTATATTTGCAGGATATTTACCAAAAATACTGTAAAAGGGGAATGAATATATTTCCCTGGTAACTATTATTGAAATCATTAGGTCCATTGACTTGGTAAGTTTGATCACTACCGCTCAATCTCTGACAACAAATTTAACTCCTTTCATAAGTCCCCCCCCCCCCCCCCCCCATCTCCCATATTTTTCAATTATCTAATTACCCAGGGCACATGTTATGGCGAATACTATAGTTGACAAGAGGCACATAAGGTACCCTTTCTGTATACAGTCTGTGATTTCAAGTGACCACTGATGGCAAGGCCAGACAAGACAAGGACAAAGTTATTCAGCCAAAAAACATATAGGCTTGAACATCAACAAGATCATTGACACTAACACAATCATTAGCATATTTTGGATGTATTCATTGATTGACTGTTCGTTGACACTTGAGATCATACATCACAACATCTAAACTTCTTATATATCTGGACACACAGTTTGATAACATTTCAATAAATATACTCATGTCGAGGAAGTTATCAGCCATACCAAACAAGACCTGACTTTTCCTTACAAATCAAGGTACAACTTGCATTCAAAACACACAAAGTGTAAATATTGGCCATGTAAGGAACTGAATGATTGAACTGAACAAGATATCAGTGTCACTTCTTTCGGGATGTCCTCTTGGATGTTCTCTGTGACCTCAACCTTCCGGCAGGACTAGGGGACTTGCTGCCAGTGCGGCGAGTCTTCTTCTTCTCCACCTCCTGGACATGCACATGGTAGTTGGGAAACTGTTTGGCATACTCCTCCAGGAGGGGCATGTACTGGAAGGTAGGGGTGGGGGTGGAGGACCGGTCCCCAGGGCTCAGTTCGTTGTCCTGCACCACCTCCTTCTGGACCAGGATGTAGGTGGTGTGAGAATCGAGGAACTTGGTGGCATACTCGTTCTTGTGGAGATCCAGATCTTTCACCAGGCCTGGAATGAACACAAGCAAAAATATGTGGGTTGTCTTTACAAATTACCAACTACACAAAGTTTGCTTTTAAGACTTAAGGTAATAACTAAAGAATATGTTTTCAGATGCATCAAGTTTTGATGATATGAAAAAAAAATATCCAACAAATAAAGATTGAAATATCCTGGTACACAATCATTAGGCAACCCCATAGGTCCTCGATTTCATGATGAATATGGACAGAGTGGAAGTGGAAGTGATTGAAAACCTGTGTTCGGATGTATGAATCATTGCACATCATTATCAGAGAGCACAACATTTGCTATTGAAGATTGCAACAGCTGAATGCATTTATTCCCCCTCCAGGTCAAAGATGTCCTTTGACAAACGAAGAATTAGCAGATGCATAGGCATCCTTGAAACTGGGTCAACACAAGGTCATGTTGCAGACCTCTTTTGCATCAGCCAAAGCATGAGGAACTCGACAAAGCTTTGCTGAAGAGTTGACCCATCTTCAATCCAGACACTGGGAGCATGAGATGGCGGTGCCAGGCTGTGATTGCAATACGCGGATCACATACGCGCTTCTGAGAGTTGTTTTTTTTATTTGTTTTTGTGGTGTTTTGAGGTTTCAGTTTTGGTCCAATACTCTCATTTTGACTGGTGATCTGACTGATTATTGGTCACGTGTTGTTGTTGGCGTTGTGTGGCACATGACCACGGACTTGTTCATTAAACATGTCTTCAAGCAATATTGTATTTGGCTATTTCAACAGATGCACACAATTTGACGTAAATGTATTATCTTTTAAACTGGTGATCCTTAGCTAACTTCGAGTAGTTAAAGCGTATACAGCTAAGATAAAGATATAAGGCAGTTTATATTATACCCATCAAGGCATAAGGTTTACAATATTCCTTGATACCCCGTTCATATGGGAAGATATCCATTAAAGATTTGACTTGTTCGTTGCCATCAACCACCAGTTTCATAAAAATCCCGTACATATAGATGCCCTTAACAAAGTGTGCTTGTTTACGCCGCAATCAGCTACATTCAAGCTTTTTTTACTGCGGTCTGTAAACAATCTAGTCTGGACAACCCAGTGATTGACATCATGAGCATCGATCAAGGCCATTGGGATACGATGACATGAATCAACCAAGTCACCAAGCCTGTCCACCCGATCACGTTAGTCGCCTCTTACGACAAGCATGGGTTGCTGAAGACCGTTTCTCTACCTGGATCTTCAGGGTCCAATTACAAAGTGTACCCTGTTAAATAAGGGCCTGCCAATGGCTCAAAGTGTTTTGGGTGACAAACATTAGACTGTAAACTGATCTTGACAGAATAATGCGTGGCAGAGAGGCGTGAGCCTCGCTTTAAGTCTTGATTGTGTAATACAGTCAACAAGTCGCATGCTCAAGCAACGCCGGTTAATCTCGATGTGCCATGTTATCGCATGGCCGTGACGACTGCATAACAAGCCCCAGTTTGTCGTCTAGCATGCACAGAGTTGTTGTGTTACGTAATTACTTCACTGTCGGCAGATATCGCCAATGTGACAACGTTCATACAATCGACCTTGATATTGTAAAATCAGAGGAGATTGTTTGCGCTATTTCCCCGTAGGAGTGGAAATAAATCCTGGTACGGATTTTCATGGAAAAGGGCATTTCTGTTGCGTAACACTATGCATAATTGATCCGAATATTGGCAGTCGCGGAAAGAAAATCAAGACAGGCACATATGTTTTTATCATTTGCTTCATCAATTAGGTTGGTTTTTTTGGTGAAAGTCAGGCCACCCAGAAAATTGGCAATTGTCCAAAGTGCACAGTCACTGTAATGTGATAAATCATTATACAGATATAACACTTCTTTGACTGAATCTGGTCTAGATGCAATTTTGAGGTTAAACCATGTGAATTTGTAGCTGCATGCAGACATTTTGTTTAAATACCTTACACAGAATGTGAACTCTACCCAAACCACAACGCCAGTGGGTCTCCAATAACCCGATCATCAATCAGCCATATTTGCTTCTTACACTGAACCCTGACACTGCCTCAAGTGAAGGCAAATATGCTGTCTGGCTCAGGGAAGCTCTATGTTAACACATTAACCTTTTATTCAAGCTTCTTAAGTGCCTCTAAATGGGAGACATGGATGTGTTTGAATTTCCAATATTATTTCCAAACAGTGCGAGATAAGGTATTCTCCGGTACATTTTAACAATGGCAGATCGTCAATCTGTTAACTCAAGTTTCAACACCGAGCAACAGGAGGTCCGTGTAAGCTGATATGGCGGTGGGGGTGCCGGAAAGGCATAACAATTGACTCACGATTTCATCTAATTCACGTGAAGCACGTAGACTTGCTTAATGGAACGAGGAAATAGAAACTTTATTGAACATAATAACAGTAGGAACGTATTTCAACTTCATTATTTGACAGGCAACTTTTGGTGAAAGACCCATGTCGTTTTATCTGTTTTTAGTGTTATCATATCTAGAGCATGATCACAGGACCTCGTTATTGGCCACCCGTGAAGATCCGGGTTACAATAGGTCTTCAGCAACCCATGCTTGCCGTAAAAGGCGACTATGCTTGTCGTAAGAGGCGACTAACGGGATTGGGTGGTCAGGCTCGCTGAATTGGTTGATGCATGTCATCGTATCTCATTTGCGTGGATCGATGCTCATGATGTCAATCATTGGATTGTCTGGTCCAGACTCGATTATTTACAGGCCGCCGTCATAAAGCTGGAATATTGCTGAGTGCGGCGTTAAACAATCAACTGACATCAATCGTTATTGGTCAGTAAATAAAATATTTACCCCCTCAAAAATATATATAATTGAAAGGATGGACCGGCAATGCATACATATATAACCTTTGGAGGGGAATACGGTCGTAATTCTTACCAGAAGAGTAAGTGAGTGAGTTTTGGTTTTACGCCGCTTTTTGCAATATTCCAGCAATATGACGGCGGGTGACACCAGAAATGGGCTTCACACATTGTACCCATGTCGGGAATCGACTAGGCTACCCGACCGCCCCCTTACCAGAAGAAGAAGAAGAAGTATATTCATGAATGAAGGCCAGAGTAAATATACGAGGTGCCAGACAGTCCCAGATAACTCTCTTGGGAAATGTGATCATGTGTTGTTTTGACCTTCCACGCATTTCTTTTACCATCGATACTGAAATGAACACTGCCGGCTCCTGGCGCTTTGAGAAATAACTATATTCTTGTTGTTAGATCCGGGTTGGAATTGCTCTTCAGCAACCCATGCTTGTCTTAAGAGATTAACGTTGGTCAGGCTTGCTGTCGTCGTATCCCGTAGATCGCTGCTCATGATGTAAATCACTGGATTGTGTGGTTCAGACTCGATTATTTATAGACCGCCGTCATATATATTAGTAGCTGGAATATTGCTGTGTGCGGCGTTAATCAACAACAAACACAAATCGTTGTTGCACGCAGGAAACATATGATCATGGGTTCGAATCCCGGTTCGCCCCGATTATGTTTCTTGGTTTGTCAGCACCATACCCGTGCTCTTGGGTTTCACCAAAGTGGTAAACGTCTAAGACCTGCATCACTTTGGGCGTTCCTCCCACATTAAGCTGACACGACGTAATATAACTGGAATACTGTTAAAAGCGGCGTTTAACCCAACTCACTCACTCACTATTTGTACACACTGGTCCTAAACATGTCCACCTTAATCCGTGGTTGGAAATTTACTGTTACCCATGGCACAACAACATCATTATTAACACACGGCGTTGTGACGACCCCCGTGTGTACGGCGAGGCTCCTCTATGGTGTCCCGCCACAAAGCACTCCTAAAGTTTGGACCAGGAAGGTGGACATGGCAATGAATAAACACTTTCACAGAGCACAAGGGAAGGTCAGATGTGAGATGGCCAATTTATTAAGCCTGTTGTTGTCCCGAAATATGCGGGAGTGTTTATTTATGTCCCTTCGACCTCCCGTGGTTTCAAAAACATTTCTGCGACGACATTAACAAGACATTTTCTACGCGGTAGTATGGCAGTTATAGTGCTTAGAAGTCATTTACTTTCAAAGGTTTGCTAATCTCTATGTGACGTAGGGCAACGAATCGGTTTATCATCGGGTTATGCGTACTTGAGTAGGGGGCAGCAGTACACTTGTACTTCAAATGAAGACATGTGTATACTAGTATATGCAATAAAGCCTCGTTGAAACGAACTCCATTTTCTCGATATATCGTTTAAGTCGAAGAAGAAACTTTATGATCCGTCACTAGGTGGTGTGGTAGCCAAGTGTTTACAGCGTTCGACAATTTGTGAAACCCTTTTCCGATTTATCCTGTCGTGAAATTGCTAAAAGCGACCTAAAACCTCACTCACTCACTCAACGTCACTGTGGTCTAAAGCGCAACTAACTGCCCTTGTCTTGGAACTATGGATATCTCGATTGTGGCAAGGACTTCGAGTAAACCAGGTCTCAATCTGCACTCTTCAGAATAATTCTGTTTGGTGTTCTACAGCGTAGACTGTCGTAACACCGAGATCGCCTTCATATACAATTGATTGAGCTGTGGATGTATTGCAAACATCGATGACAAAAAGCAATAGTTCACATGCATTGGGAGCCTATGTTGTGTAACGTCGCACTCGGAAAAAGTCACGCCATATGAAGGCGCCCTGTGAATAATCAAGACTGGACTACATGAACAAGATAAAAAATCAGTGATTTTATGAGCAACGTCCCACGAAATCTGGTTACGATGACACGCAAGTCACTGAGTCTGACCCCCCACCAACCCCAACCCCTACCCTCACGATCCATTAGGTCACCTCTTACGACCAGCATTGGTTGCTGGGGACGTATTCTAACCCGCATTCCCCATGTGCTGTTTCAATGTACGCTGGCTGATAATTACAGTCAACCAACACATGACCTTTTGGTTTTGTTTACAACATATCATGAAGACAACTTCATAACTTTACATCAATTTATTAT